GGAGATAAGAGTCTCATGGACTTTCCTTGCCCAGGTTGGCTTTGAACCGTGACTCTCAGATCTCAACCTCCTAAGTAGCTAGGATTACATGCGTGAGCCACCAACACCAGATTCTGTGAGACTTTTATCTCCAATAAAACTATTCAGAGGGGCTGGGAAGGTGGCTCAGTGGTAGAGCACTTGCCTTGCATGCCTGAGGCTCTGGGTTCAATTCCTCAGCATCACATAAGCAAAAAGAAAAAAGCTGGAAGTGGCGCTGTGGCTCAAGTGGTAGAGCGCTAGCCTTGAGCTGAAGAGCTGAGGGACAGCGCCCAGGCCGAGTTCAGGCCCCACGACTGGACCCAAAAAATAATAAATAAAACTATTCAGAAAAAGCCAGATGTGGCGCTGTGGCTCAAGTGGTAGAGTGCTAGCCTTGCACAAAAAGAGTCTCAGGGACAGCACCCAGACCCTGAGTTCAAGCCTCAGGACTGACACCATAAATAAATAAGTAAATCTAAGAGACTTAGAGGAGGAACACAAAGGTGCAATGTCTGTGTGCCTTTGATCATATAATATTTATCAAAATTAACTCTTGACATACAAATGAGGTTTTTTTCCTGTGTTGCTGTTTTCTTTTTTTTTTTTTTTGGTCCTATTTGTTCATTTATCCCTCTTTGGGAGAGTTAATGGGGCACAGAACTGAAGGGACAAAGGATGAACAAATGCGGCAGTGGTACTTACTGGACACGGTGTTGAAAATGAACTATGCAACTTGTGGGTGAGGATATGAGGGAAAAATTAGGAGAGAATGAGGGCAGGGGTGACATTGTCCAAAAAGAAATACACTCCTGGGGCTGGGAAGGTGGCTCAGTGGTAGAGCGCTTGCCTTGCATGCATGAGGCCCTGGGTTCAATTCCTCAGCACCACATAAGCAGAAAAAACCGGAAGTAGTGCTGTGACTCAAGTGGTAGAGCGCTAGCCTTGAGCTGAAGAGCTGAGGGACAGTGCCCAGGCCCAGAGTTCAGGCCCCATGACAGACAGAAAAAAAAAAAAAAAGAGATGTACTCTTTGCCTCACTTACCTATCATTCCTCTGTACATCATCTTTATAATAACAATTCAAAAATAATTTTTAAAAAGTGGTGTTTTTTTTTTTGGTCGGTCCTGGGGCTTAAACTCTGGGCCTGGGCAGCTGAGGTGGGTGCTTAGAACTGGAAAACGTAAGAGTCACTTCTTGCTGCTACCTTCTCCCCATAGCGATTATGTTGATGTGTGTGTGTGCATATGTACACGATGTACACATGGGTTGATTGGGCCCGGAGCCAGAGAACAACTAAGAGAATGGGCACCGGACTAGCTGCTTGGGGCTGGGGGGGGGGGGGGCGGTGTGGAGAGGAGGAGCATGTATGGAAGTTGGGCTGCTGCTCACTGGCCCTATCTTGGGGGTTTGGGGCTGGAGGCTCTGGCCGGCAGGTGTCTGTATATACATAGCTGCTAGGGAGCTAAGGAAGTGGCTTGGAAAATGTCCTTGCTGGGTACTCGCAACCCAGGCTTTGTTGGTGTCTGGCCTGGTGTAGGCAGATGGCTCTGCCTGCCTTGTTTTTGCCCAGGGGCTTTGTGGGCTGCCGTGGACAAGATACTACTAGGGAGGCAGCCACCTCTGTGTGCACCATCCTGTGTGGGTTTTGATGAATCCACTTAGTCCTCACGTAGCCTGGGTGATAGGCCTGGGACCCCATCTCACAGCAAGGAGGAGGGTGCAGGGAACCCACTTGGAGGCAGCTTCACTGTGCACCATGAGTATCCTCAGTGTAGCTTCTTGAGGACATTTGTAGTTGGGGTGCTGTGTGGTAAGGCTCCCTGGTATGAGAGGGTGAAGCCTTGGGAGGCCCAGGATCCGGTGCGCCACCAGAGAAAGCCTATCCCAGACCCCAGACCTAGGGGGCATCTTCAAGTCTGAGAGATGGGGCCGGAGTGCGCCACCTTGAGGAAGGTACCAGTCATAGCCTTCCTCCTCTGCCATTGCTCTCCTCCACAGTCATTGCCTCCAGCAAAGCTTCTGAAGCCTCCTCCCCTTGTCTCTGCCCTCCTTTCTGAGGGCTACCTGTGACCCTTCTGCCAGATTCCCAGTAACTAGCATGATGGAGCAGGGCATCATCTCCTGCAAGCCGTGCTGATGGACAGACTGGACACACTCCCACTGTCTTCTGAGCAAACACGGGCACCGGTCAGCCTCCAGAGTAAGGAGCCTCATGGTCCAGTTGTTCAAAGAAGGGGCTGGTTGAAGTCTGTAGGCCGCCCTCCCTGCCTTGTGAAACATCTAAAGTCTACCCCAGCCAAGCACTAACCAGGACCTGCTGTGAGCTGACGTCAGGACAGAGGCCCCCGCAGGGCTGGCTTTGATGTTTCCCAGGCCCTGGCTTGGGGGTGCAGGGGGCTCTGAGTGGCAGTCTGGGAATGCAGCATCTCTTACCACAGCGGAGCAGCGCACCCCGGGCCCCAGGAGGAGATGCTGGAGGCCGAGGTGGGGGTTGGTGGGGCAGAGCTGGGGTCCATATGAGCCATGCCAGCTCCTCTGCAGCTCTGGTTTCTATGGCAGAAAGTCTGTGGTTCTGTAACCCCAGGGCCTGTTCTGTCCACCCTTCCCACCCCCAATTGCTCTCTTTAGACCTCTCCCCTGTCCCCTGGGCAGGATCTGAGGCCTTGTTTGACTGGTGAGGAACTTTCTGATGTTAGAATTGCACACTGATTACTCTTCATATTGCGCAAGTCCTGTGCCTTTGAGAATGTCAGTCCTTAGGCGAGAAGGGTGAGCATGCGATCATGTCACAGCAGCTGCTTTTCCTGAAAGGCCAGCTCTGGCCAGGGCACTTCACACTGTACAGCATTTTGGCTCATGCCACCTTGTGTGCAAGACAGAGAGAATTGAGGCACAGACAGTTTGTCACTCGCCCAAGGCCAGACTCAGCTGAATGTGATAGGCTTTGAGTCTGGCCCATTGTAGGTGAACTTAATCACTCCTGTGCGTTGTCCAGGCTCCTGGCTTCCTACCATGTCTGTGAGAGCAGGATATGGGAGGAGGGGGCTTGACTATCGGGCTAGCTAGCCTACACTTAGCTTTTATTTTATTAGTAGTAGGGAGTTTGAACTCAGAACCATGTGCTTACTAGGCTAGACCCTGAGCCACACGTTCAGGCCTTGGCTTTGCTTTTTGATGAGCATCCTGGAGTTCTAGGTCAAGGGCTTGCAAGATTTTAGTGAGTCACATTTGCAGGGGTTCACAATCAGGGGCCTGTCTGTCAGTCTGTGTCATGGGAAGTGTTTGGGCCCATACCTCACTGAGATTATTTCAGTTCAGTCAGCATGAGCCTGGTATTGTCTCCAAGAGGCGTGCCTGCCTGGCAGTGGGGAGGTGGCACCCGTGTTGGGGATCAGATACTTCCGGGCAGGGCTGGGAAGAGTGTGGGGTTAGCAGTTGGCTTCCTTGGGTTGTGGTTCTGGCTTTGCCACACACACACACACACACACATGAGCTATAAGCTCTTGGGCAGATCCTTCATGTTTCTCAGCCTGCCTTCACCCATCTGTCCTATGCGGGGGTTGTATCAGCAGGGGCCGAGCCCCACCCCGGTGGAGCATGTGGAAATGTGTAGGGGAGTGTTTGTGTTGGCACAGCGGCTGGGGGTACTCAGCAGTGCCTGGAGGCAGGTTTCTTAACTGGCATGCTGGGTGGGATTACCTGGCATGGCGGAGAATTGTCCTGCCCAGAGAACCAACAGGGCTCAGGGAGAAGGAGTAGAGTTGCTCAGAGGCCTGTTACTGTATCCAGAGATGGGGGCTGGTATCTCTCGGGAGGTTGGGAGAGGGACAAAGAGCAAAGAGGGACAAAGGGGAACTCCTCACCTGAGCCCAGCCCTGGAGGATCCAGGACTTCATACTGACTTTATAAGAAAACTGCCAAGTTCCCACCTCTAGGAACTTGAGAGAATGAGACCAAGACAAGGCTCTCCCAGCTCGGGATGGGGGAAGGCACTATTAGCCTTTTCCTGCCCACCTGAAGGCAGAGTCTGCTTCTTCTGGGTGATGGCGACATCCTCTCCCATGTTCAAGACCCAGCAGCTCTCGGCCTCTGCAAGGCAGCCACGTGGGCCAGGAACAAAGCCCAGCGTGTTGCCCTTGATGCCACTCAAAGAAACCACCCACCTGCCTGGCCCTGCCCTCCGCCTCCCTAGCATCTGTTGCTAAGTACAGGCACTAGCTCTTCCCTTTGTTCCCACTGGCTACTCACTCCCTTTGTGGCTGGGCCGAATGAGTGTGGTACAGGAGGCTGAATGGCTCCAGCGAATGTTTGCGACAACGTGGCTCACCTCTCACCTGGAGCATGGGAAAGGTGGCATTGGACACGGCTGGATTTTTGAATCTGAGAACATGGAAACCCAAAGCAGCTCCTAGGGGTGCTGGGCTCAAAGGTCATTTCTGTTGTTGGCACCTTGGGCGTGTGTTAGTGCAGGTAATCTTTCCAGGGTTGTCTTGGGGCTAGGATGGAATGTTATGCAATGTCCCGATTGTGGGGATAGTGGTAAAAGGTGCCTGGTTCTCAGCCTGATGTGAAGATGGCTGAGCATCTGGTTGCGCTGGCGTGAAACTGTTTCCCCCAAGGCCTTGTGCCACCAGCCTCAGGGCCCCTTCCTCTTCTTCATTCCCCAGGCACTAACAGCCCGTGCCAACTACTCGGCATTTTTGTGACGACCACCAGACCCTGTTCAGTTGTCCCGTGTCCCCTCCAGACTTGGGGCCCCTTGCTTGAGGGGACGCTTTTTATCGTTGTATCCTGTAGAGCACCCAGCCCAATTCCAGTCCCTCAGCGGACTTGGCAGTTATACCACTGCCCTTCACACCTGTATTTTGGTAACTTCCCATGTACACAGCCCCTTTCTTCCTCCTATGTACTGGTGGCTCACGTCAGGCTTGAGGCTGCAACTCCTCCTGACTCTGCCTCTGCTGTGTCCCCACTGGCAGGTACCCAGGCTGCCATCATCTTCATCAAGGAGCCATCCTCCCAGGATGCACTGCAGGGTCGCCGGGCGCTGCTCCGCTGTGAGGTTGAGACCTCAGGCCCAGTGCACGTGTACTGGCTGCTCAACGGGGCCCCTGTCCAGGACACTGAACGGCGTTTCGCCGAGGGCAGCAGCCTGAGCTTCGCCGCTGTGGACCGGCTGCAGGACTCCGGGGCCTTCCAGTGTGTGGCCCGGAATGATGTCACGGGAGAGGAAGTGCGAAGTGCCAATGCCTCCTTCAACATCAAATGTGAGAGTCCAGGCTCTGTGCCTGGTGCCCCTGCCCGGTCCCTCCATACTGAGTCTAGGGGAGCCCTCCTTTGCCTCAGTCTCTCCTTTTGCCAGTTAAATGGGGCAGTTCTGCTGAGCTCTTTTTGTTCATGTGGAAAAGAAATTAGAGGTTTCCTAACCTCTTTTTCTTTTTTTGATGTTGCACATACTAAACATACACATGCTATAACCGAGGACTCTCAGTACTTCCACAAGTTGGGTGGGTGCACGCGCATGCGCACGCATGTGTGTGTACATTTACATACTGGGGCTTGAATTCAGGCACTGGGTGCTGTCTCTGAGCTTTTTCTGCTCAAGCCTGGCACTCTACCATTGAACCACAGCTCTCCTGGCATTTTGGGGGTTAATTTAAGAGTCTCATGGACTTTCCTGCCCTGGCAGGCTTCAAACCAGGATCCTCAGATCTCAGCCTCCTGAGTAGCTAGGAGTAGCTATTTTTTTGTCCTTTAAGTATGAAGCCCATTTTTTGGCTGGGAACTTTCACAAATGGGAAGCACAGTGACGGTTTGGGGGCGTGTCACGCTTCAGCTGGCGGTGACAGGGTTGGCACTCTATGTGGGACTGCATCCTCAGCCTCAGCTTCTCTGGGCTCTGCTGTGAGCTTGGCGCCAGAGGCTCAAGGTTCCGTGGTTGGCTGCTGCTGGTTCTCCTTTCCCTTGGCCTCGTCGTTCTTGAACCGCTTGGTCCTCAGCTGCCAATGTGGCCTCTGCTGCAGGGATAGAAGCTGGTCCTGTGGTTCTGAAGCACCCAGCCTTGGAAGCTGAGATCCAGCCACATACCCAGGTCACACTGCGTTGCCACATCGATGGACACCCTCGGTAAGGAGCCAAAGAGGGTGGGGCGCAGACAGGTAGGGGTGTCTCCCAGTTCCTAGATTCGTGCACATTTCATTCTGTAACCACTTCCCCACCCCAGTGTTCTTGGCTTCTCCCCAAATGTTCTCTGACAACCGCTTGTGACCCAGGAAGGGCCAAGGTTGTGTAGGCAGTGATCCTGGACTCTGTCCCGGATCTATTTGATTCTGTCCCTGAATTAACGTGTGTTCTTAAGCAAGTCACCTTCCCTCCTCTGCCTTCCATTTCTCTACTTGTGAACAGAGGTGTCTAGTTTGACTCTGGTTTTTATTTTTGGTTCATACTGGGGCTTGAATTCTGGATCTGGGTACTGTCCCTGAGCTTTTTCACTCAAGGCTGGTACCCTACTACTTGAACTCTACTTGTAGCTTTATGGTGGTTAGTTGGAGATAAGAGTCTTATGGAGGGGCTGGGCACTGGTGGCTCACGCCAGTAATCCCAGCTATGCAGGAGGCTGAGATCTGAGGATTGCAGTTCAGACAGGAAAGTCCTTGAGACGCTTCTCTCCAATTAAACACCAGAAAACCAGAAGTGATGCTATGGCTCAAATGGTAGAGCGCTGGCCTTGAACTGAAGAGCTCAGGGACACCGCCTAGGCCCAGAGTTCAAGCCCCACGACTGACCAAAAAAAAAAAAAAAAAAGTCTCATGGATTTGTCTGCCCAGGCTGGCTTTGAATCTGGATCCTCAGATCTCAGGCTTCTGAGTAGCCAGTATTATAAATATAAGCTACTGACATCCCTCTGATTCTGTATGCCCCTCTGCTGGCCATTGAAGTCTCCCCTCTCTCCTGCTGCTGACCTCCTCTTCTCCTCAGGCCCACCTACCAGTGGTTCCGAGACGGGACCCCTCTCTCTGATGGTCAGAGCAACCACACAGTTAGCAGCAAGGAGCGGAACCTGACGCTCCGGCCAGCCAGTCCTGAGCATAGTGGTCTCTACTCCTGCTGTGCCCACAATGCTTTTGGCCAGACCTGTAGCAGCCAGAACTTCACCTTGAACATAGCTGGTGAGCCTGGCATGGGCTGGAGGAGATGAAGCAGAGGGCTGGGAGGGAACTCACCACCCTACCTGCTCACCCCTCTCTGCTTTTTCCTGCCTCAGATGAAAGCTTTGCCAGGGTGGTGCTGGCACCTCGGGATGTCATTGTAGCAAAGAGCGGGGAAGCTATGTTCCATTGCCAGTTCTCGGCCCAGCCACCCCCAAGCCTGCAGTGGGTCTTTGAGGATGAGACTCCCATCACTAACCGTACTCGGTAAGAATCCATCTGGGAGCCTTCCAGTACTGTGACATGTGTTGTGTACTGCACATGCGTGCTTTCCAGAAAGGGAGATGCCATTCAATTCCAGTCACGCATACATTTGTGCATGTAGTGCTTCAGATTTCCAGCAGGTGGCAGTAGAGTGTTTTACAGTTGCAAACCGAGTCCAAGGAAAGGGAAGAGCCTCTGGGAAGGGCTTTTTTTTTCCCCTCCCCATTTCCTACAAACACTCTGAGCCAGAGATGGCTCTACTCCTCGCTTATTTCCCACATGTTTCTTCTGGGGGTAGGGAGAGTAGAAACCCAGGGATAGGAGAGATAAACAGGAGCTAATGAGGTCACAGCCTAGATAAAAAGAAAGGTCTAGGAACACACACACACACACACACACACACACACACACATACACACACACACACACACGCACACACACACACACACATTCATGCTCATACTTTTTGGAAGCAGTAAATGCCTATAGAAGGTGTTGGGAGATTCCAACCCAGCTTTAGGGACTTCTGTCCTTGTCTAAGGACAGAAAGAAAAGCGAAGAATACCTCTGTAGTGCCAGGCATGTCCATGGCCCCTGGGCATGATTCTTTATGCTAGGGCCTAAGGCTCTGTGGACATCATCAGTAGTTGATGTATTTTGGCTGAGGGTCTCTTGTTTCTGGAGCTGGACTCCTTATCTGCTTGGCCCTGCGGAAAGATGGCACCCTTCCATCCTAATAGTTGTACACTGTAAGTTATGCTTTCTCTCACATGCACGGTACATGAGCAAGAGCACGCATCCATGCATCTGCACAGACAGGAGCACACAGCAGCCTGGAGTGTGGGCTTTCTGCCCTCATCCCAGCCCACTCCTTCCTCCACTCTGACCCTGGTGGGATGGGATTCCATTCCCTTCCAGGAGGAGGCCTATGGCCACTTCTTCCAAACAGTGCTCTGTCTCCTCCACAGCCCCCCCCACCTCCGCAAAGCCATGGTGTTTGCCAATGGGTCCCTGCTGCTGACCCAGGTCAGGCCACGCAATGCGGGGGTGTACCGCTGCATCGGCCAGGGGCAGAGGGGCCCACCCGTTGTCCTGGAGGCCACGCTTCACCTGGCAGGTGGGTTCTTGGTGCTGAGGTGTTGCAGGAGAGAGCAGTCCGCGTTGTTGGTGTACAGGGGTTTGAAGCACCGTTGGGGGGCGGGGGAGGATGCTAGAGTTGGAGGGATGAGAGGCAGAGGTTACGGCTGGAAGTTGCCTGGGCTTGCTGTGGGAGAGCATCAGGCTTCATGGGATCCGCAGTAATTGCGCTGTCCACGTCCCACTCGTATCCTTACAGAGATCGAAGACATGGCGCCATTTGAGCCACGCGTGTTCACAGCTGGCAGTGAGGAGCGTGTGGCCTGCCTGGCCCCTCCGGGTCTGCCAGAGCCCCGGGTGTGGTGGGAGCACGCTGGAGTCCGGCTGCCTGCCCATGGCAGGGTTCACCAGAAAGCCCACGAGCTGGTGTTTACCATTATTGCCGAGACTGATGCCGGTGTCTACACCTGCCACGCAGCCAACCTGGCTGGCCAGAGGCAACAGGATGTCAACATCACTGTGGCCAGTGAGTACTTCTTCCCTGAAGCTCGAGAAGATGTGGAGGGGGGAAGCCCAGGGCCCTGGAGGTTTTGAACTCTGAGAGTGATAGAGGTGCCCCTGGTGAGCAAGCCAGATCTTTACTCTGGCTTCTCGGCTACCAGCACCCAGCTAAGACCAGCATTTTAAGTCCTGTCTCTGTTGTGTATTAGCAAATCATCACTACTCCTTGTTTTATGGGTTTTTTTTGGGTAGGTCATAGGGCTTGAACTCAGGGCCTAGGCACTATCCCCCAAGCTCTTTTGCTCAAGGCTAGCACTTCTACCACTTTGAGCCACAGCTCTTTGATGGTTCCTTTGAGATGTGAGGCTCAGGGACTTTCCTGCCCCAGGTTGGCTTCAAACCATGCTCCTCAGATCTCAGCCTCCTGAGTAGCTAAGATCACAGGTGTGAACCACCAGCACCCAACATCATGACTCCTTCGAACCTCTGTTTTCTTAGCTATAAAATGGGTAGAGGAATATATTCCTTGGAGGTTCACTGTGGCAGTAATGGGAGGACGCTGGCATCCAGGTCTTCACTCAGGGCTGACAGCTGCAGTGTCAGCCGAGCCCCCGGGGGTGGGGTTAGAAAGTCAGGGCCCAATGTGCAGTGAGAACTTTCTGGAGATGGGACCTGTTAATCAGCCTTCACTGTTCCCCCTTGTCTCCCTAGCTGTGCCCACATGGCTGCAGATACCCCAAGACAGCCAGCTGGAGGAAGGCAAACCAGGCTACTTGCATTGCCTGACCCAGGCTGCCCCTAAACCCACAGTGGTCTGGTATAGGAACCAGATGCTCATCTTGGAGGTGAGAAAGGCTAGCTGCTTGTGAATGGGGCATTCTCGCGGCTCTGTGCTCACCCCAGAGCCCCGCTGCCCCTGAGGCTGCTTCCAGGAGATGGCGTGGGTTCAGGCATTAATAAGCCAGTCATGCTCGCATCTGTGCCCTGCAGGACTCACGATTCGAAGTGTTCAAGAACGGCACCTTGCGCATCAACAGCGTGGAGGTGTACGACGGGACGCTGTACCGCTGCGTGAGCAGCACTGCGGCCGGCAGCATTGAGGCCCAGGCCCGGGTCCATGTGTTGGGTGGGTTGGGCCAGAAGAAGGAAGGGAGGGAGCAACAGGCCGGGCCTTGGCCTTTCACTGCCTCAATTCTTCCTCTTCTCCCCACCTCCTCCAATAGAAAAGCTCAAGTTCACACCACCGCCTCAGCCGCAGCAGTGCATGGAGTTTGATAAGGAAGCCACAGTGTCCTGCTCAGCCACCGGTCGAGAGAAGCCCACTATTAAGTGGGTACGAGCAGGTGGGTACCGTGTGGGCCCTGGGTGGGGCAGGCAGGACAGTCGACTGGTCAGGTGCTTGGCATCTAAGGGCCAGCAGGGCGTCCAGGACTGTACTGCAGGGTTTGGGAAAGATCAGGGATGATTTTTTTTTTTTTTTATAGTCCAGTGGGGAAGGAAAAAGTAAGGCCCCAGAGGGGTCAGATGGTTGCATTAGGTAACAGTTGTTGCTTTGGTCTGCACAGAGCTCGAAAGCCCTGCTTTGTAACACTAATGGTAACTTGACAGCGCTAGAAAATTTTGGGAGGAAAAGAATGCACAGACCCATTGTGCATCATCTTTGAGGGGGTGTGTCCTGTTCTTTTTCTATCAATCTTTTTGTTTTTGTTGTAATACAACTTTTTTTTTTTTTGTCGGTCGTGGGGCTTGAACTCTGGGCCTGGGCGCTGTCCCTCAGCTCTTCAGCTCAAGGCGAGTGCTCTACCACTTGAGCTACAGCGCCACTTCCGGTTTTCTGGTGGTTTATTGGAGATAGGAGTCTCACGGTCTTTCCTGCCTGGGCTGGCTTTGAACCGCGATCCTCAGATCTCAGCCTCCTGAGTAGCTAGGATTACAGGCGTGAGCCACCAGCGCCTGGCTGTAATATAACTTTTCATTTCTTAAATTTTGCATAAGACACAGTGTGTGTGTGTGTGTGTGCGCGCGCACACACATGTGTGCATGCATGTGTGTGCATGCCTGCGTGCTGGTATTAGAGCTCTTTTGCTCAAGATTGGTGCTCTGCCACTTGATAGCTGCACATCTAGTTTTTTAGTAGTTAGTTGTAGATAAGAGTCTCATAGACTTCCCTGCCTGAGCTGGCTTCAAACCGTCATCCTCGGATCTCATCTTCCTGTGTAGCTAGGATTACAGGTATGAGCCATTTGGTACCCAGAACTATATTGTTTATAAAATAGTTCTGTGCCTCAAACCCAACTTTGTGCACCTTTGTGCATGCTAAGTAAATGGGCTACCAGAGTTACAATCTTAGTTTTTTGTTTTTTGTTTTTGTTTTTTTGGACAGTCATGGGCCTGAACTCTGGGCTTGGGCGCTATCCCTCAGCTCTTCAGCTCAAGGCTAGCGCTCTACCACTTGAGCCACAGCACCACTTCTGGCTTTTTCTGTTTATGTGGTGCTGAGGAATTGAACCCAGGACCTCATGCATGCAAGGCAAGAGCTCTACCACTGAGCCACCTTCCCAGCTCCCAGAGTTACATTCTTATCTCAACTGCATATCAATTCATGTTTTTTTTCTCTTTTTTGTTTTTTCTTTTGAGACAGGGTCTCAGCTATGTAGGCCATTTGACCTACAGGCGTGATCCACCAGCAACTAACTATATATTCTGTTTTTGAGTATTGCAATGCTACCCAGTGATTGGATTAACTGCAATCTACTTAAATATTCCCTAAGTGTTAGAGATTTGGGTTATAAACCACCTTTCTCTCCCTCTCCCTCTCCCTCTCCCTCTCCTCTTTATTTCTCTCTCATCCCAGGGCTTGAATTCAGGGGCTAGGCATTGTCCCTGAACTAGGATTACAAGCATGAGCCACCAGTGCCTAGCATTCTCTCTTTTTGTGGGTATTTCCTTACCCCCCCACCCCCAGATTTAAGTTTATTTTCTTTGAGAAGGAATCCCAGAAGTGGAATTGTGTATACAGGGGTGTGAACATCCTACAACCCTTACACATTTGCAGTGGGAATGACTGTCATGTCATGGATTCTGCAGAGGACGTGAGCTTCCTCTGCTCAGCTCTGTAAGCCCTTTCTGGGTGAAGAGTACCAGGTGGATCCAAAGGCTGAGATGGTGGCAGGGAGAATTAGTTGGCTCTACAAGTGAGGAATAACAGGAAGTCCTTGGCTCAAGACCAAAAGTCCAATTAGGCAGAAGCCAAATGTTGCATGGAAGCACAAGGAGGTGAGATTACAACAGTAGAAAAGAAGTCAATAATGGGGTACCACCTGGCTCAGGAGTCAGCCCTTACCTGTGGGTAGCCAGAAATGCCCCCCCTTTTTTTGTTTTGTTTTTTTGGTCATGGGGCTTGAACTCTGGGCCTGAACTCTGTCCCTCAACTCTTCAGCTCAAGGCTAGCACTCTACCACTTGAGCCATTGAGCCACTTCCAGTTTTCTGAGTGGTTTACTGGAGATAAGACTTTCCTGCCCAGGCTGGCTTTGAACTACGATCCTCAGATCTCAGCCTTCTGAGTAGCTAGGATGACAGGTGTGAGCCACCGGCGCCCAGCACCCCTTGATTTTGAGCAGGGGTTCATGACTGAGAGCCTTGAAGCCACTGATAAAACTGTCGTGCATCTCACAGTTCCTTCCCATTGCCCCTGCAGATGGGAGCAGCCTCCCCGAATGGGTGACAGACAATGCTGGAACGCTCCACTTTGCCCGAGTGACCAGGGATGATGCTGGCAACTACACGTGCATTGCCTCCAATGGGCCACAAGGCCAGATCCGGGCCCACGTGCAGCTTACTGTGGCAGGTGTGACCCTGGCGGAGCCCCGAGGCCAGGACTGGCAGGCCCAGGGGTGAGGGGAGCAGCCGCTTACCCCTTGCCCTCCCCTGTTCACCACTCCCTGCCCCTTGTTGGTCTTTCCCATGCAGTGTTCATCACCTTCAAAGTAGAGCCAGAGCGCACCACGGTGTACCAGGGCCACACGGCCCTGCTGCGGTGTGAGGCCCAGGGAGACCCTAAGCCTCTCATTCAGTGGAAGGGCAAAGACCGCATCCTGGACCCCACCAAGTTGGGACCCAGGTAGGGCAACCTCTCTTCTGTCCCCACCTCCACTCTCCAGCAGGCGTGGCTCTTTGGGAGCTGGCCCTTGGGCAGTGCTGTGGCTTTTCTCCTGGTAGGATGCACATCTTCCAGAATGGCTCCCTGGTGATTCATGATGTGGCCCCTGAGGACTCTGGCCGCTACACCTGCATCGCGGGCAACAGCTGCAACATCAAGCACACCGAGGCTCCCCTCTATGTTGTGGGTACGGGCTGGGGAGAGGGGGTCCTACAGGAAGTGGTGGGCCTGACTTCTTATCTCACCTTGCACCCGTCTCTGTACAGAGATGACAGTTAAAGCATGGTCACCATGCTACCACACAGTCTTAGATTCCTTGCTCAGAGCTGGACAGTCACTTCTTTTAACATTCTATGTCTGGGATATGAGTTAGGTGTGTGGGGGGGGAGGTATTCTTTTCTTCAAATGCTTTCTCCTGCAAATTTATGAGAGGGGAAGATATATCTTAGCTCATGGCTTCAGTCTGTGATTGTTTAGACCTGGTGCTTTGGGCCTGTGGCATAGTATACTACAGAAGAAACATGTAGTAGAGGTCCATTCACCTCGTGCCTGGAAAATGAGAGGGAGATAGCTGGGATCCCAGTGAGCTAGCTTCTCTCCCTAGGCCCCACCCCAATGAGCTGACTTCCTCCCATTAGGCCCTATCCCAAATGTCCTCACTTTTTCCTGCTAGGCCCAACCTCCTAAAGGTCCTACCACTTCCTAGTAGCATCACGGCTGAGACCAAGCCTTCAACACATGGACTTTTGGTGAAAGGTGGGATGGAGAACATTCTAGATTCATATAATAGGAAGGCAAGGTGCCTTTGAGCTGGAGGGCCAAAGATGATGTGGAAGGTAACAACAGGTCTTGGTCTAGGCCTTTTCTACTAACCAGCTCTATGCTCTTAGAGAAATTCATACTGTCTGAAACTATAAGATGATTTAGCAGGATTGTTCTCCTAACAGTGAGCTATGTAGAAGTGAGGTAGTCAGGTCCCTTTATTGAAACCAAGGGTGAATGTAGGAGTTGGGAGGCTCCTGTGTAGTTTCTGTAGACTGTCGCTCACCTGATAACTCATGGCACCTCTCTCTCCTGGGCCATTGAGAGCTCGTAGGCTAGAAGTCCTTTCCGAAGATAGGCTTTATTGTACTGGACAATGACTGGGATTTTAAACTGGAAGCTCCTAAGTGCTTCTCTTCAGAGCCAGCTTGCAATTATTAATTCCCTTAGGAATCTTGCTAAATAATGGGGAGTTTATGGTGGCCTGATAGCTTTTTACATTTGTCCCATGTCTTGGATTCTGACGGACAGCTGGCTTGGGAATCACTGGCCTCACCTTAAAACCCACCTTTGACCTCAGTGGGGGGTGAAGACCTGCTGACCCCTGTGACGGGGTCCACAGTGAAGGCCGTGGTCCTCCCTAGGTCTCTGACAATTAATCATTGAGTGTCTAGTGATCGTCATGTATGTGCTGCGGGTTTAGTACTGAGAGAGAGCAACCCCTGCTCAGACCTATGGGTGTGTCTTCTTCAGACAAGCCAGTGCTGGAGGAATCAGAGGGCCCAGGCAGCCCTCCTCCCTATAAGATGATCCAGACCATTGGACTGTCAGTGGGTGCTGCAGTAGCCTACATCATCGCTGTGCTGGGCCTCATGTTCTATTGCAAGAAGCGTTGTAAAGCCAAGCGATTGCAGAAGCAGCCAGAGGGCGAGGAGCCAGAGATGGAGTGTCTCAATGGTGAGCCCCCTCACCTACCCCCCTACCCCCTCACCCCCACTCCAGGAGGAAATGGAGCCTTGTGTGTAGAGAGCCCCTCCCCATGGGCAACTGTTGAATTTTTTTAAATGGCAATATTCTAAGGCCTGTCTCACCCTCTCCTCCAAACTCCATTTTTTTTTTTTATCCTGGGGCTTGAACTTAGGGCCTAGGTGCTGTCCCTAAGCTTGTTTTGCTCAAGGGTAGTGCTCTACTACTTGAGCCATAGTTCCACTTCTGGCTTTTTGAGATGTTTAATTGAAGGTAAGAGTCTCATGGACTTTTCCTACCTGGGCTGGCTTTAAACCGTGATCCTCAGATCTCAGCCTCCTAAGTAGCTAGAATGACAGGTGTGAGCCACCAGCGCCCAGCTCAGACCCCATCTTTGTAACAGTGGGATGAGCACTTCCATGTAGCACTGAATGGACCAAGTTGGCAGGTGTGGGAGAACAGGGGATCGAACTGAGGTCCCAATGCTGACCAGAGTGGCGTCTCACTGGGATATTGCTGTCTCCTCTTGCAGGTGGACCTTTGCAGAATGGACAGCCCTCCGCAGAGATCCAAGAGGAGGTGGCCTTGGCCAGCTTGGCCTCTGGCACCATGGCCTCCAACAAGCGCCACAGCACCAGTGACAAGATGCACTTCCCTCGGGCCAACTTGCAGCCCATCACCACCCTGGGTATGTTGCCATGGCTACGGGGGCCCTTACTTCACTGCAGGAGAGTACCGCCTTGAGGCCCGGTGAAGTGCTGGTGGCTGACTGAAGTCCGTGAAACCTTGCCTATTAGAGATGGTGGAACACAGGTGGAGGTCTCTGCCAGGTATTCCCTATACCTCGGTCACCCCTCCACAGGTAGTGTCGTTCCTGTATCCTGCCTGTATCACTTCATGTTTTTATTACATTTGACTCCCTTTTTGAAAAAGACCAAGGTTGGCTTTGTTCTAGGAGAGAATGTGAGAAATTATAGGTTTGTGACAGTTACAAATGTTCCTGTATGCTAGGAAAAAAATTTAATTATTAATGCATGTTTATCACGAGCCACTCAATTCTCATGTCAACCACTTCCTTGGGAAATGCTTTTACTCTGATTTTTTTTTTTTCCTTCTTTTTGGTGCTGGTCCTGGGACTTGAACTCAGGGCCAGGGTGCTGTCCTAACTTTTTTCTGTTCAAGGCTGGTACTCTACCACTTAAGCCATACTTCCACTTCCAGCTTTTAGGTGGTTAACTGGAAATAAGCATCTCATGGACTTTACTGCCCAAGTTGTTTTTGAACCATGATCCTCAGATCTCAGCTTCCTAAGTAGCTAGGATTACAGGTGTGAATGCCAACACCCGGCTTCCTGTTGGAGCCACGGAAGCTCACAGACCCAGGACTAAAGTGGGCCTGGGTGGATATGAGGGGCAGGCGTACAGCGAAGCCCCCTTGTTGTATCAGAGGCCATAGGCTCCGCCCTCAGTCAGCAGTTTCCTTGCCTGGGTGAAGGCAGCTGGCTGATGGGAGACCTTTACCCACAGGGAAAAGTGAGTTTGGGGAGGTGTTCCTGGCGAAGGCACAGGGCCTGGAGGAGGGCGTGGCAGAGAGCCTGGTGCTTGTGAAGAGCTTGCAGAGCAAGGATGAGCAGCAGCAACTGGACTTCCGGAGGGAGTTCGAGATGTTTGGGAAGTTGAATCACGCCAACGTGGTGCGGCTGCTGGGGCTGTGCCGCGAGGCCGAGCCTCACTACATGGTGCTGGAGTATGTGGATCTGGTACGCTGTGCGCCAGCAGCCTATAGATGGTCAGCTGGGCAATGTGCTGACAGGGAAGGGGAGGTCAGAGGCTGTAAAACTGTGGAGGTCTTTTGTATGGGTGCCACTCCTAGGGTTTGCTCAATGCCTGGGTGCTGTCGCTGAGCTTTTTACTCAAGGCTGGCACTCTGCCATTTGGCCAGCTGGAGATGAGAGTCTCATGGACTTAACTACCCTGGTTGGCTTCAAACCAGGATCCTTAGAACTCAGCCTCCTGAGTAGCTAGGATTATAGATGTGAGCCACTGCACCCTACTTTTTATTTACCTGCAGTTGATCTCTCGTGTCTGTGTCTGGGAATTGTGCCTGAGTTCTTTCCCTTCGTACTCCAGATATATTCAGGTTGTCCTTCTGACTGGTTTTCTTTGGTGTCTTGACTTTTCTTCCAAGGGCTTGTCAGCACTTGAGAATAAGCTTGTCAGAACCTGGCTGGTCTGTCTTTCTTCTCCTTTCCTCTTCTCTATCCTTCCTTACTCCTTTCTTCCCCCTACCTAGTCCTTTCCTGGCCTGTGCTGGCATCTGCTTCCAGCCTTTTCTTCTCCACCAGCTTGTCATTGCCAGGGCCCTTCCTCTTCATTTCCCAGCTGCTCTAGGCCCTGACTCCCTTGGTTCTCAAACTACTGCTTGGCAAGTCTCCCTGGCCTGGGAGCGGGCTGGGTGGGCATCAGGTCAGGGCTTTTCACTGCCTACTGGCCGGGGCTCTTCAAGTGCTTGCTTGGTCTGATGCTTTAGGGCCCCTGGTTGAGTTCTGCCTTGACAGAGGCTCGGCTCTTCCCTTAGGGAGACCTCAAACAGTTCCTGAGGATTTCCAAGAACAAGGATGAAAAATTGAAGTCACAGCCTCTGAGCACCAAGCAGAAGGTAAGAACAAGATGGAGGAGTGGGGAGGAGGTTCCTGAGGGTAGGTCAGGATCAAGGACACTCTAAGGGGCCAGGCCCTCTGGTAAGTACTTCGTATGCTAATTATCATCTTAGTCCCTGAGATAGACTTTGCTTCTCCCCATTTTCTGTGCAAAGTATCTGAGGCTTAGAGAAATGACTTGCCCCAGTTGTGGAGCCTAAAAGTAGCCTTTTATTGTTATTGTTCTTGTTGTTGTTGTTGTTTTGGGTGGTGAGGCTTGAACTCTGGGCCTGGACGCTGTCCCTGAGCTCTTTAGTTCAAGGTTAGTCCTTTACCACTATGAGCCACTTCCAGTTTTCTGGTGGTTAATTGTAGATAGTCTCACGGACTTTCTTGCCTGGGCTGGCTTTGAACTGTGAACCTCATATCTCAGTCTCCTGAGGAGCTAGGGTTACAGGCACAAGCCACCGGCGCCTGGCTTAAAAATACCTTTTTGCTATTGTGCATTGTCCTGCCTTTGCGCAGGAGCTTCCTGTCAGAGGCACCTGCTTGCCTGCAGTGAGTGTTAAGCAGAGATGCAACAAGCACTGAAGTCTGGGGACTGCTGGGCCAGCTTTCTTCACCCTCAGTTGGAAGGCCATTCTGTGAGTGGGCATCGTTGGGCACTTAAGGTGCAGTGGGGAGATGAGGTAAATGAGGGGACGGCATTATAGGCTTAGGGGTTGAAGCACAACACAGGAAGTGAGTGGGAAGCATAAGAGACATGGAAATCATCTAGGTGGACAGACAGCTGTGGTTTCCTGGTAGAGAAAGCCATTTGAGTTCAGTTCTCAAGGACCGGAAGTAGTTGAATGACAGGAAGGGGAGGGCTCCTGAGAGAGGACTCATACCTTGATTTCTGTGGCTAGGACAGGGATATAGGCTGATAGCTTAGAGTAGGGGTACATGCCTTTCTCTAATTGCAGTATTCCAGATGCAGAGGCAGTAAGATCCAGAGTTGGAGGCCAGCCTGGGTTGTGTAGGCAAGGGAGGCCTTGTCTCAGAAAATGAACAAGAAAAACAAGACAAATTGGCAGGAAGGAAGTTAGTTACTTCTGTCACGTGACCTGAGATATTCTGATTGAAAGTCATTACCACCACCACCACCCCCCCTTTGCTAAGTATCTTGCCCATGTTTTTTTTTTCTATTTATAGTCCTGGCTACTCAGGAGGCTAAGATTGAGATAATTAGTGTTTCAGGTCAGCCTAAGAGGGGGGAAAAAAAGTCAGACTCCCATCTCAACAGAAGATGCTGGGTATGGTAGCTTGTACCTGTCATCCCACCTAGACAGAAATCATAACTAGAAAGATAAGGATCTTATCTGGGCAAAAAGTGAGACCCTGTTTTAAAAATTAACCAGAGCAAGCCATGTGCCGGTAGCTCATACCTGTAATCCTAGCTACTCAGGAGGCTGAGATCTGAGGATCATGGTTCAAAGCCAGCCTGGGCAGGAAATTCCATGAGACTCTTAGCTCCAATTAACCACCAGAAAACTGGAAGTGGCACTGTAGCTCAAGTGTGGTAGAGCACTAACCTTGAGCTGAAAGCTGAGGGACAGCATCCAGACCCAGAGTTCAAGCCCCACAACGGACCAAAAAAAAAAGCAGAGCAAAAAGATCTAGAGACTTGGCTCAGTGAAAAGTGCCTCCCTAGCAAGCATGAAGTCCTGAGTTCAAACCCCAGTTCTAACTGCCAACAAAGAAAGGAAAGCCAGGTCCTGAGAACTGGCATGACTGTAGGTGATGCCCATTAGAGAAGCTGCTAAGATGATGTCGGAAGACTGAGGCAGGCAGAACGGTGACCTGCGCCTGCCCCGTGGATCATCTGCATGACAGGCAGGGGCAGGAACCGCTTCACACATCTGGAGGGCCATGTTGTATGCAGTCTGAGGCCATGGGAGAAACAGAAAACCCATTGTGAGACCAGCTCAGCAGTGTCACAATGGGTGAGCAGGTCTTGAGCAAGCCCTTGGGTGTCAAGCTGGAAAGGAAGGGGGATGGGGGTGGCCTTTCCCAAGATCAGGACTCTAAAGCAGCATTTGAAATTTAACCTAGTGACCATCTGAGGGCATCTTGCCCAGTATCAAGGAAACCCTTCATGGGCTTGGGTCTACCAGAATTCCCCTTTCACTTAGCCCAAATCTCCAGAAGCACTGCTTCTCTGGAAAGATATCAAGTTAGTCACCACGCCAAGTCCACTCTCTTCTGTTTCCTTTGAGTAGCAGCAGATTGTTCAGCTGTGCGCTGGCTCAGAGGGAGCAAGCCCAGTGAGGGCATGTGGCCAAAGCCTGTGTCTATTAGTACAGACAGGACGGAATTACAGGTGTGAGCCACTAGTGCTCAGAAAGCAGCAAGTTTTAGTTTTGTACTTTAAAGAGTATAAAAGGTGCTGAAGATGTGGCTCAACACAAGGCCCAGAGTTCAAATCCCAGTACTGCAAAAAAAAAGGCATAAGAATGGTTTGAGAATCTCTTACAAATCTTCATCTGGATTGACTTTGTATTTTACCCCATTGGGTGGCTGGCTTTCGTTCTTTCTTTCTTTCTTTCTTTCTTTCTTTCTTTCTTTCTTTCTTTCTTTCTTTCTTTCTTTCTCTTTCTTTCTCTTTCTTTCTCTCTCTCTCTCTTTCTCTCTCTCTTTCTTTCTTTCTGTCTTTGGGCTTGAACTCTGGGTCTGGATTCTGTCCCTGAGCTTCTTTTGCTCAAGGCTAGCACTCTACCACTTGAGTCACAGCACCATTTCCGGCTTTTTCTGAGTAATTATTGGAGATAAGAGTCTCACAGACTTTCCTGCCTGGGCTGGCCTTGAACCATGATCCTTAGATCTTAGCCTCAGAGTAGCTAGATTTACAGGCATGAGCCACCAGCACCTGCTTATCCTGTTCTACTTTTATGTCTATAAGTATATTATTATATTTAAAGTTTTTTCTGAGGGACTGGGAAGGTGGCTCAGTGGTAGAGCGCTTGCCTTGCATGCCTGAGGCCCTGGGTTCAATTCCTCAGCACCACATACGCAAAAAGAAAAAAGCCGGAAGTGGCGCTGTGGCTCAAGTGGTAGAGCGCTAGCCTTGAGCTGAAGAGCTGAGGGACTGCACCCAGGCCCAGAGTTCAGGCCCCACGACCGGACCCCCCCCAAAAAAAAAGTTTTTTCTGAAAAATTGAAAATAAGTTAATGACAGACTTGAAGTTTTGCAGTGAGATGGATGTGTGTAAAGCAATGTGACATTGGATCTTGGCTTGTATTTGATCACCAGTGATGTTGGGCACTGCCCATGTTCTTATCTTTACCCTCCACAATTGCATTATGTGGTGGGTGACTTCTCCCTTCTCTCTTAGGAATCCTGAGATTGACTCTATATACCAGAAGAAATACATAGCATGCCAATGATTTAGCCAGTGATTTCCATGGGTCCCAGGGACCCCTTTTCTTTTCTTTTTTTTGGGGGGGAGGGGTCTGGTTGTGGGGCCTGAACTCTGGCCTTCAGCTCTTCAGCTCAAGGCTAGCGCTCTACCACTTGAGCCACAGCGCCACTTCCGGCTTTTTTCTTTTTGCTTATGTGGTGCTGAGAAATCGAACCCAGGGCCTCAGGCATGCAAGGCAAGCGCCCTACCACTGAGCCACCTTCCTAGCCCCACCCTTAGCTTTTCTGTTTGCCTCATTTGCGTGTGTGTCTATGCATGTGTGCTATTATTGGGGCTCGAGCTCAGGGACTTGAGTTGTCGCTTGGTTTTTTTCTTTCAAGACTGACATTCTACCACTTGAGCCACACCTTGACTTCTAGCATTTTGCTGATTAACTGGAGATGAATCTCATTAATTTTCCTGCCCACGCTGGCTTTGAACTGCAATCTTCACATCTTAGCCTCCTGAGTAGCTAGAATTACAGGCATGAGCCTGGATTAGGAAACTGTCAGGTTAGGTGACCCTAACCCCAGCCTTGGGCTCTTCTGACAGTCCCCTTTCTCTCCCCAGGTGGCCTTGTGCACCCAGGTGGCCTTGGGCATGGAGCACCTATCCAACAATCGATTTGTGCACAAGGACTTAGCTGCTCGCAATTGCCTAGTCAGCGCCCAGAGACAGGTGAAGGTGTCGGCCCTGGGTCTCAGCAAGGATGTATACAACAGGTAGAAGAGCCTAGGTGTGGGTCCCCACTCCTTCCCTAAGGGTGAGGGGCAGATGGCAGATATGGTTGAGGGTGCAACAACAGATGTGGCCCACTTAGTTGACACTGGAGGGGTCAGGAGGGAGGGTGCCTTTCCATCTCTAACCCCAGGTGCAGCCAACTTTTGGTAGGAGGTCCAAATCCCTGATGCCTAAATTTTCTCCAGTGATGACAAAACATAGCCAGGCCCTGGTGGCTTACTGCTGTAATCCTAGCTACTCAAGAAACTGAGATCTAAGGATCACAGGTCAAAGCCAGCCTGGGCAGACAAATCTCCATGGAGACCCAGCTCCAAGGAGGGCCAGGAATGGAGTAAGTCTGGCCTCCAGGCCACGGCCCCATGCACTTCCCTCCTGTGTTGCATCTCTATTGCAGTGAGTACTACCACTTCCGCCAGGCCTGGGTACCGCTGCGCTGGATGTCCCCGGAGGCCATCCTGGAGGGTGACTTCTCTACTAAGTCTGATGTCTGGGCCTTTGGTGTGCTGATGTGGGAAGTGTTCACCCATGGGGAGATGCCCCATGGAGGGCAGGCAGACGATGAAGTATTGGCAGGTAGGCATTGGTGTTCCCAGGGGATGATTCTCTCTCCCTCTCCCCCCACCTCCCTCTGTCAGTGCCCACGCTGGTATTTAGGAGATACATAGATAGCGCCACTCCAATTCTCAGAACACTGAAATGTGGGCTGGGACATAGCTCAGTGGTAGATTGCTTGCCTAGCATGTGTGAGGCCTTAGGTTCCATTCCAGTAATGGGGGGAAACATAAATAAAAGAGAGGTATTCACTAGACGTTATGTTGAAAATGAACTGTACAACTTACGAATGGGGACAAAAGGGAAAAAGTAGGAAGAGCAAGGGAAGGGGTTACATTGTTGAAAGATGTACTCTTTATCTGACTTTCATAACTGTAGCCCCTCTATACATCACTTTTACAATTTTAAAGAAGATACAGAAGTGCTTTCATGCTGGTTGGCCAGTAGTCCTGTCCCAGCTGTTCTAATGTCTGGCCTCGGCTCCTGCAAGAACCTCCCCTAAGCTTGGAGAGGATAGTCACCCCCGTTTGGTTACAAGATTCTGTGTACTCTGAGTCAGTGCCCACCTGTCACAGCCACACCCCAGATCGCCCCTCACATGGCTGCTTGTGGGATCTTTAGGCTTCACCGGGTATGTCAGGTCAGTAAGTATTTGGCCTGACTCTCTGTCTTCTGTCCTCCCTACAGATTTGCAGGCTGGGAAGGCTCGGCTCCAGCAGCCTGAGGGCTGTCCTTCAAAGCTGTACAGGCTGATGCAGCGTTGCTGGGCCCTCAGCCCCAAGGACCGGCCCTCCTTCAGCGAGATCACCAACGCCTTGGGAGATGGCCCAGCAGACAGCAAGCTGTGAGGACGGAGCCCAGTAGGCTGTGCCTCAGGACATCTGAGGGGAGCCTGTAGCATGACGGGCAAGATCCCTGTCTTCCTCCTTGGCCCCGGGGTTCCTGCCAGAGCACAGCCGGTGCTAAGGTCTGGGCAGTGCCTGGGCTTGTCTCTTCCTCCCCTTCAACCCTTGGACAGGCCATTTCTAACCCAGACTGGGTTACTAGGCTAGCCTTGGGCTGGGCATCTTTCTCTGCCACCCCTTCCCTCATCAGGGACAATATGGGAGCCTCAGGTAACCCCAACTTCCGGCCAGGTCAGAACTTCTTGGCCTTCTTCCTTTTGGCCAGGTCCAGCTCTGCCATTCATCTGCCGACTTTGCCTAGGAGGGCTAGGCTGGGGATGAGCTGGGTTTGGGGAGTTCCTTCATATACTCAAGTACTAGGCTAGCTCTGGACATACAGGGCCAATGGGCCTACCTGGGGGGTCTAAACCAAGATTGTGGAGGATACAGCAAGTGAGTCCTCCCCTTTGAGGCTTGTGCACACTAATCCAGACCTAGGCCTTCCCGTGCCCTTCCCTCCTTTCCTCATCCTAAGTGCCTGGCAGATGAAGGAGTTTTCAGGAGCTTTTGACACTATATAACCCGCCCTTTTTGTATTGTATGCACCACGGGCGGCTTTTATATATAATTGCAGCATGGGGTGGGTGGGCATGGGGCGGAGGGGTGGGCTCTGGGGAGATGGGAGAGTGGGCCACCTCTGCTCTCACTTTTGTTGTTTCGGGTTTTTGTTTTGTTTCTGTTTTTTTTTGGTTTTGTTTTGTTTTGTTTTTTGGTTTTGTTTTTTTTTTACACTCGCTGCTCTCAATAAAGAAGCCTTTTTTTTTTTTACAACCTGTTTTTGAGATTCATTCTCTGCTTTTGTTCACAAATGTTGTTCCGTATTTCTCCTCGCGGGTTGGAAGGGGCCCTGTGCCTTCATGGAGTCCGGTGGGCGAGGGGACTACCCAGTCGGTAGATACTGGTCCTTCCCTCCAGTTCATAGGTGGTTGAGAGTATGTTCCTATTTTGCAACCTAGTGAGAGCTGCCAGCTGCTGGCTGCTGCCTGGTCTGGTCCTCATGCTCAGGTAAGGAGGGGTGGCGGGAAGACAGGTGACACTAGGCTTGGAGAAGGGGTTAATAGCAGATGCAGGCTTTCAGACCCTTTAAAAGTCTAATAAGCTGCTTGTAATCCCAGCACTTGGGAGGCAGAGGGCAGAAGATCAAGAGTTCCAGACTAAGCCAGCTCACATCTATAATTCTAGCCACTCAGAAGGCTGAGATAGGATCGCAGTTCAAAGCCAGCCTGGGCAGGAAAGTCCATGAGCCTCTTTTTTGGGGGGGTCAGTTGTGGGGCTTGAACTCTGGGCCTGAACACTGTCCTTGAGCTCTTCAGTTCAAAGCTAATGCTCTTCCACTATGAGCCACAGTGCCACTTCCAGTTTTCTGGTGGTTAATTGGAGATAAGAGTCTTTCAGACTTTTCTGCCTGGGCTGGCTTTGAACTTTGATCCTCAGATCTCAGCCTCATGAGTAGCTAGGATTACAGGTGTGAGCCACCAACACCTAGCCCTAAGACTCTTATCTCTAACTACCAGAAAACTGGAAGTGGGACTGTGACTCTAAGTGGTAAGAGTGCTTGCCTTGAACAACAGAACTCAGGGACAGCACCCAAGCCCTGAGATCAAGCCCCACCACTATACTTCCACCCCTCCCCCCAAAAAGTTCCAGACTTGTCTAGGCAGTATAGCTAAACCCTATCTAAAAACAACTATAAGGAGTACAAACTCTGGGAAAGGGCTGGGATTATGGCTCAATGGTAGACCACTTGCCTAGCATTATCAAGGCCTGGGTTTGGTTATCATCACACCAAGAAAAAAAGACTGGGATAGAGAGGAAGTTGATGGATGGACCTGAGATGTGCTTGGTGTCATTGCTACAGGACCTACAGCCCCTCATCCTCTTACCTTTGTGTCATCTGCCCACACTGGAGCATGCTTTTTTTTTTTCTTTTGTTGATCCTGGGGCTTGAACTCTGGGCCTGGGCACTGTCCCTGAGCTCTTCAGCTCAATGCAAGCACTCTACTATTTGAGCCACAGTGCCACTTCTGGTTTTCTGATGGTTAATTGGAGAGAAGAGTCACATGGATTTTCCTGGCTTTGAACCATGATCCTCAGATCTCAGCCTCCTGAGTAGCTAGGATTACAGGGTGAGCCACCAGTGCCCAGCTTGGAGCTTGCTTTTATGCACAGGCAGAAACAACATGAAGGTCTGTTAACAGTTTATTGGCCAAAATAAGTCACATAGTGAAACCAAATGTCATCACCAATAGGAGATACTGCAGTCACATAGTAAAAAGGGTATATGCACATCATCCCTTGGGTATTGGTTCCAGAACATATAACCTCCTACCTGTAGATAGTACCAAAATCTGCAAATAGTAGGACTGTTTGCATAAGGCCTCGGGTTCAAACTCTAGTGCCACCAGAAAAGAAAAAAAAAAAAGTTCTCAAGGCTCTGAGGCAAGATGATATGTTTGTATATAATATATACATCTGTCTGTATGCAGCTGTTTCCAGCCACCCAAGGTAGAAGCAGGAGAGGATGGTGACTTAGATGCCAGCCTCAGCCAAGTTTGGACAAAATTAGTAAGGCTCTATCTCAAAAAAACAAGAGCTGGGAATATGGCTTAGTGGTAGAGTGCTTGCCTATCATGCATGAAGCCCTGGATTCAATTCCTCAGTACCACATAAACAGAAAAAGCCAGAAGTGGCGCTGTGGCTCAAGTGGTAGAGTGCTTGCCTTGATCAAAAGAAGCTCAGGGGGCTGGGAAGGTGGCTCAGTAGTAGAGAGCTTGCCTTGCATGCATGAGGCCCTGGGTTCGTTTCCTCAGCAGCACATAAGCAGAAAAAAAAAAAGCTGGAAGTGGCACTGTGGCTCAAGTCGTAGAGCTGAAGTCCTTGAGCTGAAGAGCTGAGGGACAGTGCCCAGACCCAGAGTTCAGGCCTCAGGACCGGACAAAAAAGAAGCTCAGGGACAGCACCCAGGCCCTGAGTTCATCCTTAGGACTGGCAAAAGAAAAAAAAAAGAAGGAAGGAGCTGGGAAGGTGGCTTAGTGATAGAGTGCTTACCTTGCATGCATGAGGTCCTGGGTTTGATTCCTCAGCACCACATAAGCAGAAAAAGCTGGAAGTGGTGCTGTGGCTGAAGTGATAGAGCGCTAGCCTTGAGCTGAAGAGCTCAGGGACAGTGCCCAGGCTGAGTTCAGGCCCCACAACCGACAAAAAAGAAAAGAAAAAGAAAAATGGTCTCAATAACTAAAATTAGAACACAGTATATCTTTCTAAAAAAAAAAAAAGGCATTAAAAGAGTTAGGGGGCCTGGCTCAATTAGTAGAGCACTTTCCTAGTATACACTAGGTCCTGGGATCGACTTTTTAGTGCTGCAAAACTTTTATACAACAATATTTAATCTTGCTTTTTTTGTAATACCCATTAATGTATTACTTTAAATGCTAAATTGGTGTCACTTATCAGTACCCATGAATAAGTCACAACCAAGTGCTTTATTTAATCTTAACAACAGTTAAGACTGGAAACATTATCTTCTGCACACATTATCCTTAAACACGTCCAGTGTGTTTAAAGGGATAGGAGATGAAGTAACTTCATCTCTGAAGTAATCTCTGGAATGAAGTAATTTACCCTAGGTAGCTCCAATTAACTACTCACTGACCTCTCAACTGTATGCTTTACTCTTTATCTCAGGAAATCTGAATCGAGTCTGGAGGGATAGGTACCAAACGCTGGTGACACAGAATGGTGATTTGGGATCAAGTCGTTAGTTACCAGGCACAAGATTTAACAAGAGACAGATACCAGATTTGCATAATTTCCGTAACGCCCTTAGTCCAAAGTATTTTCACAACAGGCCTAGACCCAGATCCTGAACCTAAGCTTTACAGCACCCTAGATCTAACTCAAAACTAAACAAACAAAACAACCAACTTTTTCTTCTGTGCTCCTTCGCAGGGAGCATGCCCGCGTGCAGATGGGCTTCCCTGAACTTTTCTGTCCAGCTATACTTTCAGGCCTTCCGCTGGCTGTGGGGTGTGCTTTTTCCTCCGGGACCACCCCCTCTTCCAGCCCAGCCAGCAGCTGGAAGTCTTCACTGATCTCCATCTCTCCTCCCAGCCCCCACCAGGGACCGAAGAACGACGGTCTGGTCTCTCTCCCCGGGCCTTTTCCAGATGTAAGTCTGCCAAAGACACCCCCCCCCCTCCACCTCTTTCCCGCCCCCGAGTAAAGGATGATGAATGAGGACCTGGGAGCCAGACTCGTGGGAAACTGTTGATGTCTTAAAAAGAGGCGAAGGAAACGCAGGGGGAAGGGCAGAGAGTCGACGGCACTCAGGCCCCCTTCCTCCTTAGTAGGAAGGGGTGGGAAAGTGCTCCAATCAATCCCCGAACACCTTCACGGAATTGAACCGTATCTTCTCTCCTATGGCAAACCCTCAAGAAACTCGGGGATTTGCCAAGTGTTTGTCTTTAGCTCCCTCCCTTCCGCAGTCGCAACTCCCCTGGTCAACTCGGGCTGGCTAAGTGTTGGTCTTTAGCTCGATTCCCTCCGGAGGACTGCACTCCCGTCCTTCCCAGACTTCCTCTTTGCTAGTCCCTCCCAGTTCTTCACCATTTTCGGGCTGGGGGGCGGAGCGTTGCTGGCTCCCTCCGGCTCCTTTAAGAGGACTTGGCTCCTCCCACCTCGGAATCGCGTTCTGACGCGGGATGACAGCAGCAAGTTCGGTATGTCCATGCAAATGAGCTCTCCCTTCGGGCCAATAGAAAGCGGAGGTGCCGGAACCGCGGACCAATGGGGCGGGGGCGCTGGGGCTCACCATATAAGGAGCGGCCTCGCCATAAAAGGAAACATTGTATCTCTTTATATGGGGGGAAGGGTCGGGGGATCCCTCCGCCGCCAGCGCGTGGTCCCGGCCCCCTCCACCCGCTGTCTCGGCCGCGGCCAGCAGCCCCTGCCCCCCGGGGGACGCTGACGGCCGCCGGGCGCGCCGCCCTAGCAGACGGACAGGGGGCGCTGCGCCCGGCCTGGGGCAACCCGGGCCACAGGGGCAAGAAAGTGAGGGCCCAGGTCGGCCCGGGCGTGCAGGGGCCCCGGGTTCGCAGCGGCGGCCGCGGCCGCGAGAGCCGCACCAGCAGTAGCAGCAGCGCGAGTGCCGGGTTGAGCCGAGAAGCCCATGGCGGCGGCGGCGGCGGCCCCGATTCCTCGCTGACTGTCCGTCCGCCCTCCTGCATTGAGCGCCATGTTACCGAGCCAAGCTGGGGCCGCGGCGGCTCTGGGCCGGGGCTCAGCCCTGGGGGGCAGCCTGAACCGGACCCCGACGGGGCGGCCGGGCGGCGGCGGCGGGACTCGCGGAGCTAACGGGGGCCGGGTCCCCGGGAACGGCACGGGGCTTGCACCGGGCCGTCTGGAGCGAGAGGCTGCGGCAGCGGCAGCAACCACCCCGGCGCCCACCGCGGGGGCCCTCTACAGCGGCAGCGAGGGCGACTCCGAGTCGGGCGAGGAGGAGGAGCTGGGCGCCGAGCGGCGCGGCCTGAAGCGGAGCCTGAGCGAGATGGAACTCGGCGTGGTGGTCGGTGGGCCCGAGGCGTCGGCAGCGGCCACCGGGGGCTACGGGCCGGTGAGCGGCGCGGTGAGCGGGGCCAAGCCGGGGAAGAAGACCCGGGGCCGCGTGAAGATCAAGATGGAGTTCATCGACAACAAGCTGCGGCGCTACACGACCTTCAGCAAGAGGAAGACAGGCATCATGAAGAAGGTACGGAACCCCGAGGCCAGCCGGCCACCGGGGACCGGGCGGGCGGGGACGCGCAGGGGGAGCCCGGGAGCCAGGCAGAGGCGAGGCGGAGGTGAGAGGCGGCGTGTCCGCAGGAGGTGTGTAGGAGGGGAACGGCTGTACCGGGGGTGGGGGGGTGAGGGGGGGAGATGGAGAAAGGGGAGGGGCCGCCAGAGAAAAGTGGGGAGAGGGGACACGTCTGGGGAGTCGGGAGGGAAAAGGCGCCGAGGTGGGAGTGACCGACTTCGGGGAGGAAAAAGAGGGCCCCGGTGGGGTGCCGGGGTGGTGAGCCGCAGCCATGCCGGGGGACGTGGGGGCTAGCAGGTCCAGCGATCCCTGGTGTTCGGGATGGTGGGGGTGGGGGCGTCGGGAAAGCTGGGGGCAGAAGAGATGGTGCAGGTGAGGAGGTTGTGACAACCGTGAGCGAGCCTGTGTAGGAGGAAGGTGGGCACCACCGGAGGGGGGGTCAGGCCGGGTGAGGGACCAGGTGAGGGTGCAGAGCCCCGAGAGCTGGTGGTCCTGCTTTGAGGAGCCAGCCGGGACCAAGTCCCGCCCTGGCCATGTGTCTTGCTTGCCTGTGCTTTCTCTGGAAACCTCGTGCTCCTGGCAAAGACTGGCGTTCGGAATCGCCTGCCTTTGGAACAAGTGGGGTTTCCAGCCCCAGAGCAAATCAGTGCGTGGAGTTGGGAGAGAAGTCAGAGAGAGTGGTAGAGGTACCCAGACATTCCTCCTGCCTATTATCCGGAGGAAGGTGGTAAGGACAGGGAGGCAGAGAAACTAGGAAACAAACTAGGGAACATCCGTTGGCTGATGTGTTTTATCCGTCCAATGGAGAAATCGGAGCTGCTTTCCAGGTGGGTTGTGGAACTTCGTTGAGAGTATGCGATGGCATCCCCCCGGGTCTCCTTCCGGGGCTCATCCGAGTATTTGGTGCTAAATCAGATTCCTATCGCTAGTCATTTCAGACAGCTTTGTGTCTGTGTCCCTTGTCACTTATCATTGGAGAAGATGTCACTTATCATTCCTTTCTTATCCCTCCTTCAGAGGAGGGCTTTGGCAACAGGTTAGGATCTGTGCTGTTTCTGGAAGGAAAGGTGGGGGGGCAGCGTGGGCTTAGGGGGTCCCCTATGGCAAAATGATGTGAGGATTGAGTGTGGGAGGGATCTAGCCTGTCCCTGTGACTGCGGACAAAGTGGGCCTCTGTGTGAGGCTCCAGGCTCCAAGCAGTGTTGGAGAACAGTTAACTGGATCCCTCCATGTCCCCTGAGGTCATAGGCTCCATCCCTGGGGGGCTGTGACTGTGCTTGGGGTATCTACAGGTCGTTGAGACCACTCCCACAAGGAGAAGCATGGGTAGTTTTTCTACTCCCAGCTCACCTTCAGATATCCCAAGAGGACTGCTCTGCTGGAGTCATTAGAGGAAAGTCCTGTGGGAGTCGGGGCTGGAGATCACCGGGTAATGATTCTCTTTCCTACTTCCCAAGGAAGGTCAAGAGAAAAAGTTTTGCTGACCTGCCCATCTCCTTCCCTACTCCCAGGCCTATGAACTGTCCACGCTGACAGGGACACAGGTGCTGTTGCTGGTGGCCAGTGAGACAGGCCATGTGTATACCTTTGCTACCCGCAAACTGCAGCCCATGATCACCAGTGAGACCGGCAAGGCATTGATTCAGACCTGCCTCAACTCGCCAGACTCTCCACCCCGCTCAGACCCCACCACAGACCAGAGAATGAGCGCCACTGGTTTTGAAGAGACAGATCTCACCTACCAGGTGTCGGAGTCTGACAGCAGTGGGGAGACCAAGGTGTGTTTGTGTCACCTCTGTGAGGGAAGGGAAAGGAAGAGGCCCCTTTCCCTCCCTAGCCCAGTACGGGTAAATAGGGGCCCATGGATGTGGAGTTGTGGAGTTGAGCTGGGTGAGGGCCCCTTTTTCCCAGGGCGCAGGTGTCCATCCTCTATTCCTGACAGGAGGCCGGCCCCCTAGATAAGCGGGCGGCCTCCGTGCCCATATAAGGCCGGCTCGGGCTCCACGCCGGCCTCCCGCCTGCAGCCCGCCTGCCTGGCAGGGCCTTTGCATTCCTCCCGCCAGCTGTCTCCCCACTGGGGGCGGGGGTGTAGCTTAGCCCTGCCCTCCTGGCAGGCTGGGGCGCCTCAGAGTAGGAAGGGAGCAGGTTCCAGGGTCCTGGGAACACAGCACCGTTGGCAGATAGGCCCACTGACCTGGCTAGGGACTGACTCCCTTCCTAGCTAGCTGCTTATGCCTTCAGGGTGTCGGGCCCAGGCAATTAGCTAGTGCATTTGCCGGCTGCTAGGGTTGCCGGCCTTAGTTACGCCACCCCCCTTCCTTTTGCCGGGTACCGGGTAAGGAGAGGGGGCGGGGCTTCCTTCTTGCTGTCTGGGGAGCTCCACCTTCCGGGTGGCCCTTAGGTAACTGGCCAATGGGAAGAAGCGGCACTGTTTGCCTTAGCAACGCCTTCGCCAATCAGGGACCTTGAGCTCTGCTGCTTAGCAAACATCCCGTGCTGCTGACCTAACACTAGCTTTTTGAGCATTTGGGTCTAGGCTTGGTGGCTTGGCTTGGTGACTTAGTTCTCAGCTCCTGGTTTCCTTCTTCCCCTTCTAAGAACAGAGGCTCCCTGGGGGAAAGAGTCAATGTTCCAGGCTCCCCCTCTAGTAGTTGGATTAATTTATTCGAAGAAAATTCTGGTGAATGAGTAAGTTCCTTGGTAATTTAAGGATTAAGCATTTGGCATAAAGTTACTTCATTGCCAAACCTCCAAACCTTAACTTTCCTGAAAGTCTCCCAATCCCTGTCTCAGAGCCTGGAAGATCAGAGCTAGAAGAATCCTTTTGAAGAGAACATAGTAGCTCAGCCCTTACATTTACAGGACAGGACAACACAACCGAGTCTCAGAAAAGGGAAGAAATTATCTGATCTCAGGATCACACAGATGGTTATTGCCAGCACCAAGAATAGACCCTAGAACAGAGAACACAGGGATTCAGGGGATTATGGTGGTGGCTACCATAATTACAAAAGCAGCAAGTATTTGAGTCTTCTTATGCTTCAAGTGCCCCCTACCCCAACTCCAGTCCTGGGGCTTGAACTCAGGACCTGAGCACTGTCCTTGAGTTTTTTGCTCAAGTCTAGTGCTCTACCATTTGAACCACAACTCTACTTCCAGATTTTTTTTTTCTGGTCTTGATGCTTGAACATTGGGGCCTGGGCACTGTCCCTGAGCTCCTTCTGCTCAAGGCTAGCATGTTACCACTTGAGCCACAGTATCACTTCTGGCTTTTTTTTGTGATTTAATTGGAGATAAGAGTCTCATGGACTTTCCTGCCCCTGCTGGCTTAGAACCTCTAGGATTAGTTGTGAGTCCCCAGTCGGGGTAGGTTTTATCCCTCTTTTTTTTTTTGGTTGGTCACAGGGCCTGAACTCTGGGCCTGGGCACTGTCCCTCAGCTCTTCAACTCAAGGCTAGTACTCTACTTCTTGAGCCACAGCGCCACTTCTGGCTTTTTCTGTTCATGTGGTGCTGGGGAATCGAACCCAGGGCCTGATGCATTCAAGACAAGCACTCTACCACTGAGCCACCTTCCCAGCCCTTATGCCTCTTTTAAAGAGATAGGAAACTAAAGCACAGTGGCTCCATAACTTGTCCAAGTACCAGCAGCAGATAGATGGTAGAGATTGGATTTGAACCCAGGAGCATTGATGTCATTCTGGAGTCTCAATTCATACAAAGCTACTGCAGGGTGGAAGCTGACTGTTGCATCTTTTCTCTGGGTATAGGACACACTGAAGCCAGCGTTCACAGTCACCAACCTGCCCGGTACCACCTCTACCATCCAAACAGCCCCTAGCACCTCCACCACCATGCAAGTCAGCAGTGGTCCCTCCTTCCCCATCACCAACTACCTGGCACCAGTGTCTGCTAGTGTCAGCCCCAGCGCTGTCAGCAGTGCCAACGGGACTGTGCTGAAGAGTACAGGCAGTGGCCCTGTCTCCTCTGGGAGCCTTATGCAGCTGCCTACCAGTTTCACCCTCATGCCTGGTGAGTCGCAAGGGGCAGGGAAAGATTTGTCTTCCCTGGGACAGAGGGAGCATGCTGAGTAGTTTTAGGGCTGGTACCAGGACAACCTCTTTCTCTGTGGAGAAGGAGGCTGAGGGGTGGTCAGAGCCTGAGAGAAGCTTCTTATGTCCCATTTCTTACCGAGACCCCTGCTGTCTTTGAAACTTACTAAAGTTACAACTACACATTCTGGCCTTGTCTAGCCTAGTCCTATTCCTTTATTGCCATGGAGACAGTAGACATTCTACTTCCCTGTCTTATCTCTTGTCTGGAGGGAGATCATGTCCTTGATGGGTCAGTGCCAACTTCTGGGTCAACTGAAGAAGGTAGAAGCAAGGCCTGGGGCAAGAGGAAGAGGGCAGAAACTGGAGAGGTGATTCAGGGCATGATTTCTTGGCTCCAGGAAAGATAGAGATGGGAGTTGGGGACCAGTGTGCCAGACCCAGTCATGGAGTTTTTAAGTGTGTTTGGTACAGGTGACAGCTGGGCATGATGGAGCCCAAGTAAGACACTGTGTCTTGTAGGTGGGGCAGTGGCCCAGCAAGTTCCTGTGCAGGCCATTCAGGTGCACCAGGCGCCACAGCAAGCGTCTCCCTCTCGTGACAGCAGCACAGACCTCACGCAGACCTCCTCCAGCGGGACAGGTATGACTTGGATCCTTCTCTCTCTCCCTGCTTTTCCTCCCTACATGAGGTCCAGCAGAAAGTAGCCAGCAATGCTCCTCGCATACCTAAGGTTGGGAGTTAATGAAGAATACACTGAGGCTCTTGGCTTCATGCTTATGGGAAAGTCAGGTGAGGATAGTTGGGTTTTGAATTCCAACTTGTGGTGGGCCATTATGGACCTCTGAAGCTACCTCCTCCCAATTTAGAAAGGAGAAATTGTTTTCTTTTCTTTTGCCAGTCCTGGACTTAAACTCCAGGCCTGGGCACTGTCCCTGAGCTACTTTTGCTCAAGGCTAGCACTCTACCACTTGAGGCACAGTGCCACTTCCAGCTTTTTCTTCTTTTTGGTTGGTCGTGGGCCTGAACTCTGGGCCTGGGCACTGTCCCTCAGCTCTTCACTTCAAGGCTAGCGCTCTACCACTTGAGCCACAGCACCACTTCCAGCTTTTTTTTTTTCTGCTTATGTGGTGCTGAGGAATCGAACCCAGGGCCTCATGCATGCAAGGCAAGCGCTCTACACTGAGCCACCTTCCCAGCCCCACTTCCAGCTTTTTCTGTGTATGTAGTACTGAGGAATGGAATCCAGGGCTTCCTGCATGCTAGGCAAGCACTCTACCACTAAGCCACATTCCCAGCCAGAAATCATTTTCTTAATTACCCAGAAAGACTTCTAGAGCACTGGTCTCCTTGTGAGATAAATGATTTGGTATATTTCCTCTCGGGTTATCTTTGGCCACACTCAAAATTATTTTACCTGAGAGCTTGTGGAAATGCAGAATCTTAAATGTCACCCCGAATCTATTGAATGAAAATCTGCAGGATCAATGACTTGTGCATTCCCAGGTAACTACATTCTGTTTAAGTGCTTATTTAAAGGTGAACTAGGGGGCTGGGAAGGTAGTTCAGTGGTAGAGTGCTTGCCTTGCATGCATGAGGACCTATGTTTGATTCCTCAGCACCACATAAGCAGAAAATGCCAGAAGTGGCGCTGTAGCTCAAGTGGTAGAGTGCTAGCCTTGAGCTGAAGTGCTCAGGGACAGAGTTCAGGCCTCATGACTGACCAAAAAAAAAAGGTGAACTGGGAGCCAGGCATGGTGTTGCATACTTGTGATCCCAGTTTTTGAGGGTTAGAGGGAGAAGAGTTGTGAGTTCAAAGCCAGCTTGGGCTACATGGTGTTTGAAGCCAACCAGAGCTACATTGTCTCAAAATAAAAGGTATGGTGTGAATTTGCTAGGGTGAGTTTAGAAAGACGAAGGAGAAGAAGGAATAAGAACAAATACAAGCTGGGCACTAGTGGCTCACGCCTGTAATCCCAGCTACTCAGGAAGCTGAGATCTGAGGAATGCAGTTCAAAGCCAGCCCGGGCAGGAAAGTCTATGAGACTCTTATCTCCAATAAACCACCAGAAAACCAAAGTGGCCCTGTGGTTCAAGTGGTAGAGCGCTCACCTTGAGCTGAAGAGCTGAAGGACAGCGCTCAGGCCCAAAGTTCAAGCCCCATGACTGACAAAATAAGAAGAAGAAAAAGAAGAGGAGGAGGGGGAGGGGGAGGAGGGAGAGGAGGAGGGGGAGGAAGAGGAGTAAGATGAGTACCAGTGGCTCATGCCTGTAATCCTAGCTACTCAGGAGGTTGAGCTCTTAGGATCACAGTTCAAAGTCAGCCTAGGCAGAAAACTCTGAGACTCTCCAATAAACTACCCAAATAAAGCTGGAAGTGGAGCTGTGGCTCAAGTGGTAAAGCACTAGCCTTGAGCACAAAAGAGGAACAGTACGCAAGCCCTGAATTCAAGCCCCAGGACCAGCAATAACAACAACAAAAAGTTTCATTGCTGCTAGTCATTGTAGTGACAGGGTCTGGAAACAGTTCAGTGGATGGACAATCCTATTAGATTGTACAAAGGACACAGCACAAGAGAACAGTTTTTTAAGGTTGAGTCTTTTATGTTCAGAGAAAAATGAGGCTTTTCTTAAGGATAGATGCAAAGGAACAGCCCCGTCAACTCCTGCCCCAGGGACAGAGTACAGAGACCCCAAAGTCTTGAGTCATAGGGTGGGATTTATCAGAAGGGATCAGTTCTTAGCTCACTGATATGCATCTGTGTTTTCTAGTGACGTTGCCTGCCACCATCATGACGTCATCCGTGCCCACAACAGTGGGCGGTCACATGATGTACCCTAGCCCCCACGCGGTGATGTATGCTCCCACGTCAGGCCTGGCTGATGGCAGCCTCACCGTGCTCAATGCCTTCTCTCAGGCACCATCCACCATGCAGGTGTCCCACAGCCAGGTCCAGGAGCAAGGTGAGGGAAGGGGCAGGGCCAGAGGAAGGAGGACCTTTTCCTCCCTTACTGTCGTCCCACATGCGCCACCCATCCTCGTCCACTCATGCAACACTTACGCCCCTTACACCCACACATACCCTCACCCATGGGGTGAGAACATACTGGGCCGCCCTCCCTTGGGCACTGAAGTCTGAGACTAACCAGTCACACATGCGTCTTTCTCAGCACTTCCTCAGTGGGGGGAGGGGAGGGTGTGCTCCTCCTGGGCAAGTGAGTGAGTGTCTGGTTCTCCATGCAGGTGGCGTCCCCCAGGTGTTCCTGACCGCACCGTCTGGCACAGTGCAGATTCCTGTCTCTGCAGTCCAGCTTCACCAGGTGCGTATAGGCATTTCTCACCCCTCCCACACCGCCACGTCATCCTGAGCCCTGAGCCGCGCTGAGCTCATGACCACGTGGTCCAAGCCAGACTCCTTAGCTGGGATGGGGGCATGTTTTTCTGCTCAGGTATGTGGTGAGTAGGTAGGTAGGAGTCTGAGCTGGCGGGCGGTTGTGCGGGCGGTTGGTCCTGCCTGCCTTCCTCACCCCCCCCCCCCATCCCCCTTTCCCTCCCAGATGGCTGTGATAGGACAGCAGACCGGGAGCAGCAGCAACCTCACTGAGCTACAGGTGGTGAACCTGGACGCCGCCCACAGCACCAAGAGTGAATGATCCGTCCGCCACCCTGGACAGATGGCCCACGGGATGGCACCACTTATTTATTGTTGCCTTTTCACGTTTTCTTTACACACATGTTGACGGGCCACAGGAGGGAGGCGGGAGAAGGAGTGGGCAGCTACAGGACTATGCCCTCTCACTCCAGCCAAAGAAATGGGCCTGCCTGCCTTCCCTCCCCGTCCTCCCTCACCCTCCTCCCCTCCTTCCTGCTCTGCCTCCCATTTCTATTGATGGTGGGGCTCTCCTCCTCTCCCCCCCCCCAAACTCCCTGTGCCAGCTTGGCTCGATGTTTGCCATGAGTATTAACTTACCCAACAGGACGGTGCCCCCCACACCCCGTTCCCACTCGCAGACCTTCTGTGGGACTGGGCACTGTGTCCTCCCCTGAGGAAGCAGTTTAGGGCCCTCTGTCCAGCCTCCTTGCTGACCCCATGTCAGTACTATGTCTGCCACAGGCTTGGTCAAAAGAGCTCTGCCCTTGCCCCTCAGGGAGCCAGCTGGGGAGATGGGAGCTTCTTCCCTCCCGCCGCCTCCCTCTGCCCTTTCAGCTCCTGAGGAGCTGGGCCTGCGCACTGGGCAGGTTCCTGGGGCCACCTGCCCTGCTTTGCCGCTCCCATGGACCTCCAGGGGCTCTGGGGTTGGAGGAAACCACCAGCGTTCCCTTCTCCCCCTTGTCTTCCCCCCTCTCCTCCCAGCTGCTTTAAAGTTGATTTTGAACTTTTTATTTGAGGAGACGAAGTGAAAACAAATCTATAAATATATATTTTTAAAATATTTAACTTTTTTTTAATGGCGTTTTTCTCATCCCCCTCCCTGCCCAAACTCCCCCTTCCCTGGGGAGCCCGGGCTCCCCAGAACTGGCTGGGCCCCTGGGGAACAGAGCTACCCCATGAGCAAGGGTCCACCAGTTGTGGCAGGGGAGATTCTGGGATTGCCGGTCCTGGGTTGTTTCCAGGAAGAAAGCCCCCGGGGAGGAGCCCTCAGGCCATGCCCCAGTGTTTGGGCTGTTGCTAGGGAGAGGGAAGAGGGAGACCAAATATGTGGGGTTCAGGGGGGGTGGGAGGGTGTCAGGTCGAGGCAACTGACTTCATTTGTGCCACATGCATGGGCATTGCAGCCTTGTGCACCCCCAGGCCTGCAGCTGCCTGGGGCTCAAGTTGCAGTGAGCAGGGTGGGGTCCGGGAGGTGGGGGGGGGAGAGCAGGACTGAGAGTGGGGGGGTCAGAAGTAGGAGCAGCTCTAGGGCTGAGTGCCGCAATGGGGAGCCAGCAAGGGGCAGCTCTCCCAGGAAGTGAGCAGCTACTGTAACTTTTTTAAATTAAGACAAAAAAAGCCTTGAAGAAAATGACTTTATTTTTCTAAGTGTAACCTCAGTATTTATGTAATTTGTACAGGGGCCATGCCCCACCCCTCTCTGCCCCCTGGGGGTAGTCCTTGAGGGTGGGTCAGCATACGGGGAGGGTCTTTTACCCTGTGTCACAGCCGACCTTCACCACCTGTATCCAGAAAGGAGGCTTTTTCCAGACTGGGGCAGCAGATGGGGTGGCGTCTTATGAACCCTACATGGCTGCCTTCAGTAGGAACAAGCCTACTTCTGTGGTTAGATGAGGGGGTGGGGAAGATATTTACGCACAGCCTAGGTATCACCAGGGATGATTTGCCGACATGTTTGGGAACTCCTTAAGCTCTAATCCCCATTGCTGTCTTGCCCCAGTCCGGGGTACTAAGATGGAAGTCACCTTTCTTGGCTTTCTTCTGAAGATAGCTGGGGCTTATGGGTGACTTTCAAGGCTGGGGCATGGCAAATCAGGCCGGAGTGGGGGAGCTTGGGACTCAGGTCTGTAACTGCCCAGCCCCTTTCTCTGCTCGTTTCTCTCCACAACCACTCACCCCCCCCTCCCCACCACCCATGGAAGGAGATGTTGGATTCCTTTTCTCCTTCTCACAAAAGACAGACCCAGTGAGTGAATCAGGCAAAGTGCTTAATAATGTGTGTTGTGTGAGCATGGCCTTGGGAAGAACGGGTGTCAGGGATGAGGTGGCATTTCCATGTGCAGCGACCCTTGGTGTTTCCCTTCCTTGGTGGCTCTGGGGTGTGTGTGCGTGCGCGTGAGCGTGCCTGAGTGAATGTGTGTGAATGTAGGGTGTGTGTATCAGTGGTTTCTACTTCCCCTGGGATGCCATCCCAGGAATAGTGGACATAGTCACAGTCCTATGTACAGAGCTTTCTTTTGTATTAAAAAAAATTACTCTTTCAATAAATGTATCATTTTTGTGCACAGACTGGGGTCTTTGACTCTGTCTTTGGGGTCTTTTCAACACAAGAGAGGTGAACATGAAACAATCCCCAAAATTCCTCCAAGAAGTAAGTCTGGCTGCTTGCTGAAAACGATTAAAAAAAGAAGAGTACCTGGGCTGGGGCTTGAACTCAGGATAAGAGTACTCTCCCTTAACCTTTCTCACTCAAGGCTGCATTTCTGGCTGTTTGCCGGTTAACTGGAGGTAAAAGTCTCATAGACTTCCTTGCCTGGGCTGGCTTGGAATTGTGATCCTCCAATCTCTGCCTTCCCAGGAGCTAGGATTACAGGCATGAGCCACCAGTGCTTGACTTGAAAATAGCCGTTGAGGGGAGTTTTGAGGCTGTTGGAAGTCTTTGTGAAATTGGAGGGGGGAGGCCTTCTTTGTCCCTGTGCAGGGTTTTGCTCAATGCTTAGACCAGCACAGAGTTGGACCGTTTTCATTAGCAGGCCAAGCGGTCCAACCAACCAAAATATTAGGGAAACCTATGGGACACGCAATTTAACTGAAAAATCCGGGCAGCCCTAGGGTGCGAATGTGGGTGTGAATGACCCACAGTGGATGCTCCGATGGAGGATGGAGGAAGTCGCAGTGAGGGGTGGGGGGGAGGGGGCTTCATGCCCGGTGGGCTGGAAAGCGCCGCCCCGGACCCTCTGGCAGCGCACCGCTCCCCACTCCCTCTCGGCAGGGGCGTGTAGCCACCCGCGGGCACTACGCATGCGCCACGCGCGCGCCGTTCCGCCACGCTCGCTGGGCGTGATCCGCGGTGGGACCCGTAGCCGCCCGGCCCTGCGTGCAGTCACCGTGTGACCCGGAAGGGGGCTGCTGAGGAGGCGGGACCGGGGACGGCGGCAGACCGGTTGCTGGGTTTCAGCGAGGGCCAAGCCTGGCGGTGGGAGGTGAGAGGTGAGCTCTGCGCTGCAGACCCGGTCTTTCCCCCGCCTCGTCCCCGTGCGGTCCCTTAACCCCTTTCGGTGGGGGCTGACGAAAGGACATTGGTCGGGTCCTGTCACCCTGTGGGCCGCGACCCCCTCACCCTTGCCCCGCCCCCTATTGCCGCGGCTGCGGTGGCTGCCCGCCCCGCCCCGCCCCGCCCCGCCCCGCCCCGCCGGTCCCATGCGTGGGCTTGACTTTGCTACCTGCGTGCGTGCGTGCGTGCGTGCGTGCGTGCGTGGGGAACTCATTCAGAGCGTCCAGACCTCACCTCCGTCCCCTAGTTTATCGCTGCCCGACTGCCCCTGACCCCAGGCCCCTCCTCACCCCCAGCCCCGGCCCGATCTGCTGCGCATCACCCACTCCCTGGTTACCTCCCGGCCTTCCCACGCTGCGGCCTCCTGCCCCGTGGAGGTCCACATTTTATGAGTCTTCACTCCTTTCTTCCGCTTGTCTTCCTTCCCTGTACCTTGACATGCCCCTGGTCCTGATAGCGCCTCCCCCCCCCCCCCATCTTACCCACATCTTGCTTAACCTTCTATTCTCACTCGCATGATTACATGGCTGTATGCCCACATACCTCTTCCTGATCATTTCTATTTACCAGCTTAACTTTTGGGTTGTCTGAAGACTATCCCTACCTTCTCCAATGGAGAGCAATATTAGATTACATTTGGTGATGTGCTAAATCCTGTCAGAAGTGCAGTATATTACATGACAGTAAGTTTTTGCGACGCCTAAATGGGGTGAGTTGTGCATATCATCATTTTGCCAGGGAGCTCAAAGTAGATAGTAAGTGAAAAGGGATTTCAGAGTCACATTTATCTGACCTTGAAATCTACTAAATTGCTTCTCTCCTTACCTCATTCCCTACCCTCAACCCCATGAGTACTATGTCCATCTATATCTATTTGATCTGGACCTTTACCACACATCTAGCCTAAGTGCAGAGTGACTTGGTCTTTTTCTCCTACAATGCTATCTGTTCCTTAGGCTGCTCCCTTTTTCACAAGACATACTTTTCCAGTCCAGCTATCTGCCCTCACACCCCACCTCCTTTCATTTCTTTTCTCTTTATCTTCATGGCCCACCTCTTTAGAGACTCTGTCCTGTCTTTTGTGCTCCTTGTCCTGCCCTTTCTCCAGCCTCCTTTTTCACATTCTGGCCCCACTATCTCCAGTCCTTCCTGTAGAACCATGTCATCCTTCTAAGTCTTGATCTGTATCCCATACACTCATACCCATCCTACTAGTCTACCCAGATAGTCCTGTCAAACTATTATTTTCTGTACTGGAATTTTCAGATTACTCTTCTCATTCTTTGTAACTGTTGCCACTTCTTTATGAGTGTGTATGCGTATGGTGCTAAGGACCTAACCCAGGACTTCATAAATGCTAGGTAAGTGCTCCTCCTGAGTTACATGCCTCACTCCCTTCTTCTACTTCGTAAAACTCTTTATTTCACCTGGTCAGTGTTTTCACTCCATCTCTTATAAATTCCAAAGTGTGTTCAGCTGTATATTCCATCATAATATTTGCCTTTTCAATTTGGCTTGTAAAGTATATAGCCTACCAATCACCACCCACTGGACCTATGTTCCAAGGTTCTGTCACACTTGGTGGAATCTTCCTCCCCCCCCCCCCCCCCTACAGCTTTATTTTCTCCTGTGTACTCCAGGAGGTGAGAATGGTAGTGGAACGACGTACTGGAGACCTTATGGTGCCCTTGGGGCCCCAGCTGCAGGCATATCCTGAGGAACTCATTCGGCAGAGGCCTGGACATGATGGGCATCCTGAATACCTGATTCGATGGAGTGTCTTGAAGTGTGGGGAAGTGGGCAGAGCGAGTGTGGAGGAAGGCAGGGCAGAGCACCTCCTCATGTGGCTGTCAGCCCCAGAGGTCTATGCCAACTGCCCTATGCTGTTGGGTGAACGGACACTATCCAAGGGACCTCAGTATGAACCAGCTGGGGCTTCAGGAAGCTTTCCCAGAGACCCAGGAAGCCTGGATGAAGTGGCAATGGAAGAGATGGAGACTGATGTGCGGGCACTGGTACGCAGGGCTGCCAGGCAGCTGGCAGAAGGTGGGACTTCCAGCCTTACAGCTGCTGTGCTCCATACCATTCATGTACTCAGTGCCTATGCCAGCATTGGGCCCCTCACGGGGGTTTTCAGGGAGACGGGAGCCCTGGACCTTCTCATGCACATGCTGTGTAATCCTGAGCCTCAGATCCGTCGGAGTGCAGGCAAGATGTTGCAGGCTCTGGCAGCCCATGATGCTGGTAAGAGACAGAAAGAGAAAGAAGGAAATCATTGGAGAGAATGGGGCCACAAGGAGTTAAAAACAGAAGAGAGGAGAGATTTCCCAACTAGTATTTTTTTTTTTTTTTGCCAGTCCTGGGGGGCTTGAACTCAGGGTCTGGGCACTGTCCCTGAGCTTCTTTTGCTCAAGGCTAGTGCTCTACCACTTGAGCTTCAGTGCCACTTCCGGCTTTTTCTGTTTATGTGGTATTGATGAATTGAACCCAGGGCTTCATGCATGCTAGGCAAGCACTCTACTACTAAGCCACATTCCCAGCCCCCAACTAGTATTTTTAAAATAGCAATTTAGTGCAAAGAAAACATTAATAGGTAATTAATTAACTGCATAACCAGCATAAGTGATAGCACTTGGTTTATTTGGCCATTCTCAAAGATAAAAGAGTGTGGGGTAGATTGTATTTTCTAAACTGTGGATTGAGACTTACTAGTTGATTGTGAAATCAGTTTGATGAAATGTAATGAACTTTTTTGTGCCAGCCCTGTAGCTTGAACTCTATGCCTGTATTATCCCTGAGTTTTTGTGCTCAAGGCTTGCATTCTACCTCTTGAGCCACAGCTCCACTTCCTGCTTTTTGTGATTAATTGGAGATAAGAATCTCAGCCTTGGGGCTGGGAGGTTAGCCCAGTGGAAGGGCGCCCGCCCAGCACGCGCAAGGCCCTGGGTTTGGTCCTCAGCCAGCACTGGGGGAAAAAATAAAGAATCTCAGACTTTTCTGCCCCAGCTGGCTTTGAACCGAGATTCTCAGATCTCAGCTTCCTGAGTAGCTAGGATTACCAGCGCGAGCCATTAGCACCCAGCTGTAATAAAACACATTTGTGTGTATGTGTGTATGCCAAGTATGGGGCTTAAACTCAGGGTCTTGTGGTCTCACTTGACCTTTTTATTTAAGTCTAGCACTACATTTCCACTTCTGGCATTTTGCTGATTAATTGGAGGTGTATCATGGACTTTTCTGCCTGGACAGCCTCCTGAGTAGCTAGCTTGACAGGTGTGAGCCATCAGTGCCTGGCATAACCAACTTTTTTTTTTGGGGGGGGGGTCCAGTTGTGGGGCCTGAACTCTGGGCCTGGGCGCTGTCCCTCAGCTCTTCAGCTCAAGGCTAGTGCTCTACCACTTGCACCACAGCGCCACTTCTGGCTTTTTTCTTTTTGCTTATGTGGTGCTGAGGAATCGAACCCAGGGCCTCTGGCATGCAAGGCAAGTGCTCTACCACTGAGCCACCTTCCCAGCCCCAACCAACATTTTTTAAAGCCTTAAAACATCAGTAGTTGTAAGTTTTGTAGTGTGACATATAGTTCAGTTATATGTATGTATATTTGTGCCGGATTATATGTAAAATGTATTTCTTGCTGTGGATCTCAGTCACAAAGCTGTTTCAAAGGCTGTAGGGAAGGAGAAAGCCTAGGAAAGGCAGGGAGAATTGGGGGTTGAGGAGAAGATATGGATTGGGTATGGCTTTCAGGGAGTCGGGCTCACGTCCTTCTGTCACTGAGCCAGCAAGATGGCATCGAGCAACACATGGATTTTGACAGCCGCTACACTCTGCTGGAGTTATTTGCAGAGACCACATCTTCTGAAGAACACTGCATGGCCTTTGAGGGCATGCATCTGCCTCAGGTACTCTGCCAGGGTTGCAGGAATGCTGAGTACAAGGCTGTGTATGTATGTTTGTGTGTGTGTGTGTATGTGTGTATGTGTGTATGCCTATGTATGTGTACATAGACACATATATAAGACATCTTCATATTTATATATGTATCCCTATCTATTGATTGATCTATTTTTCTATCAGTCATGGACTTTTCTTCCTGGGCTGCTAGCTTGGAACTTCAGTTTTCAGATCTCAGCCTCATGAGTAGCTGGAGTTACAGGCACAAGCCAGCAGCATCTGGCATAAGGCAGTATTTCTGAGAACTGTGATTCAGGACTGGGTTAAAATTAAAGTCTACCACTTGAGCCATATCTCCACTTCCAGCTGTTTGCTGTTAACTGGAGATAAAAATATCATGGAGTTTCCTGCCTGGGCTGGCTTTGAACCTTGATTCTTAGATCTTAGTCTCCTAAATAGCTAGGATTACAGGCATGAGCCACTAGTGCCCAGCTGGTAGCAATGTTTCCTATAAGTCCTGTATGTTTCTTATACACGTTAGTCTTGGGAACTTCAGGGGAGGAGCTTTTGCATTTGTCTGCACAGGAGGATCTTGAGGGGAAGGGGTGAAGTAAGGAGAAGGTGGATTTAAACCAAGAATTGTGTCCTATAGATTCCAGGAAAGCTGCTCTTCTCCCTGGTGAAGCGCTACCTGTGTGTCACTTCCCTGCTGGATCAGTTGAATAACAGTCCAGAAGCAGGAGCCGGAGACCAGAGCTCCTCGTGTCCCTCAAAGGAGAAAAGCCGGGCACAGCGGGAGCTAGAGTTCAGTATGGCAGTGGGCAACCTCATTTCAGAGCTGGTGCGGAGCATGGGCTGGGCTCGGAACCTTAGCGACCAAGGCACATTACCACCCCGGCCACCCAGGTCTATCTTCCAGCCCTGCATTTCAGGGGCCCCCCTTTTACTGCCTACCATTGTCACTACCCCCAGAAGGCAAGGGAGAGCCTTCCGCCAGCGCTCTGAATTTTCTAGCCGGAGTGGCTATGGTGAGTATGTGCAGCAGACATTGCAGCCAGGGATGCGAGTGCGGATCCTGGATGATTACGAGGAGATCAATGCAGGGGATGAGGGCGAGTTCCGGCAGAGCAACAATGGCGTTCCCCCCGTGCAGGTGAGCCACTTGAGTGTCAGAGGGCTGTGGGGATCTGCACTGGGTGGGGCGCAGTGAGGTTTCCGTGTCAGAGGCTCTGGTATGCCACCTAAAGAGAAACCCTTAGGGATATTGGAGTGCTGAAAGGGAGTCAGCAAATGAGGGGTGCCTTGCAAGGCCAAGAGACTTCAGGTGAAGTCATAGAGAGACTCATGACCTGGAAGCAGAAGCAGTATGTTGATATGTCCCCATCACTCCCACTCGTAAAGGAGTCTGGGAAGGAGGGTGGAAGCAGAACTAAAGGTCCAAGAAAATGAGGGTCCTGCTTGAGAAGACGTGCTGTGAGGGTCTAGCACGTAGAAGGTGCGGTGGCTTGACAGGGGTGACTATCAAGGTTGGGAAGAAATGGCCCACTCCTCAGAAGGGAAGGAAGCCTAGCTTAGTCCAGGTGTGTATTTGAGGGTGTGTGCTAGGTCTGGGCCTGGGCATGTCCTCCCAAGCCTTCACAGCCCCAAGCTGGGAGGCCTGAGCCTCTCCCTTCCCTCCCTCCAGGTCTTCTGGCAGTCCACAGGCCGCACATACTGGGTGCACTGGCACATGCTGGAGATCCTGGGCCCTGAGGAAGCTACTGGGGATTCCACTTTGTCTGCTGTGGAGAAGGGGGCAGGGGCTACTGCGGTGGGTGCAGGTAGGCAGGAAAGAGGACCTGGATAGCATGTCTCTAGCCAGAGGAATGTTGTCTGACATGAAACTACTTCTGATGGAGCTATCGAGGACATTCAGAAATGGATCCTACCCCTGCTAGGTGCCGATGCCCCAGTGCCTACATCCTCGACCTTTCCCGCCTGGGACTGGAAGCCTGCAGACGGCCTCTACTCTTTGCCATACCTCCAGCCTGAGCCTCAGAAGAATGAGGAATCCGGTTTCTTGACTAAGGCTGAGTGGTGGGAACTACTTTTCTTCATCAAGAAGTTGGATTTATGTGAACAGCAGCCAATATTCCAGAATCTTCGGGAGAAACTGGATAAGGTATGACAGATCTGAGATACCTGGAATAGGGAGGGATACAGTTATGGGGTACCATTTAGGGCAAGGCTAGAACTAAAGGTTCAGGAATATGGGGTCCTACTTGAAAAGACTCACTGTGAGGGTCTAGTACATAGAATCCTATGGTAGCGTGGCAGGGCTTGGCCACCCTTCCCATTACTATCCCTAGGACCTGTGTGTGCTTGTCCATGATATACATATCCTTTGTGTTGACAGGCCCTGAGTGAAAAGGCCCTAGGTGAGCTCTCCGTGCCCATAGAGATGGCTGAGGGTCTGCTGCAGGTTCTCAGTAATCGGTTTGAGGGCAGCACCCTCTGTGACCTGCTCAACTCTCAGATCTACACCAAGTATGGGCTGCTACCTGATGAACTAAGTAACTTGTCTTCACGAAGTCACTCCTGTACCCCAGATCCAGAAGAGGAGTCCAAATCAGCAGCCAAATCCTTGGAGGAAGAGACTGAGTCCCCCAAGGCAAAGCCTGAGCCCCCTAAGGCAGAGGCAGAGCCTGCCAAGGCAAAGTCTGAGTCCCCTATGGCCCAGAGTGACTCACATCTGTTTAACCAGCTTCTGGTGACTGAGGGGATGGCTCTGTCCCCTGAAACCAAGGAGGAAGCCAGTGGTGAGTCGGGTTTCTGGGAGGCAAGGGTGAGGGCAAAGACAAGTTCTTTGTTGGCCCAGGAAAAGGAGGAGATGGGGAGAGAAAGCCGTGGAGGAAGGTCCCTTTTGCAGGGGTCTTCCTAGCCAGGCCTCTGTCTTCTTTTTGGTCTTGATTGTATCAGTCACGACTCCTTCTCTTCAGTATCCTGGAAAAGGAGGGTCCATTTTGCAGGTATTTCTATTGTCTCTGCTTGACTCAGTCCTTCACACAGAACTGGAAAAGTTCCAAGCACAGTAACAACCAATGTTTGTCACAAACAAAAAATGCATTAAAATGTGGGTAGGATAGGGGCTGGGAAGGTGGCTCAGTGGTAGAGTGCTTGCCTCACATGCATGAGGCCCTGGGTTCGATTCCTCAGCACCACATAAGCAGAAAAAGCTAGAAATGGTGCTATGGCTCCAGTGGTAGAGCGCTCACCTTGAGCTGCAGAGCTGAGGGACAGCATCCAGGCCCAGAGTTCAGGCTCCACAACTGACAAAAAATAAATACATAAATAAAATAAAATATGTGGATAGGATAACTGGGCTTGACTTTTAATGACTTCCAGTTTAGAGGTGCCACAATTCTCTTTGCCACTGCTTCTTCCCCTCCGATTTCAGAAATGGCTAGAGCCTTGCGGGGGCCTGGTCCACGCAGCTCCCTGGATCAGCGTGTGGCAGCAGTTGTGGCCACCGTGCACATATCCTGCCCAGACACAGATCTGCAACTTTCAGGGCTCTCTGCCCTCTCTCAGGCTGTGGAGGAACTGACAGAGCAGGATCACCCACTGGTTCGCCCTGACAGGTGGTTGAGGTTAGCATGTTGCTGAGGGAAGAGGTTTGGGTTGGAGCTGTGGATGGTCAGGACAGTGGTGGAGGAGGGAAAGAAAAAGACATCAAGGGCTGGGAATGTGGCTTAGTGGTAGAATGCTTGCCTTGCATGTGTGCCCTGGGTTCAGTTCCTCAATACTGCATAAACAGAAGGAAAAAAAAAGGCATCAAGAACTAGAAAGGTTAAGGGTGCTGAAGGAAGGCCTGTAGAACAGTGGTGGGGGGTGGGGGTTGTTAGTATTCTTGGAGCCCTACTTAGTGTTTTATGATCATTCTCTTATTAAATCTGCATTGATAGCATTATTCTTTTTATTATTAATATCCAGTATTATTATTATTTGAATTTTTGGTAGTTGAGATAAAAATCTCATGGACTTTCTTGCCTACACTGGCTTTGAACTGTGATCCTCAGATCTCAGGCTCCTGAGTAACTAGGATTGTAGGCATCAGCCACCAGTGGCTAGCCCTTGTCATCTATCTCTTTGGTTACGCTATATCAATTCCAAAATTTTGATTATTTTATGTTTATAGTTATATTTAGATGACTGTATGCAAATCTGCCACTTTTTTCCCAAACATCTCCTGATTATTCTTGCATATTTTTCTTCATTTACCTGAATCTCCCTTTTTTCTTGGCAGGACTGAGGATTGAGTTCAGGGCCTCATACTTGCTAGGCGGTGCTCTACCATTATACCTCCAGCCTGTTTTCACATTGGTTATTTTCAAGTAGGGTTCCCTTTATGCTGGGAGCAAGCCTGGGCTCTGATCCTCCTACTTTTGCTTTTCTATGTCCCTGGGGATGACAGGCACATGCCACCTTGTCTAGACATTGTGCCTTCCGCATAGCCAGGATAATAAGCACACACCGCTGCACCCAGCCATTGGTTGAGATGGAGTCTCGTGGACTTCTTTTTTTTTTTTTCTTTAATCAGTTGTGGGGCTCGAACTCAGGGTCTGGTGACTGTCCCTAAGCCTCTTTGTGCTCAAGGCTAGCACTCTACCACTTGAGCCACAGTACCACTTCCTGTTTTTGAGTGGTTAGTTGGAGAGAAGAGTCTCACAGGGACTTTTCTGCCCAATACTGGCTTTGAACTGCAATCCTCAGATCTCAGTCTCCTCCTGAGTAGCTAGGATTACAAGTTTGAGCCACTGGTGCCTGGCTGGTGAACTTTTTTTCTTCCCATGCTGGCCTCAGACCAGGATCCCCCAAATAATTAGCATTATATATTGCAGGCACCACAACCAGGAATTGCATTCAAGCTGTAGCTCCAAAAGATAAGCCAAGGGTTGTAATCACTTTGCTCTTTTGCCTCCTTTAGGAGGTAAGGGGAGAGGCGCAGTTGGACTGCAGAGTGGAGAAGATTGGTAGGGAGACTGACAAGGAGGAGAGAGGGAGAGAGAGGGCTCGGTCTTGATGAGGCGGGGTGGGCAGGGCATCAGATGGCGTCAGGGCTGGGAAATCATGTAAACTCCTTGGAATGAGGAGCCCCAGGGTCTCTTCTTTTCTCAGAGAAAAGCTAGTGAAGACACTGGTGGAGCTGCTGACCAATCAGATGGGAGAGAAGATGGTCGTGGTCCTAGCTCTGCGCCTCCTTTACCTGCTTATGACCAAGCATGAGTGGCGTCCGCTCTTTGCCAGAGAGGGTGGCATCTATGCTGTGCTGGTTTGCATGCAGGAATATAAGACTTCCATCTTGGTGCAGCAGGCTGGGCTGGCGGTGAGTGTGCTAAGCTTGTAGAAGCGAGCAATGGATGAGACAGTCAGATGGGAGCTACTGACCATTGACAGTACCTGGAGGAGGCACTGTGGGGAGTTAGGGTATATAGATGCTGGAATGGAACGACAAAGATTGATTTAAGAGTGCAGTCTGGACAGTCTTGGAGATGGAGCGAATTTTTGCAGAAAGGTAGGAGTTTTTAAGAAAGATGCTCAGGTTTAGAATTGAACAGCAGGACACATGAGGTGGCCACTGAAAAAATATTGCAGAAATTGGTACAGGGAAATTAAGAATCAAGTTTGTAGGTATGTTGTGTTTTCTCTCATGCCTTTTTAGTTATAGTTATACATCTTATTAAAGACTGATGTTCAAGATTAGACAAACTAAAGGATTTTTTTTATCCTTTTATCTGAGTGGTACCCTCACACAGTAAATACTTCCTCAAGTGATTTGGGTAAACAAAGGCAGCATTGCCATTGCTTTGCCACTCTGAGCAGAGACTAGGGAAGGGAGGCCCTGGTCCAGAAGACTGACTTCCTAACTACCCTAAACAGAAATGCAAGCTGCTGGCCTGGTGCAGGCAGTGTGTCTCTGTATAGCTTGATGGTTCCTGATGAGCACAGGTAGGCCTCAGCCCGAGGAGTTCTGAGGCTGGATTCCAGCAGTATAATGGGAGCAAGTAGACAGGAGCCTATGAGCATGCATCTGCTCGGAGTGGGCTCTCCTGGAGAGGCCAGGAGCACTTCCTTTACCAAGTCAACCAGGTCTCATCCCAGGAACAGCCAGGCATCCAGATGCTAACTTCTCGGGTCCTCTCAAATTGTGTGACCAGACCACAGCACTTACCCCTAAACTCTTAACTGTAACTTTCCCAGAATAAAATCACATCATCTTGTTTATAACTTGAGGGGGCTACAGAACAGCTCTTTGTGACAGAGGATGTGGAGACCAAAGGGAGAAGGCCATGTTACTAGGTAGCACTTTTGGAAGGCCTGGCTCACATGGGGAACCATCCTAAGATTAGTTGTAGACCAACCCATCCCTAGTGGGTGTCTTCTAGCCCTTTTACCAACAGAGGCCTTCTCCATTCTAAGATACAATGTTCATTTTAACTTGATTTTTCTCTGTAGCATCAGTAAATAAGTTTCAAGTATTTTTCCTACAATTCCAGCCATTCTTCTCGTGAGACAACTGTTGAAATAGGCTGGATACCGATCTGTTGGCTAAGGACAGGGGACCGAGGGTTGAAAGAGTTCGTATGCAAGTGGTAATTGAAGCTGTGAAAGTGGATGAGGTTGCTTATGGAGTGAGCACAGAGTAAAAGAGGAGGGACAAGGAGCTTCAGTGTCCAAAGGCAAAAGAACCACGGAGATTTAATAGGAAAGCAGGAAGCTATGAAGGCCTGGGACTCAGGAAAGAAAGGTTTACAAAGGAGAGTGGCCAGCTGAAATGGGAGGCAGCTTCAGGGAAAGCCTTTGGAATCTAGAGGCTGTGAAAGGGCAGTGTTGTGAGGGGAAAATTGGGCAGGGGAAGCCAGTCCACCTGGGTAGCAAGGCAGAGAGAAGTGGCTGGCGGATTTTACCATCCACTCTTGGGTTGCTATTTGCTATCTTTCATGTCCTTCCTTCCTTCCTTCCTTCCTTCCTTCCTTTCTTCCTTCCTTCCTTCCTTCCTTCCTTCCTTCCTTCCTTCCTTCCTTCCTTCCTTCCTTCCTTCCTTCTGTTTCTCCTTCTCTTCCTTTCCTCTTCAGTATCTGATAACCTGTACCTCATGTTCCATTTCTATCGCTTATGCTAATCCATCTTGCAAGCAATTCCACTTCCCAACATTTGAGATGTAGAATGCTGACCCTGGTGCCCTCCTTCCATGGTGGCTTAGTCCACCCCTAACTCTGCTTCCACATCCCCCCTGCAGGCATTAAAGATGCTGGCCATTGCCAGCTCCTCAGAGGTCCCCACCTTTACTACTGGCCGAGATTCCACCCAACCTTTGTTTGATGCCCAGATGACCAGAGAGATCTTCGCCAGCATTGACTCAGCCACACGTCCAGGCTCTGAGAGCTTGCTCCTCAGTGTTCCTGCAGCTGTGATCCTGATGCTGAACACGGAGGGGTCAGGACATTATTCTCTGGATTCCTAATAAGTCCCACGCCCCACTAGTCTCTGCCTCAGGCTCATAGGTTCCACAGAAATTCCCATTATGACCAGGTGCCTGTGGCGCATGCCTGTGATCCTGGCTATTCAGGAGGCTGAGATCTGTGGATCAAGATTCTAAGCCAGCCTGAGCAAAAACAGTTCCTGAGACTTTTATCTCCAATTACTCACCAAAAAGCCAGAAGTGGAGCTGTGGCTCAAGTGGTAGAGCACCAGCCTTGAACAGAAAAAGCTAAGGGACAGCACCTGGGCCCTGAGTTCAAGCCCAGTAGCAGTAAAAAACAAAAAGTAAAAAAGAGAAATTTTTCTTTATTGTCACCTCTGAATTAAACTAAACACTAGTGGGCCCTTCTTCAAGTCATTGGAAGAGAAGCCAAATAGCGACAGATAGAGAGATTCCTAGAGAGGGCAAAGAGACCCTGATCTCCTTTCAAGGTGCTGGGAGGAGTGGCCTGAGGTTAACATTGGGAAGTCCTGCCTCTGTGGGAACACCAGAGCCCCTCCAACTGTTCTATCTAGAGATCAATTTCTGCCAATTTCTTCCCGGGTCATCTCTCTCTTCCCAGGTGCTCTTCTGCGGTGAGAAATGGCCTGCTCCTGCTCAACCTGCTTTTGTGCAACCACCATACTCTAGGAGACCAGATTTTAACACAAGAGCTGAGAGACACCTTGCTTAGGCACTCAGGGATAGCGCCGGGGACAGAACCCATGCCTACCACCCGCACCATCCTCACGATGCTTCTCAGTCGCTACTCAGAGTCGCCGAGCAGGCCTGAACATTCAGGTACCATCGTGGAGGGGGTGGTCTGCTGAGAAATCATGCCGTGCCAACCTATAGTCAGGAAAGCTGAAGCTTACATACTAGCCTCTCACTGGAAAGACACAAGGAATCTTCAGGAAATGAGCAAGATGTTTATTGCTCAAGGTAGATCTTAAGTAGAACTTGAGCAAGACAAGAAGACCCAAGTAGGTGCAAAGAAGTTGCCTTCTCTGAATGGCTCTAAACATATGTGGAATCCTCTCAGTCTTGGCTAGGTTTGGCCCAGTCTTACTGGACAGTAGAAAACTGGTTGAAATTACATTCTGCGAAAGAATTGTAATTTATGGTACAGAAAGTTTGTGATTCGGAGCCAAGGTATAGCACAGTGGTGGAGCATGGCCTAACACTTGTAAGACCGTTGGTTTTTATCTCCAACACTGAAAAAAAATTGAAAAAGGTTTCCAAATAGAATCATAAAATATGGGTGTCACAGGGAAGAAACCTTTTGTGGTTTTTTTTTTTTAAGTGAAAGACAAGTATGGACAGATACATAAATTAGTAGTATTTATCTTTTAATCTACAAATTTAAAGCCACCATGCTAGGCAGGTTAGGGCTGTAATTATAACAGCTAGTATAGATTATAGCTAACATTTAATAATAGGTAATTGAGATTAAGAATTTGTTATAAGCCAGGCACTAGTGGCTCATGCCTGTAATCCTAGCTACTCAGGAGGCTGAGATCTGAGGATTGTGGTTCAAAGCCAATCCAGGCAAGAAAGTCCATAAGACTCTTTATCTCCATGAAGTGGCATTGTGGCTCAAAGTGATAGAGTGTTAGCCTTGAGCAGAGCTCAGGGATAGTGTTCAGACCCCAAGTTCAAGCCCCATGACAGAAAGAAAGAAAGAAAAAGAGAGAGAGAAAGGCATTTCCGATTAACTACAAAAAAGCTGGAAATGGTGTTGTGGTGGTATAGCACTAGCCTTGAACAAACAAGCTCAGCCTTGAACAAAAAGGCCCTGAGTTCAAGCTCTGGGACCAGGGGCATGTGCTCGCGCACATGCACACACACACATACACACACACACACACTCACACACACACATGCATACATTTAACTTAACAATATTTTGTTATACTAGATTTTTGTAGTTAAATCTGTATTTGGGACCAGAAAAGAAAAATCTCTCATAGGTTGGTTAAAACTGTAGACATACTTGCCAGGTGTAGTGGCTCAAGTCTGTAATTTAATCCTAGCTACTTGGGAATCGAAGACTGGGGAATCTGGTTTGTGGCAGCTCAGGCATAAAATTTCTCAAGATTCCATCTCAACCAACAGCTGGGCACAGTAGTTATCCCAGCAACAAAGGAAAACACAAACAGGAAGATTGAAGTCCAGGCCAACCTGGGCATAAAATAACCAACTCAAAAGAGAACTGGTGGAGTGGCTTAAGCAGTAGAATGAGTGCTTAACACACATGAGACACTGAGTTCAAACCCCAGTACCACCAAAACCAAAACACACTATAAACAACTTTAATATGGGAGAAACATTTTTGGACCTTCCCTTTTCTCAGTTTGACTGACTTGTGAGTTTCCTCTTCATGCACATTTTTTCCTCTGGTGTGTCCGGCCTGCAGCACTGGAGACCACAAGCACCCAGGGTCAGGATGGGTCCCCCGAACTTCTGATTAGATCCCTGGTGGGGGGCCCATCTGCAGAACTCCTTCTGGACTTGGAACGCATGCTGTGCCGGGAAGGCAGCCCAGGAGGGGCTGTGAAGCCCCTCCTCAAGCGCCTCCAGCAGGAGACCCAGCCCTTCCTCCTGTTGCTGCGGACTCTTGATGCCCCTGGGCCCAACAAAATTCTGCTGCTGACGGTGCTCAGGTGAGGGTCCTGTTCAGGGGCCTTGCTCTGGGATCGAGGGACTGAGAGGACATCACTTGTTTCTGTCCCCTCACAGGGTCATGATCCGACTGCTGGATTACCCGGAGACAATGGTTCTCTCCTGGCATGAGGTCTTGGAGCCTTGCCTCAACTGTCTGAGTGGCCCCAGCAGTGACCCTGAGGTACCAGAGCCCTAGTAAGGCAGTGGCTGGGGCACCACCTGCCTTACAAGGCTCTGGGTGCACAGCAGAGCCTTTCTGGTTGGGTCTGGGGACAGAGGGTAAGGAGGTTAGCATCATTATAGGATCTCTGGAAACAGTCCACGATCTGTAATCATGGAGTGAGGCTCAGGCAGAGAGTTGGCTCTGGGGGATAGTATGTCTGTGGCAGGAAGAAACCTAGGCAACTGCTCAAACTCTGCCCCTGCCAGCCCCCACTGGAGTCCCTGCACTCCAGGATTCCAGTCCACTCTGTTCTTGGTGGACTCCTTTCCCCGGACTTTGAGATTTCTTCAAAATCTCTGCTACCACCTGTCCTTCACTAGACTCTGCCATCACCCTTTGTTTCCCACAAACTAATCCTTATGGCTCTGGACTCAGATTGTTCAGGAGCTGACTCGCTTCCTGCACCGCCTGGCTTCTATGCATAAGGACTATGCAGTGGTGCTCTGCTGTTTGGGAGCAAAAGAAGTCCTCTCCAAAGTCCTGGACAAGCACTCCACTCAGCTGCAGCTGACTTCCGAGCTTCGGGACCTGGTGACAGAGTGTGAGAAATATGCCCAGCTCTATAGCAACCTCACCTCCAGCATCCTGGCTGGCTGTATCCAGGTGAGGGCCAGAGACATAAGAGAAGGGCACTCCATGTGCCCCTCATCGGGGTCCCTGTTAGCAAAAGTGGCGGCAACTCTGGACACTTGTTCTCTAATCTTTACCTTATGGGATCCTAGCAAAATGGGTTGGGTGGAGCTAGGAGTTGGTGGCCCACACCTGTAATCCTCAGGAGGCTGAGATCTGAGGACATGGTTCAAAGCCAGCCCGGGTAAGAAAGTCTGTGAGACTCATCTCCAATGAACCACCAGAAAACAGGAAATGGCGCTGTGGCTCAAGTGGAGCACTAGCCTTGAGCTGAATAGCTCACAGTGCCCAGGCCCAGACCCACGACCAAAAAAAAAGAAAAAAGTCAAGTTTAATACTCTCTTGCCTCCTGACCATTTTTCTCTATCCACATTTCTATGTGTTTCACTCTATTCCTTCCTCTTCCTCTCTCCCTGCCCCATAATGTTTGTTCTGGCTGCAGATGGTGCTGGGCCAGATTGAAGACCACAGACGAACCCACCAGCCCATCAATATTCCCTTCTTTGATGTGTTCCTGAGGCATCTCTGCCAGGGTTAGTACCATCATCTACTTTCTCCTGGAGCTCCTCCAGTATCTGCTCTCCCCTTCTGAAGCCTCCTGGTCCCCAGCCCCTTTCTTTCTACCTTAGCTAACCAGGCTGTAACCTTCACCCCTTCCCACTCGCTCCTAGGCTCCAGTGTGGAAGTGAAGGAGGACAAATGCTGGGAGAAGGTGGAGGTGTCTTCCAACCCGCACCGGGCCAGCAAGCTGATGGACCGCAACCCTAAGACATACTGGGAGTCCAACGGCAGCACTGGCTCCCACTACATCACCCTGCACATGCACCGTGGAGTCCTCATTAGGTGTGACTCCACCCTGTGGGTGCCTGCACATGCAGATATTCTGATCTATTTCAGTGGATGTCTCTGAAGCACTCTCCCACACAGCTCCATCTCACCCCTATTCCTGATGCACAAGCTAAAACCCATTTTGTGCAGTGACCAGACTGAACACATATACCTATGTTTGCTTAGCTCATGTAGATATGTCCTCCCTAAGCCTGGCAACTGGCACCCCACAGCTCCAGATAACACTGCCCTATGCTTAGAAATCATTTATCCACTCTTCATGGATAACTGTTTAATGCTAGTCTTCTTTTTTTGTTTTTTTTGGGTCCGGTCGTGAGGCCTGAACTCTGGGCCTGGGCACTATCCCTCAGCTCTTCAGCTCAAGGCTAGCGCTCTACCACTTGAGCCACAGCACCACTTCCAGTTTCTTTCTTTTTGCTTATGTGGTGCTGAGGAATTGAACCCAGGGCCTCAGGCATGCAAGGCAAGTGCTCTACCACTGAGCCACCTTCCCAGCCCTAATGCTAGTCTTCTATGCCTGGAATATAAAGCTGTAGAAATACAAGAAGAGCAAAGTACAGTTTCTGTGGCCAGGGAACCTTCCCTCACAGCGGGCCAGAAAATCAGAAAGCTGGGTATTGTCTTCCACACCTGTGATCTCAGCACTCAGGAGACTGAGGCAGAACTAAGTGTTTGAGGCCAGCATGGACTACATAAGAAAACAGCAAGGACTGAAGCATAGCTTAAGTTGTGTGCCTGCCTAGCAGGCATGAGACTTGAGTGTCAACCTCAAAAAAAAAAAAAAAGTTGGGTCCTGCTTTAGCACTCTTTAGAATTTGCTGATTGATGTCAAGAACTTTTTCTCCAAAGCTAGCTTGCTTTGCAGGGGAGGGCATCACTTCAGATAAGGAGAAAGAAAAAAGAGGGGAAAACAGGTGAGGGAGGCTTCAAGGTCAGTGCATACCCTGGGTCCCCACATGAGGCATCAGGGAAGACTTCATTCCAGAAGGAAGCCTTGACTAGAATGAAGTTGGGGATGTTTTTGTTGTTGGTTTTTTGTTTTTGGAGGAGGGGTGTATACACCTGTCCTGGTGCTTGAAATCGGCCTGGCTGCTGTCCCTGAGCTTTTATGCTTAAGACTAGCACTCTACCATTGGAGCCACATCTCCACTTCCAGCTTTTAATTGGAGATAAGAGTCTCATGGGCTTTCCTGAGCAGGCTGGCTTTGAACCACAATCCTCAGATCTCAGCCTCCTGATTCACCAGGATTACAGATGTGAGCATCCAGCTAGACAGGTTTGAAGTCAAAATTACCTAGATCAAGAGGGCCCAGCTGACACTGCAGGGAAAGTGAGTATGTGTGCACACTGGAAGGAAGGTACAGGAAGCTGTGTTGGAGAAGTGTTTAAAAATGTTTGGGCACGTGATTCACAGTGGCAGAGACTGATCACAAAGAGATTCATCAGCTAAGAAGAGTCAGGTTTTGGGGGTTTTTTTATTTTTGTTTTTTTTTCTGAAATGGGGAACTGTTGAAGGAATTTTTTGGTAGTATTGGGTTTAAACACAGGACCTCATGTCGACTAGACTTTACCACTTGACCATGCCTCCAGCCTGTTTAGCTTTGGTGGTTTGTAGTTCAAGAGTCTGGCTTTTTACCTGGACCAACCTGGATCGCTAGCCTCCTATTTATACTTTCTGTGGAAGCTGGGATGATGGATACGCAACACTGCACTCAGCTTTTTCTGTTGAGAAACTTTTTACAGAGAGGATGGCCTTGACCTGTGATCCTCCTGATCTCAGCCTTAAGTAGCTAGGATTACAGGTGTGAACCACAGTGCCAGGCTCCATTGAAGGATTTGAAGAAGGGAAGAGACATTAGATTTTTTTCTTAATTCAGAAAACCAGTACTTATGGAAGTTTGAGCTAGAGGCCAAAAAAGAAGTTGGAAGGTTGATTTGATGGTCTGTAGTTGAGAAGTGCCCCAGGTATTCAATTAGGTAGAGGGTCTGGTGTCCCAGGAGGGTGATGGTGGGGGACACTGAGTGGTAGTCTACTTGCCACAGACGTTGGATGAAGGACATGTTGGGATGAAATATCTTTGAACTAGGACAGGAGTCCTAGCTTTGATTTTACACCTTTTTCCTCTCTCAGGCAGCTGACTCTCCTGGTAGCCAGCGAAGATTCAAGTTACATGCCAGCCAGAGTGGTGGTGTTTGGAGGGGACAGTGCCAGCTGTATCAGCACGGAGCTCAACACGGTGGGGACCCTAGCATCCCACTTGGCCATACTCCCTAGCCTTCCATTTGTCCCAAGGTTGTGAAAAGGGCCAGCCACTGGGGGAATGGCTGTTCCCTTCCTTCTGGGGAGGGCTGCTTGCTGGCAGTGGAAGTGGAATCCCAATCATAGAACCTTGTAGGTCCCTGAGCTTGGTGCAGGAGTAAAGACACACAGCATGCCCGGTTTGTTTGCTGTCAACAGTCTTCAGCTCCTCTTTGGGTGACAGCTCCCCCTGCCTCCTCTCTCCTGCCCTGCCAGGTGAACGTGATGCCTTCTGCCAGCCGAGTGACCCTCCTGGAGAACCTGAACCGCTTCTGGCCCATCATCCAGATCCGCATAAAGCGCTGCCAGCAGGTGGGGCCAGGAAGAGGCTGGGAGCTGAGGACAGGGAATCCACACCCCTGTCTGTGGTACCTGCTGGAGGCTAGGACTTCAGTCAGGGCTCCTTCTCCTGGGGCTTCTCCAGCCGCTCTGGGCACAGGACCTGGCTCTGGTGGCAGGTGGTAGCTTAGGTGACAAATGAATCTGTGTTGCAGGGTGGCATTGACACTCGAGTTCGGGGTTTGGAGGTCCTGGGCCCTAAGCCCACTTTCTGGCCACTGTTCCGGGAGCAGCTGTGCCGCCGTACATGTCTCTTCTACACAATTCGAGCACAGGCCTGGAGCCGGGACATAGCAGAGGACCGCAGACGCCTCCTCCAGCTCTGTCCCAGGTGGGTGGGGCATGAAGGGGGGTGGCAGCTGGGGGAACAGGGCATGATGAGAAGGAGAGGTCAGGAAGAGGCTGCCGTGGAAATCTGCAGCTAGGACATAAGGGGAGTTGCTGGGGTAAAGCGGGGGGGTGGGGAAGAGGCCCAAGCGTGGGCACCTGGGAACTAGAGTTGCTTTGCACTGCATGCCTGCCTTAGGGAAATCTGTCTTTTAATCTTTGGCCATATTCTCACTTGTCTCCAGACTGAACAGAGTTTTGCGTCATGAACAGAATTTTGCTGATCGCTTCCTCCCTGATGATGAAGCTGCCCAGGCACTGGGCAAGACCTGCTGGGAGGCCCTGGTCAGCCCCCTGGTTCAGAACGTCACCTCTCCTGGTAACCACCTGCCACCTGCCCCACTCACCAGCGCCTTATCCTTATGCCCAGGGGTCACCTGAGTTAACACACTTGGTTCTCTTAGTTCCTGAGGCCTGTCACCTCAATGCTCCTCTCTCCTTCCCACCCCAAGGACTGCTCCCTGAGACTCTGGTATTTGACTCTTCCCCTCCACGCTACCCCTGCCCAGTTACCATGTCCCCAGGCTCCAGGTGAAGCAAACCTTGGTGAGGAGAGGACTAGGGCCCTTGGACCCCACAACCCTTATTTCTCTTCCCTTCTCCTCCCCCCTTAGCTCTCTGTTCCTGGTTTTCTGTGGACCCCTGCTCCTGACCTGTCTTCTTTCAGATGTGGAAGGTGTAAGCTCCCTGGGATGGTTGCTGGATCAGTACTTGGAGCAGAGGGACAATGCACGGATCCCCCAGAGTCGGGCAGCGACCTTCGCTTCTCGAGTTCGCCGCCTGTGCCACTTGCTGGTTCATGTGGAGCTCCCTCCTGGGCCTTCTCCTGAGCCATCTCCTCGGCCCCGTGAGTCCCGCGTGGCCCCCGAGTTGTGAATCTGCCCCTGTGGGGATATCTGGCTCCTTTTCTTCTGCCTTTCTCAGCTCCCCACACCTCCTGGACTTCTCAGGGGATAAGCACTTGTGACCCCTGGATTCCCCCGGAGGCAGAGATGAAACTCCTTCTTTCTCTGTGTCTCTGCAGTTGGCAAGAACAACAAGGGTCGGGACCGGAGCCCTGGGCCTTCGCCAGTGCTTCCAAGCAGCAGTCTGAGGAACATCACCCAGTGCTGGCTCAGCGTGGTGCAAGAGCAGGTAGGCAGATGCAAGCTGAAACTGGGCAGGGCGGAGGGTAGGATTCGCTGCTTAGTTTTTGTTTTTTTTTTGGGTCCGGTCATGGGGCCTGAACTCTGGGCCTGGGCGCTGTCCCTCAGCTCTTCAGCTCAAGGCTAGCACTCTACCACTTGAGCCACAGCGCTACTTCCAGCTTTTCTCTTTTTGCTTATGTGGTGCTGAGGAATCGAACCCAGGGCCTCATGCATCCAAGGCAAGCGCTCTACCACTGAGCCACCTTCCCAGCCCCTTGGTTTTTTTTAGTATGAGGTTTGAGGTTCTTGCAAGGCAGATGTTCTATCACCAAGCTACACTTCTAGCTCTTTTAGTCTTGAGCTCAGGACCTAGGTGTTGTGCCTTAGTTTTTTGTGTTCAAGGCTAGTACTCTACCACTTGAACCACAGCCCCTCTTCTGGCTTTTTGCTGGCTAATTGGAGACCTGCCTGCTCCAACTGGCTTTGAACCTTGATCCTCAGATCTCAGCTTCCTGAGTAGCTAGGCTTACAGGAATGAGCCATACACCCTGGTAAGTTTTTAGATGGAGTCTTGCTTTCTACCCAGGCAGGCCACCTAGATGGCCATTCACCTACTTAAGGCTTCCTGTTTCATTTGGATAACAGGCATGTGCCACCATGCCCAGGTGTGGGTCGAGAAGGGGTCTCATGAACTTTTCTGCCCAGGCTGGCTTCAAACTATGATCCTTTGGTTCTCACTGTGGGTCACCAGTGCCCAGCTTCCTTTGGTCACTTCTTGGTCTTTGTTCTCAGGTCAGCAGATTCCTGGCTGCAGCCTGGAGGGCTCCAGACTTTGTGACTCGTTACTGTAAGCTCTATGAACACTTGCAGAGGGCAGGCTCAGAGCTGTTTGGGCCCCGGGCAGCCTTCACACTGGCTCTGCGCAGTGGCTTCTCAGGTGCCCTGCTACAGCAGTCTTTCCTCACGGCTGCTCACGTGAGTCCTGCCCCCACTTCCTGCCTGCCCTTTCCCCTCATTCTCTCCTCATTCTCCTACTCCACTCCCTCATCCCTGGGTGTCACTGCCCTTTCCATTTCCCCCAGATGAGTGAGCAGTTTGCCAGGCACATTGACCAACAGATCCAGGGTGGCCTGCTTGGCGGCGCCCCTGGAGTAGAAACCCTGGGCCGGCTTCAGCGGCACCTGGAACCCATCATGGTCCTTTCTGGCCTGGAGCTGGCCACCACTTTTGAGCACTTCTATCAGTGAGTGCAGGTCTGGCAAGGCCTGGAATCTAGAGGGGGAAAGAGCCTCTGATGGGAGATGAAGGAAGCGGTGGGAGGAGGAGAATGAAGTGTGGAGCTGGGTGTGAAGGGGTGAGGTGGAGCCTGTGACACAGGCCGGCTGCACCATAGGGACCTACCTTCTCGAGGGATGGGCCTAGAGTGTGCTGACATCCCACTGAGACTTGGCCCGACCCCCGTGTGTCCTGCAGGCACTACATGGCAGACCGGCTCCTGAGCTTGGGCTCCAGCTGGCTGGAGGGGGCCGTGCTGGAGCAGATCGGCCTCTGCTTCCCCAACCGCCTCCCCCAACTGATGCTGCAGAGCCTGAGCACCTCGGAGGAGCTGCAGCGCCAGTTCCACCTCTTCCAGCTCCAGCAGCTTGACAGGGTACTTCTGGAGCAGGAAGATAAGGAGGGACAGGGACTGCTGGTAGAGGAGGTAAGAGCAGGGAGAAGCGGGAGCAGGAGAGCAAGACTGGACTCTAGAAGGGAGCCCATGCATCCTTGACATCCTTCTCTTCAGGAGGAAGAGGAGGAAGAGGAGGCTGATGAGAAACAACTATTTACAGACGATCTGAATCCAGTCGTTTCTATAATGGTCCTGTCACCACGCTGCTGGCCTGTCTCTCCACTCTGCTACTTGTACCATCCCAGAAAATGCCTCCCTCCGGAATTCTGTGATGCCCTTGACCGCTTCTCCAGTTTCTACAGCCAGAGTAAGAAGTTGAGGAGAGGAAACTGAGATTGAGGTCATCTTTGGGGTGGAAAGAGAGGAAATGGAGAGGACCATTGGGCAGAAATGTGCAGATGTGAATAAAGACGGAGTTTCTGGGCTCCATAGTATGAGGGAAGGGAGCAGAAGGAATGTAGTATGACCTCATCATTTCTGCCCTCCTTAGTTCCTTCAACTTCCTATAAATCTGATTTTCTTTTTCTTTTTTTTTGTCGGTTGTGGGGCTTGAACTCTGGGCCTGGGCGCTGTCCCTCAGCTCTTCAGCTCAAGACGAGCGCTCTACCACTTGAGCTACAGCACCACTTCCGGTTTTCTGGTCGTTTATTGGAGATAGGAGTCTCACGGTCTCTCCTGCCCGGGCTGGCTTTGAACCACGATCCTCAGATCTCAGCCTCCTGAGTAGCTAGGATTACAGGCGTGAGCCACCAGCGCCCAGCTTGATTTTATTTTTCTATCTCAGTAATATGCATTCTTAACTTCAGTCTTTTGGAACTTCTTTCCAAATAAAAAGTATTTAAGACTACTTCTTTTTCACTCAGTACTATTTTAGCTTCATCCTTTAGGGTTTTTTTCCTCTTAAGATTTAAAAAAAATTGGCATAACTATTATTCAGTAAGATGTACATAATCACAAGGCTTCATGGATTATTACACCCACAATCATCCACACATACTCATCTCCTAGATCAAGATACAGAACATACTTGTAACCCATGTACCTTTTCCCCCAAAAGATACCATATTATTCTTCCCTTTATCAGCATAGATATTTTCCTGTATTTGTACATGATATCGAGTTTGAATTGTACATCTGTCTTCTGGCATGTTGCATAATGTCTGTGGGAAATTTTTGGGTGTATTATATCATTAGTTTATTGTTTTGTATTGCTGAGTCGTATTCTATTGTATGAATATGTTTATTTACCTTTTCTGTTGGTGAGGGCTATTTGGAGTGTTTTATAAGTTTTTATTACTGTTACATTTTTGTGCCCATCCTGCTTGAACTTAGAGTCTGGAAACGATCCTTGAGCTTTTTTCGTTGCTGTTGTTCAAGGCTGGTCCTCTACCACTTGAATCATACCTCCACTTCTGGCTTTTTGGTGGTTAACTGGAGATGAGTCCCATGGACTTTCCTTCCTGGGTTTGCTTTGAACCGTGATCCTCAGATCTCAGCCTCCTGAGTAGTTAGGATTACAGGCGTGAGTCACCAGTGCCTGGGATGACTTGTCAGTTTTTAAGAAGTATATTTTTAATTCACTAGACTTTTTTTGTTTAATTGTATTTTTGTTTTAGATTTCTACCTTCCCTCCATTGAGACCTCTTTTGTAAACTAGCAAATGGCTAAGTTTTATAAACTTTCCAGGTATGAGTAAGTAAAATATGGCCAGTACAGTGACAAATATCCCAGTTACACAGAAAGTGGAGGAAGGAGGATCCAGAGGTCAAAGCCAGCCCACACAAAGTTAGCACCACGCTATCTCAAACATAAAATACAAACCAAAGGGCTGGAGGTGTGGCTCAAGTACCTGAGCATTTGCCTGGCAAAGTAGAGGCCTGGAGTAGAGTCTGGCAGTTTACTTCGTGTGTGTGTGTGTGTGTATATGTGTGTGTGTGCGCGCGCGCGTGCGCGCGTGTGTGCATGTGTGTGCGCATTCCTGCACAGGCTAGGACTTAAACTCAGGGCCTTTGGGTGCTGTCTCTGATTTTTTTTTTTCTCAAAGCTAGTGTTTTATCAATTGAGCTATAACTCCACTTCCAGCTTTTTGTTGTTGTTGTTGGTCGTGGGGCTTGATCTCTGGGCCTGGGTGCTGTCCCCCTCAGCTCTTCAGCTCAAGGCTAACACTCTATCATTTGAACCACAGCACCACTCTCGGCTTTTTCTGCTTGTATGGTGCTGAGGAATCGAACCCAGGGCATTATACATGCAAGGCAAGCACTCTAACCACTAAGCCACCTTCCCAGCCTCATACTTCCAGCTTTTGATGGTTAATTGGAGGCAAGAGTCTCACAGACTTTCCTGCCTGTGCTGGCTTCAAACCGTGATCCTCAGATCTCAGCCTTCTGAGTAGCTAGGATTACAGGCATGAGTCACCGGCGCCCAGCCCTGAGCCTCTTTTGCTCAAGGCCAGCTGTCTACCACTTGAGCCACAGCGCCACTTCCAGCTTTAATAAATGGCAGATAATATTTTGTATTAGAATTTAAGCTTCTGAGGAGACAGTGCCTTTAGAATATATCTTCATTAATAGCACTATGTGGGTTTTCCTGAAGTACAGTTTATACGAAAAAGCTGAATTTTCCCATTCGTTTTTTGTTTGTTTGTTTGTTTGTTTGTTTTTTGGTTGATCATGGGACCTGAACTCTGGGCCTGGGCACTGTCACTCAGCTCTTCAGCGCAAGGCTAGCACTCTACCACTTGAGCCACAGCGCCACTTCTGGGTCTTTCTGCTTATGTGGTGCTGAGGAATCGAACCCAGGGTCTCTTGCAAGCAAGGCAAGCACTCTACCACTGAGCCACCTTCTGGCCCTTTTTTTTTTTTTGGTTAGTCATGGGGCTTGAACTCTGAACCTGGGCACCATCCCTAAGCTCTTCAGCTTCAAGGCAAGTGCTCTACCACTTGAGCTACAGCACCACTTCCAGTTTTCTGGTGATTTATTGGAGATAAGAGTCTCATGGGGCTGGGAAGGTGGCTCAGTGGTAGAGCGCTTGCCTTGCATGCATGAGGCCCTGGGTTCGATTCCTCAGCACCACATAAGCAAAGGAAAAAAAAAGCCGGAAGTGGCGCTGTGGCTCAAGTGGTAGAGCACTAGCCTTGAGCTGAAGAGCTGAGGGACAGTGCCCAGGCCCAGAGTTCAGGCCCCACAACCGGACCCAAAAAAAAAAAAAAAGAGTCTCATGGACTTTCCTGCCCTGCTAGCTTTGAACCACAATCCTCAGATCTCAGCCTCCTGAGTAGATAGGATTACAGGCATGAGCCACTAGCAGTCAGCTAGGTTTTTTTTTTTTTTTTTTTTTTAAATAATATGTTCATTGGTTTCCTTCGAAGATGACTAATGAGGTTTATTGAAAACATAGATCATTATAAAATCCATCATGCTGGGCTCCAGTGGCTCTGCTAGCCTTGAGCTGAAGAGCTGAGAGACAGCGCCTAGCCCAGAATTCAAGCCCCATGACCAACCAATCCATCATTTTGGATTTAAAATTTTTGTGTGTTGGTAACACTTGACCCCTACTCCGCCCTCCCCCTCCCAGGTCAGAACCACCCAGTTCTGGACATGGGGCCACATCGACGGCTGCAGTGGACGTGGCTGGGCCGGGCGGAGCTGCAGTTTGGGAAGCAGGCGCTGCATGTGTCCACTGTGCAGATGTGGCTGCTGCTAAATTTCAATCAGACTGAGGTACCTCAGCCCCGAGCCGCTCCCAGTCATCTCTGACTCCTCCTGAACTCTGGTCCTTCTTCCACCACTCTTCTCTATTTTCCCTTCCTCTTCCTCCCTCCTGATTGGCCTTGTTTCTCCTCACCAGGAGGTGTCAGTGGAGACCTTGCTAAAGGATTCCGACCTCTCCCCAGAGCTGCTGCACCAGGCCCTCCTGCCCCTCACCTCTGAGACTGGCCCTTTGACCCTGCAGGAGGCACAGAACTTTCCATCTGGGGGTAGGCCAATGGGGGCTGGACTGAGCCTGTGCTGCAGAGTGGGGGACTCTGGAGGTTGGGGAGATGGTACCAAAGATCACAATGTTGTAGGATTCTTAGTCCTCACTCAGATATCCCTCCTTGTCCCTGGGTCTCTGACTTGGGCCTGGGTTCCAGGGGTACTGCGACTTCGTGAGCCTGGGACCCCGTCCAGTGAGGAGGCCCTGTGGCTGATACCACCCCAGACATACCTGAATGTAGAGAAGGATGAGGGCCGCACCCTGGAGCAGAAGAGGAACCTCTTAAGCTGCCTTCTTGTCCGTATTCTCAAAGCACATGGGGAGAAAGGCCTCCACATTGATCAGCTGGTTTGTCTGGTAGGCGCAGTGGGGACTGTGCTGGGGGAAGGAAATGTCACTCCTGGGGTTGGGATAGAACCAGAGGTCCTCACAAGGGAAGGAGACTCCCATGAGACCTCTGTTAGCTGACATTTGCATGTGGATTTGCTATTCCTGACAGGGCAGTAGGCAGAAAGTAGAGGTAAGACATAAGCGTTGACCACATGGACAATGAAACCTTTAAGTCTTCACAATAATCCTACAAAATGGATATCATTATTTTATCCCATTTGAAGATAAGAAAACTGAGGCACGGGAAAGTTAATAACTTATTCAGAGTCTCATGGCCAGTAAATGGTGAGCTAGTCATTGAACCCAGGTCTAGGTAAGAGTAGCCTCCTTGTTTCTTTCCTCCCATCCAGGTGCTGGAAGCCTGGCAGAAGGGTCCAAATCCCCCTGGGAGCCTGGGTCGCGCTGTTGCTGGGGGCGTGGCCTGTACCAGCACCGATGTCCTCTCTTGCATCCTGCACCTCCTGGGCCAGGGCTACGTGGAGCGCCGTGATGACCGGCCGCAGATCCTGATGTATGCCACTCCAGAGCCCATGGGGCCCTGCCGGGGCCAGGCAGATGTCCCCTTCTGTGGCAACAAAAGCACCAAGACCTTCAAGCCTAGGTAGCCATCTTTACCTCTGTCCCCTTCAACCAAGTCAAACCCTCCAAAGCTCACTTGTGGAGAAACATTTCCTGTTGTTGTCTTTTTTTTTTTGTCAGTTGGGCTTGAACTCAGAACCTGGGTGCTGTCCCTGAGCTCTTTTACTCAAGGCTAGTGCTCTACCACTTCGAGCCACAACGCTACTTCCAGTTTTCTGGTGTTTAGTTGGAGATAAGAGTCTCATGCATTTTCCTGGATGGGCTGCCTTTGAACTGTGATCCTCAGAGCTCAGCCTTCTGAATAGCTAGGATAACAGGCATGAGCCACTTGAGCTCGGCTGCTTTATTTTTTTCTATCTCTATTATTTCTCCTGCTTCGCAATTCTTCATTCTCCCAGCACCACCACCTGCTTCCTTGCCAATCAGGAGCCTTGCTTTCCCTATCCTAGAGCCAGCCCTTGGGTGAAGAACCAGACACGCTGACTCTTTGATAGATGTCTCTCATTGTAAGGAAATAGGAAATACTCTGTAACTATGTATGGGAGTATTACCTTAGCACTCTGCTCCTTGAAATACCCAAATGTTCAAGTTCATTCTGCTGGGCATTTGTTATGGACCTCGCTAATCAGTCAGCACCCTGACGCTTCCAGCATTACATCCAATTCACCAGCAGCCATTGTGGCACTGCTGTTCATGCCTGCTGTTTGCATGGCACACAAAGTGAGTTCTCCAAAGCAATCTTTCTTGGAGGTTATCAGATGTAGACCTATCACCTGGAAGGGTTAACTGTAGATCCTGGTTCATTGATATACTCTTTGTTTTTTGTGGTTTTTTTTTTTGGGGGGGGTCCAGTAGTGGGCCTGAACTCTGGGCCTGGGCTCTGTCCCTCAGCTCTTCAGCTCAAGGCTAGTGCTCTACCACTTGAGCCACAGCACCACTTCCGGCTTTTTTCTTTTTGCTTATATGGTGCTGAGGAATCAAACCCAGGGCCTCAGGCATGCAAGGCAAGTGCTCTACCACTGAGCTACCTTCCCAGCCCTCATTGATATACTCTATACCTGTATCATCACCTGTAGCAAGGCTGGACACTCCTGTTTGACACGAGAGATGCTGTTGCACCTCTGGGTGGGGGCCTGCAGTGAATTGTCCCACCCACTCTCCTTCACTTTGCACCCCAATCCCTGCAGGACTCCCCATCATTGCTACTGCCAGCCAAAGTGCTCTGTCCTGATGCTGCTTGGGTAGTTATTCTAACACTGCTGGGGCAGGTGGGGAGTTGAGGCCTTGGGTAGGGGTCAGTCTATAGGTTATAAGCAGGGCATCAATACTAAGCACTGTCTCTTATCTCCCTCCAAGCCCAGAAGCTGTGGTGGCCCTTGCATCTCTGCAGCTGCCTGCAGGCCGCACTATGAGCCCCCATGAGGTAGAAGGGTTGATGGAGCAGACTGTGCGGCAAGTACAAGAGACACTGAATATAGAACCAGATGTGGCACAGCACCTTTTGGCTCATTCCCACTGGGGTGCCGAACAGTTGCTACAGAGCTACAGTGATGACCCAGAGCCACTACTGCTGGCAGCCGGGCTGTGTGTGCCCCAGGCCCAGGCCGTGCCCACACGCCCAGACCACTGCCCTGTCTGTGTCAGCCCCCTGGGCCCCGATGACGACTTGCCCTCCCTCTGCTGCATGCACTGTTGCTGTAAGGTGAGGCCTCCCTGTCTCCTGTGTTTCTGCCTTCCTCCTGAATGCAGGTGCCTTGAAACCTCTGGGATCTGGCTCAGCACTGCCATTTTTTCTAACCTGGATGATGTTGGGTGCATCTCTCGCTCTATTTTTCTTATATGTACATGGTATACCAGGGTTACACACCAAGCTCTGGGTCTCCTCTCCCTGTCACTGTCCTTCTCCTTCTCTTTTTCCTTCTGTCTCTCCTCTCTTCTCCCCTCTCCCTCTCTCTTCTCTCTCTCCCCTGTCCCTCTCCCCTCTCACTCTTCCCTCTCCATTTTTTTCTCCTTCTGTCTTCTCTTTTTTTCTTTCTTTTTTCTTTTCTTTCTTTCATTCTCTCACACTCACTCTCTCCTTTCTTTTGTTGTTTTTTTTTTTTTTTGTCGGTCATGGGGCTTGAACTCTGGGCATGGGCGCTGTCCACGCGCTCTTCAGCTCAAGGTGAGTGCTCTACCACTTGAGCCACAGACCACTTCCAGTTTTCTGGAGGTTCATTGGAGATCAGAGGCTAACGGACTTTCCTGCCTGGGCTGACTTTGAACTGGGATCCTCAGGTCTCAGCCTCCTGAGTAGTTAGGATTACTGGCGTGAGCCACCGGCGCCTGGCTCTCTCTCTCTCTTTCTCTCATTTTCTTTCTTTGTGCCAGTCCTAGGGCTTGAGCTCAGGGCCTAGGTACTGTCTGTCCCTGAGTTTTGTTTTTTTTTTTGCTCAAGGCTAGTGCTGTATTACTTGAACCACAACTTCACTTCTGTTTTTTTGGTGGTTAATTGGAGATAAGAGTCTCAAGGACTTTTCTGCCCCAGTTGGCTGCAAAGTACAATCGTTAGATCTCAGCCTGCTGAGTATTGAGGATTACAAGTGTGAGCCACTGGTGCCCAGCTTGGGTGAGCTACTGGTGTCCCTTAGGTTAGTTCCTCAGCTGTGAGTGGTGCATGCTTCACACTTTTCAGAGGGTCTGTGAGGCTCCAGTGATACAATATGGTTTTCTTTTTTTTTTTTTTTTTTGTCAGTCGTGGGGCTTGATCTCTGGGCTTGGGTGCTGTCCTTGTGCTCTTCAGCTCAAGGTGAGCGCTCTACCGCTTGAGCCACAGCACCACTTCTGGTTTTCTAGCGGTTTATTGGAGATAAGAGTCTCACAAACTTTCCTGCCCGGGCTGGCTTTGACCCACGATCCTCAGATCTCAGCCTCCTAAGTAGCTAGGATTACAGGCTTGAGCCACGGGCTCCCGGCTTCCTTTTTTTTTTTTTTATTGTGAAAATACCATACAGAGGGGTTACAATTACATGGGCAAGGTAATGAGTACATTTCTTATCAAGCATTGTTGCCTCCTCCTTTGTTTCCCCTCCCCCCCCCCCCCTTTTTTTTGTCGGTCATGGGGGCTGAACTCTGGGCCTGGGCACTGTCTCTAAGCTCTTCAGCTCAAGGCTAGTGCCCTACCACTTGAGCCACAGCGCCACTTCCGACTTTTTTTTCTGCTTATGTAGTGCTAAGGAATGGAACCTAGGGCCTCATGCATGCAAGGCAAGCACTCTACCACTGAACCACCTTCCCGGCCCTACAATATGGTTTTCTAACTCTGCTGCATGTTATAATCGCTAGGCACTTGTAAAGGTCCTCAGCCTTAGAATATACCCAGACCAATTAAGTCACAACCTCTGAGAGGAAACTCAGGCATCTAGAGTTTTAAGTCTCTCAGGTTATTCCAATTATCAGCCAAGTCAGAGAATGTGTGTGTACATATGCATATATGTTTGGACATGCATATATCATACAGACTATGTGTTAAGGCAGTTTGTAAACGAGGAAAAGTTATTAGTGACTGGAGTTTAAATATTTTCTTATCACCACTCAACACCTCATCTCAGAACACCACTTTGCTTATCATGTATTCTCATTTACTTCACAGATAAAAAATGGTATAGATCAGAAAATAGCACGACAAGAGGGAGGAAGGGCATTGAGGGAAGACAGGCCTGCTGCTAGAAAGCAACACAGGATAAGCAGTAGACGGGGAAATGACCAACTTCAGAGGCGGGAAGAAGGGGGCGAGTGCCGGGCCCAGAGTGCTGGGCCCAGAGTCTGAAAGCCCTGCCTCCCAGCTCTTCCAATTCACATCACACCTGCCCAGGGGCTCACCTTAACAGGATTGCTCCCTGCTGCCGTGAACTCTAGCTGCCTCTCCCAGCGCCCCCCAGTGGTGGGTGATGAGACAGGCGCCTCTGCATGTGGGTGCTTGCCTTTTCCCTGTCCCCTTTGCTCTGCTCTTAGATGCTTCTCACCTGGCTCCTTAGGCCCCTCCTTGTTTTCTCTGTATGTTTACTCAACTGAAACGTATCATGGACCCACTATATGAATGGTGCTGCATGCTGGATGAGGGAGTGAAAACCCAAACAAGAAGTGATCTAAGAGCTTCTAACAACAGCAGCCAATACTTACAGGGCTCATTCTGGGCTGGGCACTATGCTGCATGTATGCACTTTTCTACTTACTTGTAGGCTGTTCTGAGGTAGGAGTTTTCATACCTCCAGACCTTATTTGTATTTTTTTTGTCCGGTTCTGGAACTTGAACTCAGAGCCTGGGCACTGTCCCTCAGCTTCTTTGTGCTTAAGGCTAGTGCTCTACCAGTTGAGCCAAAGTGCCACTTCCAGTACGGGTTATTTTTGAGATAAGGTCTCATTTCTGCCCAGGAATACACCTGAACTCTAATCATATTTTTTGTTTTCCCATTGTGGCCTAGATGATAGGTGCGTATCACCCAGCTTCTTCCATTGGAATAGACTCCAGCAGACTTGTCTGTCTAGCTGACTTTGAGCCATGATCCTCTGGATCTCAGCTTCCCAAGTAGTTCAGGGCAGGTTTTTTTTGTTTTTGTTTTGAGAGGTCTAAATGGGAGTCATGATTAAAAGGCCAACGAATGCAGGCAGACTCTCATCACAAAGACCTGCAGCCCTGCGAATACCATGAGAGTAGAAGAGGAAAGAAAAAGCAGAAAACTGTAACAACAAACCAGATGAGCTCCAATGGAGAGCTGAAGTGGGCTGGCATGGTGCTGGAGAGGAGACAGGAGACAGGACACCAACACGAAGCCCTGTGGCAAGGCGTCATGGGGCCTGAGCTGGTCCAGACCTAAATAGGGTCAGGGCAGGGGGCAGGGTCACAGGAGCCTGAGAGTTCACGACCCAAGACTAGCAGGTCCAGTAACCTATTGTCCAACTTCCTGCTTTGCAAGGCAGGGAATTTTTTTTTTTTTTTTTTTTTTTTTTTTTTGAGAAAAATAGGAGCTGTGTGGCTCTGAGGTTTGAGCTGCTTGCTGGACATGGTGGGACAGGCAAGGTAGTCAGTAGATTTTGAATTTGGAATGAAATGGAAGAGGCCTAGATGACATTACCCAGGAAGGAACAAGCAGCAGGCTGAGCCCAGAGCCTCTGCCGCCCAGCGGAGATGCACACACAGGCAGCCTGAGAAAGTGACTGAGAAAAACAGGCTGATTGAAAAAAAGGCTCAGCGAAGTAAATGAGCAAGTCCCAGCTGAGTGGCACAAAGAGCAAGGCCTGAGAAGTCAGAGGAAGACAGCCCAGTGTCTGGGGCGGGGGGGGGGGGGGGGGGGGGGCGGGGGGGGGCGCGGAAGGGGGCAGGGTAGGGTCGGAGAAGGCTTCCAGTGTGAACTCTGCCAGAGGATCGGTGACAGCACTGGGTCTCCACTTGGACTGACAATGGCAAAACCCTAAGTCGAGAGGCCCCTGTGGGGAGTGGGGGACTGCCAGACTCAGATGCTAGGATTCTGTCCCAGAGGACTGTGGGAAGCCCAGGGCACTGCACGCCTGCAGGTGCAGGCTGTGAATTTTACGGTCAACTTTCCAATTTGTGTGTGTGTGTGTGTGTGTGTGTGTGTGTGTGTGTGTGTGTGTGTGTGTGTGTGTGTGTGTGTGTGTGTGTGTGTGTGTGTGTGTGTCCCTGCCAAAGGTTTAGCTTGGTTCTTTTCTGGGCATAAAAGTTGTCTAGTCACATGCTTCATGTGTGTGCTGGAGCCTTATGCCACAGCTGCAGGACTGGTCATTTGGGAAAGCTCAGCTACAGGTGGTAGAATGGAAAGGAGTTGTTAATGGAGTATTTTAGGAGCTGATTTCCAGCCGTGTATATAGTGGCCTGCAGGAGGAGAGGGTGAGGAGGAAGGCCGTGTATCAGGAGGCTCTTGCAGTGGGTAGGGATGAAGCATAAGGGCCTCTGATGTAGGGTGGGGCAGGGTATGGGAGTGAGAGGAAAGAACTGGGGGGGGGGGAGTATCTGTGGAAGGCGTGGTCCTGGGGAGGCTGGAACATCAGGATAGAGATGTGGAGATGAGATCAGAGCCCTGCTGCCCACACAGGGGACTGTAACTCAATGGGGGAAAAGCTACCCACTTTCCTAGACCTCCTTTCTGTCGACCTTCATCAGACCTTTTGCTGTGATGAATACCTGAGAGAAACAATTTAGGGGAGGAAAGATTTCTTTGGCTCATGGTTTCAGATAGTTAAGAGTCGGCTGGCTCCATTGCTTCTGGCAAGGCAGAAACATGAGGGCGGAAGGGCATGGCCGAACAGAGCTGCTTCCCTCAGAGACAGGAAGGGGCCAGGGACAAGATGCCCTTCAAAAGTAAGTCCTTTGTGACTTACTTTCTCCAACCAAATTCCACCTTCCATAGTCCTCCTACCACCTCCCAGTAATCTATTCTGTTTTGGCATTGGAGATTGAACCCAAGGCCTTGTGCTTGCTAAAGTCTGTTTGGGTTTTCCCCCCTTTTCTCTCTCTTTTTAAAAAAATTATTTATTCGGATTTTGAATGCATCAGTGCTAGTCCACTGACAAGGGCCTATGATCAGTCACTTCTCAGAAGACGCATCTGTGAGCATCGTGACTGTGAGCATTCATCCATGAGCCAAAACACAACACTGATGTCTCCATCGTTTTCTTTCTTGATTTTTTCTTACCCACTTCCTCCATGGCTGTCCAACAGTAATTCTAATTAAGCCAAGACCCAACCCCTCACATCCTCAGAGACAACTATAGTGAGGGTCCATCCCAGGAAATGCATGGAGGCTGGAAGGCGGATCTGCGGAGGTGGATCTAGGAACAGGCTGGCTCCGGCTTTCCATGTGGCCAGTGGCTGGGAGGAGAGGCGCCGGGTGAGGTACAGTGCCCCTTTCTCTGAGCAGCCCCCTCCTTGTGTTCTCCCAGTCTTGCTGGAATGAATATCTGACCACTCGGATCGAGCAGAACCTTGTGCTGAATTGTACCTGCCCCATCGCCGACTGCCCCGCCCAGCCCACCGGCGCCTTCATCCGGGCCATCGTCTCTTCACCAGAGGTCATCTCCAAGGTAGCCCCCTCCCGCTGAGCTGAAGAGGGCAAGCCCCAGAGGACGGCTGGCCTGGCACTGTGCCTTGGGGCAAGCCATGTCCTCATGTTGCGGCATGTGTGGCCCACAGTACGAGAAGGCCCTGCTGCGAGGCTATGTGGAAAGCTGCTCCAACCTGACCTGGTGCACCAACCCCCAGGGCTGCGACCGAGTCCTGTGCCGCCAGGGCCTGGGCTGCGGGACCACCTGCTCCAAGTGCGGCTGGGCTTCCTGCTTCAACTGTAGCTTCCCTGAGGTGGGTGCCCCCTCCCCGCCCCATCCCTACCCAAGAGACTTACTTAGACTCCTCCCCTACTCAGCACCCTCCTTGTGACCTGTCTTCATTCTCCCACTGGTTGAACTGTGTCTCCCTCGACCCCACCCCCACCCCCACCTCGTAGGTTCTCATGTGTCACCTGCCTTCCCATGGAGGGAAGAGTACTGCCCTACTAGGGCTTAGCTGTGTCCCTGCCTCCCTCCTGCTCCAGGCACACTACCCTGCCAGCTGTGGCCACATGTCCCAGTGGGTCGATGACGGTGGCTATTACGATGGCATGAGCGTGGAGGCCCAGAGCAAGCACCTGGCCAAGCTCATCTCCAAACGCTGCCCCAGCTGTCAGGCTCCCATTGAGAAGAACGAGGGGTGTCTGCAGTAAGAAGGGGTGATGGGGGCATCAGAGGGCAAGGGAGAAGCGGGGGAGGCTGGCAGTAAGAGACAGGTTTATCATGAAGCTCGCTCATGAAATCAGTCACCCCTCAGTGCTTCCCCCACAGCAGCTTCTTCCTTTATCTTGGTGTTCCTTCCCCCACTCTGTGTGTGTGTGTGTGTGTGTGTGTGCGTGCATGCGCGTGCGCGCTCAGGAGTGCATGCCAGCCACAGTACCGGGGACTGAACTCAGGACTCTGAGATCTTTTTTTTTTTTTTGGTCGTGGGGCTTGAACTCTGGGGCTGGGCGCTGTCCCTCAGCTCTTCAGCTCAAGGTGAGCGCTCTACCACTTGAGACACACTGCCAGTTCTGGTTTTCTGGTGGTTCATTGGAGATAAGAGTCTCACAGACTTTCCTGCCTGGGCTGGCTTTGAACTGTGATCCTCAGATCTCAGCCTCCTGTGTAGCTAGGATTACAGACATGAGCCACTGGCACCTGGCCTCTGAGATCTTTCTTTTTTTTTTTGGGGGGGGGGGTCTGGTTGTGGGGCCTGAACTCTGGGCCTGGGCGCTGTCCCTCAGCTCTTCAGCTCAAGGCTAGCACTCTACCACTTGAGCCACAGCACCACTTCCGGCTTTTTCTGCTTATGTGGTGTTGAAGACTCGAGCTCAGGGCCTCAGGCATGCAAGGCAAGCACTCTACCACTGAGCCACCTTCCTAGCTCCTCTGAGATCTATTTTGCTTGTTTTTTTTTTTTTTTCCACTCAAGGCTGGCACTTTACCACTTGGGCCACACCCTTACTTACATCTTTGGCTTCAAACCAGTCCTCAGATCTCCTGAGTAGGGAGGGTTACAGACGAGCCTTCTGCCCTGATTTTCCTCCCCCTACTTTTAAGTTTATACAATATGGGGAAGTGCAAGAGCAAGGATGCATGCAGCGTGGTGGATGGAGGCGGAGGATGGAGGCCAGATGCCTGGGTCATGGTCTCTGGTGCTGTGGTCAGGCTTGCCCAGTAGGTGCCCTCTGACTGGCTTGCTTCCTTCACAGCATGACTTGTGCCAAGTGTAACCATGGATTCTGTTGGCGCTGCCTCAAATCCTGGAAACCCAATCACAAGGACTACTACAATTGCTCAGCCATGGTAAGGGGCTGTGTCCGCTGTGTGACCATGGTTACAGGGACAAAGGCTCAGCAGAGAGAAGACAGGAACCACTTTAGTCTGTACTGAGCAGTTTTTCCAGGGGTCTTCATCTTTAGAATCGCATGGCTCCCTTGGAGGGAGCTGCAGAGAGGCAGGGGAGGGTGGGACATGGCAGGTGCCAGCACAGAGCAACGAGTCTGGAGTCGGCCTGCTCCAGCATTGTGTGTAGCTCTGGGCATGTCTCAACATGGCCACCTGTGAAGGGGTTCGTGGGACGTGGCCTGCCCAGGCAGGAGGATGAGATAGAGATCTTCCGGGTGAAGTGGCTGTTCTCACTCTTAACTGCACCCTATCCAAACAAATGATCCAGCCCCCGCCCCGCATGCCCGTACAGGTGAGCAAAGCGGCTCGCCAGGAGAAGCGGTTCCAGGACTATAATGAGAGGTGCACTTTCCACCACCAGGCCCGGGTGAGCAGTGGCCCCGGGTGGGTGGGGGAGGCCTGAGGGCTGGGCCGGCTCCCTGGGGAGGGGCAGGCTGCACCGCAAGGGGCTGTGCTGAGCGCCTTCCTTGGCAGGAGTTTGCTGTGAACCTTCGGAACCGGGCCTCTGCCATCCACGAGGTGCCCCCGCCCAGATCCCTGACCTTCCTCAACGATGCGTGCCGAGGCCTTGAACAGGCTCGAAAGGTTGTGGGGCGGGGGAGGGGGGTAGGAGGGCCAGGGACAGGAAGGGGGGAGGGGGAAGCACTGGCACCCAGCCTCAGGCAGGAAGAGCTGACTTGGGGCTCCCGTAGGTGCTGGCCTATGCCTGTGTCTACAGCTTCTACAGTCAGGACACAGAGTACATGGACGTGGTAGAACAGCAGACCGAGAACCTGGAGCTGCACACCAATGCCCTGCAGATCCTCCTGGGTGAGCCGGACGCCTCTCCTCCGCCCACCGCTAGCATCGGCTGCCCAGCCAATTAGCTCGCACGGCCAGGCCCCCGCCACACCTCCCCCAGTCCCCAATGCCTGCGGGAGGGGTCAGAGGCCACAGATGTTCCCAGCATCTGGATGCTGGGCTGCAGCCTCTGGTACTTAGTGGGAGGAGGGCGTGGCTGGGATGGGGAGGAGGGAGTCAGCCCGGTGTCTGCCCCCCTGCAGAGGAGACGCTGCTGCGCTGTGGAGACCTGGCGTCCTCCCTGCGCCTCCTGAGGCCCGGCTGCCTGAGCACGGGCCTGGAGCTGCTGCGTCGGATCCAGGAGAGGCTGCTGGCCATCCTGCAGCATTCCACCCAGGTGCGCCGGGCCCTGCCCTGGGTGCCTGTCCCAGCTCCCCGCCAGCCTGCGGGGTGCATCTCTCAGAGGACTGTTGTAGATGTGGATGAAGATCCCGGGTGTGAGGGTCTCCCTGGTTCTTCCCAGTCTAGTTTGCAGGTGCCCAGCTCACAGCATGCTCTCGGTACTCTCCGAGGGTAACGTGGGCAAAAAAAGACACGAACATATGCCAGGTGCCTTGAGCACAGGGAGCCCAGCTAGAGAGCCTTGGAGAGAAGGCGCAGGCAGGCAGCCGGGGAAGGGCCGGGTCGGAGGGAGCCTCGCCCGCAGGAGACGCCAAGCCACAGGCCCAGTGTCCTCTGCGCGCCTGCTCTACGTGCTCCCATCTCCTCTCAGGACTTCCGGGTCGGTCTCCAGAGCCCATCAGCCGATGCCCGGGAGCCAAAGGGATCCAACGTGCCCAGCAGCCAGTGAGTAGAGCGGGGCAGACCCGAAGCGGGCAGCGGGGGGCCGGCCTGCTCTGAGTGTGGTGACCCTCCCCAGACCCCAGGGCTCCTCGGGGCTGGAAGCAGAGGAGGAGGAAGAGGAGGAGGAGGAGGAAGAGGACGAGGATGATGTGCCTGAGTGGCAGCAGGAGTTTGATGAGGAGCTGGACAACGACAGCTTCTCCTACGACGAGGAGTCGGAAAACCTGGACAGAGAGACGTTCTTCTTTGGTGACGAGGACGAAGACGATGAGGGCTATGACTGAGGGGAGGCGCAGGAGACGCCTGGAGCAGCCCTGCCAGCGTCTCGGGCGGGGGGGGGGGGGGGGGGGGGGAGTTGAGCGTTTCCGGGCAGGGGGGAGGGGTTCCCAGCGTCCCGGCACCTTCTTCTGTTTACTGAATAAATTTCCTTTTTTTCACACATTTTTCTGGAAGCAAGCTGGACAGCTGCCCCGGGGCTAGTCGCGTGAGCTCCCCGGACCTCTCCTTCCAGCCAGCTCCCCTCACTTACTGTTTATTTATTTAGTCAGTTGTGGATCTTGAACTCTGAGCCTGGGCGCTGTCCCTCAGCTCTTCAGCACAAGGCTAGTGTTCTACCACTTGAGCCACAGAATCACTTCCGGCTTTTTCTGTTTATGTGGTGCTGAGGAACTGAACCCAGGGCCTCATACTTGCACAGCAAGCACTCTACCACTGAACCAACTTCTCAGCCCCTGTTTTTGTTTGTTTGTTTTTTTGCCAGTCCTGGGGCTTGAACTCTGGCCTTGGGCGCTTTCCCTGAGCTTTTTGTTCAAGGCTAGCACTCTACCACTTGAGCCACAGCACCACTTCCAGCTTTTTCTGGTGGTTAATTGGAGATTAATAAGAGTCTCATGGACTTTCCTGTCTGGGCTGGCTTTGAACCACAATCCTCAGATCGCAGCCTCCTGAGTAGCTAGGATTACAGGTGTGAGCCACTGGTGCCTGGCTTATTTACTGTTTCCTTTAGCCTTCCAGATTCTTCTGTCCTCACAAACAGCCCACAGCAGACCCACTTGACCTAAGCTGACAGGAGATGAAGGTCTGTGTGGCCAGATTCAGCTCCAGCCTGGCTCCAGCCCACACCTGCCTTCTCCAATTCCTTAGTGAGATAACCGACACTTTGGGGGCTACAGACGTTTAGAATCTGTCGGCACCCTAACATGAGCCAGTGGCTAGTACCTGTAATAGTTGCCAGTCAGGAGACAAAGAACTGAAGGATCTTGGTTTGAAGCTAGCCTGTGCAGAGAAGTCTGAGAGACTTCATCTACAAAATAATCAACAAAAAGCACAGTTGGGAGGGATGGCTCAATTGGCAGAGAGCCAAGCAAGCAACCCAAGTAAGTGAGGCCCAAATACTGCAAAAAAATAAATAAAATTAACCCACACCAAATAATGGAGTGGTGTGGGAAAGGGTTATTACTGAGTTTTGCTGCTCCACTGTGACTACAACACAGACAGACAAGCCTGGGCAGGGGCAATACCAGAGCCATGGCAGAGGTCGGAAGGATTTAATGGGGGGGGGGGGTGGGTTAAGTCCGGCAGTTCAGTCCCTGGGGACAGCCACCCGAGCAGAAGGCTCAACCTCAAAGTATCGGTCCAGCATGGCCTCCACCTCTTCCTCTTCATAGTCCCACACCTGGAACCTTGAGCCATCCGCTGCTCCCCGGATCATGGCTGAAAGCACTGGTGGGGAGCAGGGGTGGGGTAGGGCCACCTCCTTTTCACTGTTCCCCACTTCACAGCTGCCCCAGCCACCAAGGAAGGAGCAGCAGGGTTCACAAAAGCCATAGGGGAAGATTGGGGTGCTCACCTCGGCCAGACCGCGGGCGGAACAGACACAGGATGTTCTTATGGAGGGCCACGGCCCGGCCAAGCTCGTAGCCGACACCCAAGGAGGGCTGCGTCACCTCAGCCACAACCACTGGGGAGAAAGAGGAGCGCTCAGCCCTGGACCTGGGGTTCATGGGCATGTGTAGAGGGAATTCTAGGGAGGCCCCAGGAGTCCACCATCCCAGAGGAGGGAGGAACTCACCATCTGCCTGCTGCAGCCAGGCCAAATCCCGCTGGTGGATGTGCCGGTCACCCCCAGCGGCCTCTTCTCCTGTGGGTCAAAGAAGCTGGTCAAGGACGCTTCCTGTCCCAGCTCAGCGGCTCCTGTCCTGGCCCTCCTCCACATCCACCCTCCTCAGGGAGGCGTGTGCTAGAGGATGCCCAGGGCCAGCTCCGCCCCAGAGCCCTTCAGAAAGGAGGAAGAACGGAAAAGCTTTAAGAAAAATTCAGCCAGGCTCCTGGTGGCTCATGCCTGTCATCCTAGCTACTCAGGAGGCTGAGATCTGAGGATCGAGGTTCAAAGCCAATCCGGTCAGGAAAAGTCCGTGAGACTCTTATCTCCAATTAATCACCAAAAAAACCAGAAGTGGAGCTGTGGCTCAAGTGTTAAAGCACTAGCCCCATGATGAAAAAGCTCAGGGACAGCGCCCAGGCCCTGAATTTAACCCCAGAAAAGGGAGGGGGGGGCTCACATGGGAGGGGGGCTTGGAAGAGAGGCTCAGAGGTTTGAGATCAGCCTGGGTAACATACTGAGACCAAAAAGTAAAGATGCAAAGGCTTCATGTTGGGGCTTTTCTTTCCTTCTTCTTCTTCTTTTTTTTTTTCTGTGCTGATCCTGATGCTCTAACTTGGCCAGGACACTGTCCCAAGGCTGGTACTCTACCACTTGAACCACAACTCCACATCCAGCTTTTTGGTATTTAATTTGGAGATGAGTCTCATGGACTTTCCTGCCCTGTTAGGTGGAGCAGGAAAACCAAGTAAAGGTTTTCTGAGAACTACAAAAGAGTTCTAAGCATGATTTTCAAACTAAGAGGTGAGACTGAGGTGGAAAGGCCCAGAAGCCCACCAGGGGCTGAGGATCACTCAAGCAGACAGGGGAGCAGGTGGTCAGAGAAGTGGGGTCTAAGAGGGCTGATTCTTTGGCAGAGAGGGGGCGTGGTCTGGGATCAGGGGTGGAGTGGGACCTGGGGCAGACAAAGCGGCCCAGCAGAGCTGCGCTCCCTCTTCCCCCATCTGCCACTGGGCAGACAGCTAGAGGGGGAGGGGGGAAGGCCTGAGGTCTAGGGTGTCATCACCTTCAGCCCCGGGCGAGCACTGGGCCTTGAGTTCAAGCCCCAGCGCTGGCAACAAAACAAAACCCCTGAAAGGAAAGAGAGCCAAGACAGAGGCCCATGGCTCACTCCAGTCATCCTAGCTACCCAGGAGGCTGAGATCTGAGGATCACAGTTCAAAGCCAGCCTGGGCAGGAAAAGCTGTGCAACTCTTATCTCCAATAAACCTACTCAGAAAACCGGAAGTGGCTCCGTGGCTCTGGTGGTAGAGCGCTGGCCTTGACTGAAGAGCGCAGGGACAGCGCCCAGGCCCAGAGTTCAAGACCCACGACTGACAAAAAGGAAAGAAAGAGAGCAGAACGGTGGGATCTGGGCAGACGCGTGTGTCCCCCGTGTCAGAGGCTGGGCGGCGACAGTGGGGTGCGCCCCGGGCCCCCCACCCCTGCGGGGGCCCCCCACCCCGAGGGGGGCCCGACCCTCACCCTGCGCGCCCAGCTCGGCGGCCGCCACGTGCTCGGTGAGCACCGCCCCGAAGCGCCGCAGCCGCCGCACGATGCGCGCGTACAGCGCCCGGTCCTCCCGCCCGCCGCGGATGCTCCCGCAGAAGTACAGGCGCCGGCCCCGCGGCTCCCCGCCGCCCCGCGGCCCCGGCCCCGGCCCCGGGCCCACCGCCGCCGCCGCCGCCGCCGCCGCCATCACCGCCCACGTGACCGCCCCGCTCCCGCTCCGCAGTGCGGCCTGGGGCCCGGGAGGGGCGGGGCCGGGGGCGGGGCCGGGCGGCGGGGCCCGGACGAGGGGGGGGGGGGGGATGCCCGCGAGCCCCACCCGCCACCGCTCCCAGTAGGGAACTAGGGGGTGAGAGGAGAGGAGGGGGACAGCCTGGACACGGGCACACACACACACACACACACACAGTGAAGGAAGGGGTGACATTGTCCAAAAAGAAATGTGTGCATTACCTGACTTAGGAAACTGGAACCCCTCTGAATATCATTTTATAATTACAATAGAATTTGATAATCAAGCCGGGCGCTGGTGGCTCACGCCTGTAATCCTAGCTACTCAGGAGGCTGAGATTTGAGGATCGCGGTTCAAAGCCAGCCCGGGCAGGAGAGACCGTGAGACTCCTATCTCCAATAAACCACCAGAAAACTGGAAGTGGCGCTGTAGCTCAAGTGGTAGAGCGCTCGCCTTGAGCTGAAGAGCTGAGGGACAGCGCCCAGGCCCAGAGTTCAAGCCCCACGGCCGACAAAAAAAAAAAAAGAATTTGATAATCAAAAAATGATAGACTTTACCCTCGTTTTATTATGACAACAGCATACATACATAAGAAAAAAACCCAAATAAAACAAAAGGCAGAGTCCTGAGACACTCAATCCCCCCTTCCCCCAGGAAACGCCCAGCTTCTGCATTCTTCTTGACATAATGACTAAAATAGGAGTTCACGGACAGAAGACATGGTAATATTCATCTCTTTCATGTACCAGAGTTTGAATTCAGTACTTTAAGCGCAGCTGATGCTTTACCATTTGAGCCATGCCTTCAGCTCTGTACTTTTTAGTTAATTGGAAATGTAATTTCTTGAACTTGTCTGTCTATGCTGGCTTCAAACCTCAGTCCTCTAGATCTTAGCCTTCTGAATAGGTAACATTACAGCATGAAGCCACTGGTGCCCAGCTGCAGTAATAGTGTGTGTGTGTGTGTGTGTGTGTGTGTGTGTGTGTGTGTGTGGTGTGTGTGTGTGTGTGTGTGTGTGTGCTGGTCCTGGGGCTTGAACTCAGGGCCTAAGCACTGTCCCTGAGCTTGAGTTTTAACAGTTTCCTGCCTGGAAGATTTCAAACCTCAGTCCTCAAATCTCACCCTCCTGATTAGCTAGGATTACAGGCATGAGCCACCTGAGTATAGCTCTTAACAAATTTTGAGGTACACAGTACTTTATTGTTCAGTATAGACAGTGCACTGCACAGTGGGTTTGTAGAATTTATTCATGTAGCCTAAGTAATACATTACATCCATTCAACAACTAGTCCCTGCTTTGTCCTAGCCTTTGAAAACCACTATTCTCTGCTTCTGTGAGTCTGACTACTACAGGTACTTCATATATCTTGAACTTATATAATATCTGTCCTCCCGTGACTGGCTTATCTCATTTATCATAATGTCCTTTGGGATCATCCATATTGTACACTTCCGGATTCAAAATATAAAACTCTGGTAATATATAACTCAGTATGATATTAGAGTAAATATAGATAGTCCAAAGGAGCAAAATGGAAAGCTAAGAAATAAGGCCAACTGATTTTTTTGTGTCTATGTGTAGGCTGTGGGGCTTGAATTCAGGGCCTGGCCACTGTCCTTGAGCTCTTTTGCTCAAAGCTATTGCCCTACCACTTTGAACCACAGCACCACTTTCAGTCTTCTGGTGGTTAATTGGACATAAGTCTCATGAATTTTCCTGGCCAGGCTGGCTTTGAACTGGAATCCTCAGATTTGAGCCTCTTGAGTAGGGAGGATTACAGGCATGAGCCATCGGTATCTGTCCAAACTGATCATTGACAAGAGGAATAAACTGGGGGGCAAGAGCCGCCTTTTCAACAAGTGGGCCGCGGGGGGAATTGGGTGCCTCTGTGTAAATTGTAGAAGAATTGAATTGGACTCTTTCCTTACACAAATATCCAGGCAAAATGGACTGAAGACTTAAATGTAATGCCTAAGACCGTAAAACTCATGGAAGAAAACATAGAAGAGAACCTCTTTGGCATGGATCATGGTGACTATCTTCAGATATGAGGCAAAGCATAGAAAATACAGCTGTGAAGCCAGGTGCAGTTGGCTCACGCCTGTATTCCTAGCTATTCAGAAGACTGAGATCTCAGGATATTAGTTCAGAGCCAGCCTGAGCAGTAAATTCCACGAGACTCTTTTTTTTTTTTTTTTTATTGTGAACATACTGTACAGAGGGGTTACAATTACATGGGCAAGATAATGAGTACATTTCTTATCAAGCATTGTAGCCTCCTCCTTTGTTTACCCTTCCCAGCCTCCCCCCCCCACCACCACCACGAGACTTATCTCCAATTAACCACCAGAAAACCAGAGTGGTGCTGTGGCTCAATGTGGTAGAGCACTAGCCTTGAGCAAAAGAGCTCAGGGACAGTGCCCAGACCCTGAGTTCAAGCCCCACAACTGACAAAAAATAAAACATAAAAATTTCAATTAATAAATGAACAAAAGACATAAATGGATATTTCTTCTCCAAAGGAGACACACAAATAGCCAACAGACATATGAAAAAATGTCCCATATCAGTATTGGGGATATGGAAATAAAGACTGCAGTTAGATAGCATTTCACCTTCCTGCTAGGATGGGTAATAGTTAAAACACAAAAAGTTATAGTGACTTGGGGCGCCGGTGGCTCATGCCCGTCGTCCTAGCTACTCAGGAGGCTGAGATTTGAGGATCACGGTTCAAAGCCAGCCTGGGCAGGAAAATCTGTGAGATTCTTATCTTCAATTAGCCACCAAAAAGCTGGAAATGGTGCTGTGGCTCAAGTGATAGAGTGCTAGCCTTGAGCAAAAGAAAGTCAGGGACAGTGCCCTCTGGCATGAATTCAAGCCCAGGATTGGCAAAAAAAAAAAAAAGAAAGAAAGAAAGAAAGAAAAGAGAAAAAAAAAAGAAAAGAAAAAAGAAAAAGAAAGAATTAAAAATATCAGTGAGAAAAAAAAAAAAATGTCAGTGAGATTGTGGAAGAATTCAAATCCTCAAACACCATTGGTAGGAATTTAAATGGCACAACAACTATGATCTAGCAATCCTGCTTCCAAAACAACTGAACTCAAAGACCTCTAAATGATGTGTGCATCCCCATGAACATCCTAACCTTCAAGATAAGGAAAAAAAGTGCTAAGAGGAAAGTTTATAGCTATGAGCACTTACCCTACACTAGAAACAAAATAGGAGAGAGATTGCAAATATACAGCCTGGCTTGGAACCTCAATCCTCAGATCTCAACTTCCTGAGTAGATAAGATTATAGAAGTGAGCCATCAATGCCTGGCTAATAACACTCTTGCTTAGATTTTTTGCTCAAGATTGGCACACTGTCTACCCCCATTTCTCTCTTTTTGCTCATCAATTGGAGGTAAGAGTCGCATGGATTCTCAGCCTAGGTAGCTTTAACCCTCAATTCACAGAGCTCAGCCTCTTGAGTAGCAAAGAGTACAGACATGAGGCACAAGTGCCTGGCTTCTTATTTTTTCAGATTAACTCTTGAGTTTTTACCTGGGGCTGGCCTGAGTCCAGAACTCTCCTACTTCCCACCCACCCCACCCCCACCCCCACCCCCACCGGTCAGTCACAGAGCTTGAACTCAGGGCCTGGGTGCTGTTCCTGAACTTTTCTGCTCAAGACTAGCACTCTAACTAGCCACAGCTCTACTTCTAGTTTTTGTGGAGTTTTTTGTTCAGTCTTGGGGCTTGAACTCTGGGCTTGGGCACTGTCCCTGCTGCGCTCTTCAGCTCAAGGCGAACGCTCTACCACTTGAGCCACAGCACCACTTCTGGTTTTCTAGTGGCTTAGTGGAGATAAGAGTCTCATGGATTTTCCTGCCCTGGCTGGCTTTGAACGGTGATCCTCAGATCTCAGCCTCCTGAGTAGCTAGGAATACAGGTGTGAGCCACCAGCTCCTAGCTGATTCTCCTACTTTTACTTCCTGTAGAGCTGGGATTACAGGCTTGGACCAGCATACCTGTCTTGTTCTTACTAACTTCATGCTGGGGCTGGTTTCAAACTGTGATTCTCCTTGATGTCATAGTTTTAAAAATGGGATGTTTTGCCGGGCGCTGGTTGCTCACGCCTGTAATCCTCGCTACTCAGGGGGCTGAGAAATGAGGATCATGGTTCAAAGCCTGTCAGGGCAGGAAAAGGCCGTGAAACTCTTATCTCCAATAAACCACCAGAAAACTGGAAGTGGTGCTGTGGCTCAAGTGGTAGAGCACTAACCTTAGGCAGAAGAGCTGAGGGACAGCACCCAGGCCCCGAGTTCAAAAGAAAAAAGGGATGTCCTTTCAGAGCTGTCCCAAGTTAGAGTGAAGGCCTTCCTACTTACACAGAATAACCCTGGACATGGGATGCCCTGAGAGGTTGAGCAAAGCCATTCCCAAGTTGCTTACCACATGGCTGAGGACAATCCCAGAGAGGGAGTTAGCTGGGAGCAGTCAGCCCTCCATGCCTCAGGCAGTTGGGAAAAAGATACCTAGATTTTGTTGGACATTCCAGGGGACTGAACTCTAAGCCTTGTACCTGCTAAGCAAGTGCTCTGTCACTGAGCTTAGTCTCCTACCTAGTTTTTGGAGAGGAATCTGAATGATTGAATGAAAATCCAATCACAACACACGAGGCCCTTTATGAACATGCCCCTGTCTCTCCCCAGTCTCCATGGTTTGTTCCCCTTCTGGAAGCTTCTCCCTCCCTTAGGCCTGGTCACACTCCTCTGCTGGCAAATCCCCACCAATCTATCACATTACTTTGAAAATGCCTCCTCTGAGAAGCCCCCCTTGGCTACTCCTCACAGATGTAATGAGCCTTCCTGGGGCAATCAGGCCCATGGACTTTGGAGCCAGGGTTTGAATCTCAGCTCTACCTTTTGCCAGCTGTGTAATCTAATGCAAATTATTTAATCTCTCTGTAGCTTGATTTCTTGGTCTGCTAATAGATAACAATAGTATTTTTAGCTCATGGGACGGTTATAAAGATTAAATGAATGAGTAGATGTAAAGTTAAAACTGGTAGAAGTGAATAGTGGCTAGTGCTTGAAGAGTTATTGGTGTGTGTGTGTGTGTGTGTGTGTGTGTGTGTGTGTGTGTGTGTGTGTGTGCACCAGTCCTGGGGCTAGAACTCAGGGTCTGGGTTCTGTTCCTGAGCTTTTTTTGCTCAAGGCTAGGGCCTTACTCTTGAGCCAAAGCTCTCCTTCTGCCTTTTTGGTGGTTCGTTGGAGGTTAAGTGTCTCATGGACTTCCCTGTGCAGGCTGGCTTTGAACCCAGTCCTCGGATCACGGCCGCCTGAGTAGTTAGGGCTACAGGTGTGAACCACCAGTGCCCATCTTGAAAATACTCGGGATGCACTTGTTGAAGCCATACACGGCGGGAGGCAGCAGGGGCCGAGAAAGATGGGGTGCAGAGTCTACTCAGCGCGTGTTGACTACTCCATCTGTCAGAAGTGGGGGGTCGCTTTCTGGGCGCATGTCGGACAGAGTTTTTCATGTCACAATAAAGAGTGTGCAGCTTATTTAGTCTTCGATGAGAAACAACGGCAGAGCATGTCAACAGAAGGCAGCCAGACCCGGAGGGAGGGAGGGGAGTCAGGTGAGGAGGCGCGTGAGCGGTGGTGGGTCCAAGGTCAGGATGGTGTCAGGATGGAGGCAGGTGGCAGGCCATACTGAGCACGAGGACGAGCGGTTACAGGTGAGGGGAAGAAGCTGTGTGTTCCCGGGTGACACGAACACCTGGTGACGGGAGCGGGAGGCTGCGGGGTTCCGGCGGGGAGCGCCAACCTGGGCGCGGGGCAGGGCAGGGGGGAGCGGGACGGGTGGGGTTGGTGGGGCAGGTAGGCGCGAGGGTTTCCGAGGAGGGCACGGAGGGGTCGGGGCGGGGGGGCCCCGGGCCGGAGGTGTGCCCGGCGCCGGCAGGGCGGGTCGTGATGTCAGAGCCAGCCTGTGAAGTCAGGGCGGGCGGCGGGCTGGTGATGTCAGGACTGGTGCTGATGCTGGCGGCGCGGTGCATTGTGGGCAGCTCCCCGCGCCGCCGCCGCCGCCGCCGCCGCGGCCGTCGCCCGAGGAGGATCCGGGCCGGGCCGGGCCGGGATGGTCCGGGTCGGGAGGCCGCCGCCGCCGCCGCCACCGCCGCCGAAGGGAGCGGGCCGCCCCGCGCCGCCCTGAGCCGCCCCCGCCCCGCCCGGGGCCCGGGGGATGCGCCGCCCCGGGCCGCCGCCGCCGCCGCCGCCGCCGCCGCAGCCGCAGCCGCAGCGGGCCCTGAGCAGGTGAGGCGGGGCGGGGCGGGGCGCGGCGGGGCGGGCGGGGGCCGCGGCCGGGGCGGGGGGGGGCTCCTGGTCGGGGTGGGGGGGAACTCTCCGGGCCCCCCTCCCTCCCCGGCTTGGCTCCGCTCCCGGAGCGCCGGCCCGGCTCCCCTCCCGCTGCCGCCGGAGCGGGGACGCCGGCCTACACCGCCTGGGCCGCGGCCCGAGGCCTGCGGCGGCCCCCGCCCCGCACGCAGACCCACCCTCTGCGGCCCGCCTCCGGGGAGCCACCGTGCGGGGCTCTGCTCACCGCTGTCGCGGGGCCCGTGGCCTCACCCGACTCTGTCACCGCTGACAAATCACTTCTCGCCCAGCCCCGGCTCCCCACCCCCCGCCGCCCGCGGGCCTCGACCTCCCTGCCCTCGGTGGGGGCCTGGGGGGCCTGCCCCACCCCCGCCATCCTCCCTTCTCCCCAGGCTCTGACTGGCCCAATCCCCTCCCAGAGTCCCGTTACCCCTTCCCTTCCCTTCCCCTGTGCCTCTCCCCTCCGCACTGCTTTTCACCTGCTCCCACTACTCCAGCCAGGGGTGCGTTACCTTCCCTCTCCTGGGCTCCCCGATTTCCACACACACACGTGGCTCACGCCGGGAGTAGGGACCCGTCCACCCTTATGTTCACACTCGGTGCCTCACTCTCCAGCACTTAGGTTTGCGCCGCCACACCACCTCCGGTCCCAAACTCTCCCACAGCTGAAGCCTTTTCTTGTCCTTCCTTCCTTCCTTCCTTCCTTCCTTCCTTCCTTCCTTCCTTCCTTCCTTCCTTCCTTCCTTCCTTCCTTCCTTCCTTCCTTCCGTCTTTCTCTCTTTCTCTCTCTCTTTCTTTCTCTTTTTTCCTTTCTTCTCTTTCTTTCCTTCTTTCCAGTACTGGGACTTGAACTTAACATCTGGGCACCATCCCTTAAGCTTTTTCCACTCAAGGCTGGTTCTCTACCACTTTTGCCCTAGTTCTTTGGTGGGTAATTGGAAATAAGAGTCTCCCAGAGTTTTTTCTGTCTGGGCTGGCTTTGAACCCCAATCCTCAGATCTCAGTCTCCTGAGTTACTTGGATTACAGGCCGGCTTCATCCATGAGATCTTTGTCACTGCATGACCATAATGCTGTTCATCCTAGGGCGCCTACGATGTAGTGTGGAACGGGTTTCTCTTGTGGTTTCCGGCCCAGTCCGGCGTAGTCCCCAGAGACACGTGAGGACAGACAGGCAGGTCTCCCCTTTCCCACCTCACCTGTTAGATTTTCCCATCTCTGGGAGCAGGACACAGACTTAATTCATCAGCCTACAGCATCCATTCTCAAGACTGTAGGCTCAGCCCAGGCCACTCAGTTCCACTTCTTTTTACATTATGTTTTACAAACAGCTTCAGTGGTTCTGTGGGTCAAACCCAGGGTCTTGAGCCTGTTGCCCTCTCTGCCCTCCTAATTCCTGGTGCCCCATATGCCATTTGGGCAAGAGGGTAGAAGGGACTGGAGGAAAGAGCTCAATTTTGTCATTTCAAGAAAGAATTCTTCTCCACCTGTCCAATCACGACCTGTTTAAGGATATCTCCACACCATCACACCCATCCTGCCCTTATCAAGATTTCTAGATGTGGAGCTCTGGGAAATTGTTCCATCCCCAAGGAAGTCAGGTCTGTATTGTTCCCACCCCACCTAGGGGCAGCTTTAGCTACTTCCCTTCTCTTCCATCTCCCTCCTATCCCATCACCATCCTAGGGGACTTCCTGTTTCTCCTCTGTGGGACTCTTCAGGGACACAGTGACAGAACAGCATGCAAAAAGTATAGGAGGAAGAGAAGATGCAGAGATCCCGATACAACTCTTATGCTGGGTTGACGGAGATCTCGGAAACCCTCCTGCCATCACATGGGCTACAGCACAGGCACACACACACACACACACACAAAGCACACAGAAGAACACACATAGGGTGACATTGTCCAAAAAGAAATGTACTCATTACCTGACTTAGGTAACTGTAACTCCTCTCTACATCACCTTTATAATAGCAATAACAATAAACACACACAGGCAAATGCCTAGACACACAATACATAAACAGACACATAGGCATGGAAAACACACAGATACCCTGATGGACACACAGACAGGACACACAAAGACACAGAGGCATCCCTGCACAGGGACACACATGGATGTATACACATGCACACACATTTCCCTGGGTAAGCTGTGCCTAGCTTTCCTACCTCTCACAATTGAGACACTTCCTCTCATATCCAACTTCTGTTATCCTAATGCGGTGGAAAATGGGTTCCTTCTGGTTGATTCTTAAACAGACCCAGAAAGGTGTGATTAGAGGTTCACCCACTGCTCACCCAGACTTGCTTTCTGTTAGATCGCTCCACTGTCCTGTGCTCACCAATTTACTCTACCTCTGTCTCTCTGGAGTGGCCACAGGACTGCCGCTCTTTGGAACTCTTGCGCCCATCATCCGTGTTCACCCCTGACTCACATCCTGGCTCTCCAGCCCCAGGGCTCTCAGTGGGGTCAGCTCCCAATGGGATAATGTCCTGAGCCACGCAGCACCCTCCTCCTCCAGCACTATCCTTAAGAGGCTACCATGCATCTCATTTCCTTGATGATCACATCTCCACGGCTGATTAGCAGGTCACTGTCACCTGCATCTCCCATGGGTCACCCCCTGGTTAGCAGGTCTTCCCTTTCCACCAGGCCTCCAAGGCTCAGCTCCCCGGGTATTTTGTGGCAGGGGAAACACGTGGGTATTAGGGACCTCGGAATCACTCAGCCGGGTCCTTGTGAGCAGGTCTCCCCTGCCCAGTGTGAGTCCCAGCCTTGGTAAGTGAGTCTCACCCACATTCCTTAGCACATGTCTTCTTTGGCAAGTTCTTAACCCTGTGGTTTGTTCATACATCACTGTCTTCTCCTTTTATACTTGATTTTTATTTATTTATTTTATCCGTTGCTGATGTTCACATCTCCAGTCACTGACCTCCACTCGGAGGTCCCCAGTAACCGGGAGCATCTGCTCCGGGGGCCTAGGAAGGCTGCCTGCCCGCTGCCTGGAGCTCCCCTCCCTAGGTGCCGGGTGGTCCCGGACCCCCAGCCCCGCCGCTCACGGCCCCTCCTCCCTCCTCCCGCAGGTAGATGGCCCCCCCAGGCCAGGCCCTGCGGACACCCCTCCCTCCGGCTGGCGGATGCAGTGCCTAGCGGCCGCTCTTAAGGACGAAACCAACATGAGTGGGGGAGGGGAGCAGGCCGACATTCTGCCGGCCAACTACGTGGTCAAGGATCGCTGGAAGGTGGTGAGTGGCCGGTGGGCAGCGGAAGGGGGCGGGAGGAGGAGGGCGGCCCTGAGCCTGTGTCCTTGGCCCCCCTCTTCTAAGAGGAAGGTGTCCCTCAGCTCATTTGCATACTGCTTGCCGGTTATTATTTTTGCCCACACGTGTGCACAATCGCTCTCTCTCCGACTCCGCCCCCTCTCACCCCCTCCCGGGCCAGGTCACGTTGGTCGGGCCTGGACCACTCCTGGTTGGATGTTGGGGCCGGCGCCGCAGAGCCGAGGTGGGGGGAGGGAGGGCGTTCCTGCGCCGCACCTGGGGAAGGGCAAGGACGAAACATGTGTTCCTCCGCTTCCGCAGCGGACTAAAAAGCCGGGGTCTGGGGAGGGCGGCTCCGCAGGCTGCTCCCACAGTCCGTGCTCGGTCTTCTCCATCTGCCCCTCCCCTTGCCGGGTCCTGCGGCAGGTGCAGCGCGCCGAAACTACATCTCCCAGCGTGCTTTGCCCCTCCAGCCCCGGGCTCGAGGCCGCTGGGCCTGCTGGGAGTTGTAGTCCGAGCCTCCTCCGGGACCAAGTGAGCTTCTGGGGAATCACATCGACTGCCAGTCATTCCCGCTCCCACCCCCACCCCCCCTTCTTTTCTGTCCCTCCGGGAGCTCTCTGGAGTCTTCTGCACTATGGGGGCGGGATGGAGAATAGTTTAGGTGAGAAATTGCGAGTCTGCACTGGAGTGCAGAATTGGGAGGAGGGGAGACAGACCGAGGTCAGGTTGGACCTGTGTGCTTTGTGTGTGCGCAAGCGCGTGTGCACCCCCGCGTGCTTTGGTGAGGGGAGGCTCTGGGCACCGGGGTGCAGAATCGGAGAAGAAGGTGGGGCTTTGGTGTAGGCGGGTCTCCATGGCAACAGTCACCCGGACCCCGCCATGCAAGGTCCCCTAGAGGTCCAGGAGGAGAGGCCAAAGTGATGGCGTTTTCAGAGACGGGGGAACTGGAGGTGGGGGGGGGATTAATGGGAAAGACCCCTAGGGCGATGGCCTGCAGGGGTCTTCCTGGGAGGAAAAGGTACCTCACAGATTGGGGGCGGAGCCAGGACAGTAACAAGAAGAATAAGAGTGAGAAGTGTTCTGTAGTGAGAACTGAGCCATCCTCCTCCAAGACCCCCTGGGTCTCTGGCACAATAGCTTAGTTTCTGGCAGATGGGAGGCAGAATGACATTTGCACTGAAAGGCAAGAAAGACAGTGTTCACACACCACACACACACACACACACACACACACACACGCTGAGTTGAGGCTTTGTCAGGCAAGAATGGAGGATGGATAGAGAGAGAAACGGCAAGGGGAGGTTGGGGGGAAGGCAAGTGTGCATCTTTGTCATGATGCCATACCTCCTACCCCAGTCTCCCGGTTCTTCCTCATGGAGTACTCGAGAGACTAGGTGCCAGATGGCCTCTCATTTTCTGTGAGGGGATTGAACAAGAGCAGACTGCCCAGAGATGGGCTGTGGCCAGGAGAAAAATGGGGGTCAGTGGAACGAGAACAATATCCTTACGGGGTGCTTCAGAGAATCAGAACAGTAAACAATAATAGTAAAAACTTAGCACTTGTTTTGTACCCTTACTGGGGCCAGGTGCAGGGCCAAATGCCCCACGGGTTCTCTCAGCACTTGTGGATGAGATCCTGTGACTCCCCCCCCCCCCCCCCCCCCGCACAGGTGTGCAAAATGGGCATAAGATGCATTTTTTATCTTCTGACTTTTAAACAAAGGAAACCATTTTCATGAGTCCCCCAGAGTCACTGGACGCAGCAGAACAGTGAGGGTAGATACAGCACAGAGGAAGGAGGGTGAGGATTGAATGGATGTGTACAGACACTAGGAGGCAATAAGGGATGGAGGGAGGAGAAATAGGTTCTCAAATGAAGGCAGTAGAAAAATACCCTTGGGCACCTGGGAGCAGGGGAGTAGGTGTCAGGAGTGTCTTAACTGGCCGCAGCCTTTCTTCTTTCCCTTCAGCAAGATGGCTCATCAGAGTTTGGATTGCAACACTCTGTCTGTCTAGGTATTTATTTCTGTGGTGATACTAGGACTTGAACTCAGGCTCTACCTCTAGTCCTTTGTGCTGTAGTTATTTTTTCTTTATTTTTCCAGTACTGGGTCTTAAACTCAAAGCCTAGTACTCTCACTTGGCATTTTCCACTCACAGCTGGTGCTCTACCACTTGGGCCGCACTTCCTCTTCTTGTTTTTTGCTGGTTAATTAGAAATAAGGGTCTCTTGGCTTTGCCTACCTAGGCTGGCTTCAAGGTCCAGATCTACAAGTAACTAGAATTACAGGCCTATAAAAAATCACTGGCATCAGCTATAATTGGTTTTTTAAATATGTTTTGCATTTTTGCCCAAGCCCATGAATGGGCTTCTTTTGCTCAAGGCTAGGCTTCTATCACTTGAGCCACAGCACCATTTCTGGCTTTTTCTGTTTACATGGTTCTGAGGAATCGAACCCAGGGCCTCATGCATGCGAAGCAAACACTCTACCACTGAGCCACCTTCCCAGCTTCTCTTTCTTAAGCCAAACTACAATGCAGCACTTTCTCCATGCTCCCCCATCACAGCAATGGTGTCCTCACCTTCTCAGTCTCCTAGGACCTCTGCAGGAAATGATTTTTAAGCTCTTCTTAAGTTTGTTCATTTCCAGCCCAGCTCTCTGCCCTCCTCTCAGGAGGAGGGGTCAGCCGCACTGCACCGTTCTTTTCCAAGTTCCTTCTGACCCTGTTCCAACAGAGCAACCTGTGCCAAGGAGGAGCTCATCCTGGTTTGGGGTATCAGACTGGGGTCTTTTGCAATGGGCATGGGCAGTAGACATCCTTTGCTGAATCCTGCCCCCTCCCAATACTGTCTCCCTCCAGTGACATCTTTCAGGAGACTTTCAGGCCCCAGGAAGCCTCAGCTCCCACCCTGAGGCTTAGAGGTCCTGGAACAGGTTTTCCTTTAGGATGGCATTTGCTCAGACAAGGCAGAGGCTCAGGGAACTCCATAGTCATTGTTGTGGAAGCAAAAGATTTAGGATGGCTCATGATCGCTTTACTGTCCTACAGAGGCAGGTTTGCTCCGTGTCTACAGGGAGTCACAGACCTCTTGCCTTCTCCTACTGCTCAGATATCTGGTCCTGGTGTGTGTGTGTGTGTGCTGCGCCATCTGTCTTACCTGGTGTAGGAAAGGAGGTGGGGGCCTCACTCTTGTGGAGACATGGGCTTCCCCCGCTTTGAGGTTGCTGCCTGCCTCCTTCCCCATGGAGCTTGTATAAGCAAGGGGGAATGAGGTGCTGTTCATACTGATCCTGAGAAGTCCATCCCCCCATCTCCACAGCTGAAAAAGATCGGGGGTGGGGGCTTTGGTGAGATCTATGAGGCCATGGACCTGCTGACCAAGGAGAACGTGGCCCTCAAAGTGGAGTCCGCGCAGCAGCCCAAACAGGTCCTCAAGATGGAGGTGGCGGTGCTCAAAAAGCTTCAAGGTGAGGCTGGGCTGTCAGAGGTGATGGAGCCGGGGGCTGGGAGAAGGGAAGGCATTAGAAGCTGGGGCCAGGGCCAGGGCACAGTGGTTCAAGCATTAGTCCTGGCTGCTTTGAGAGGCAGAGATGGGAGGAGCTCAGAAAAGTTAGAGAGCTTCCGCCTCAGTCAGTGGCTGGACGGGGTGGCCGTCCCCGCACAGCAGCTGGGCGCAGTGCCAGGGACAGCCTTCCTCAGCAACATCAGGGAGGACAAGTAGGAGGATCACAGCCCAGCCTGGCTGTGGCATGAAGTGAAAATAATGGAGGCAAAAGGGGCAGGAAGTAAGGCTCAAGTGGTAGAGTACCTGCCCAGCCAGCATGAAGCTCTGAGTTCAGTTCTTAGTTCTGCCAAAAATAATGTATAAGTAAAGTTTTTTTAAAAGAAAGAAAGAAGAAAGAAAGAGGGCTGGGAAGGTGGCTCAGTGGTAGAGCACTTGCCTTGCATGCCTGAGGCCCTGGGTTCGACTCCCCAGCACCACATAAGCAAAAAGAAAAAAGCCGGAAGTGGCGCTGTGGCTCAAGTGGTAGAGCGCTAGCCTTGAGCTGAAGGGCTGAGGGACAGCGCCCAAGCCCAGAGTTCAGGTCCCATGACCGAACCCCCCAAAAAAAAGAAAGGAAGGAAGAAAGAAAGAAAAAGAAGAGAAGAGCAGAGCAGAGCCTGGGGGAAGCCGGGTGCCAAGGGCTCACGCCTGTAATTCTAGCTACTCTGGAGGCTGAGATGTGAGGACTGCCGTTCACAGCCAGCCTGGGTAGGAAAGTTGGTGAGACTCTTACCTGTAATTAGCCATCCAAAATCCAGAAGTGGAGCTGTGGAGCAAGGGATAGAGTGCCAGCCTTGAGCAAAAAAATCTAAGGGACTGTGCCTAGGCCCCGAGTTCAAATCCCAGTGCCAGCAACCAACCAACCAACCAACCAGGGGACAAAATGCCATGTGGCAGAGGAAGGGGAGATGGAGGGATGAAAGGGACCATGAGATGAGACACGGACCGGATAGGGTCCCATGTGATAGGGCGAGAGTCAGGGAGTGTGAGAGAGCAGGTGGATTGAAGGGTGTGTGGGGGGGGAGGGCACTCAAGGGGCCGGGGCTGTGGAGGGGGGAGCAGGACTGGAAGGCCCCTGTCTGCCCCCAGGGAAGGACCATGTGTGCAGGTTCATTGGCTGTGGTAGGAACGAGAAATTTAACTACGTGGTGATGCAGCTGCAGGTGGGTGCGCCAATCCGCTCTCCCCAGGAGCTGCGGCTTTGACCCGGGCGGGGGGTGGGGGTGAGGGGGGTGGGAGGGTGGGGAGTGGGGGGGTGGGGGGGTGGGGGGTGGGGGTGGGGGGCGTGGTCCCAGGGCGGGAGGCGAGAAGGGGTGGTCCCAGGGCGGGAGGGGGTGAGGGGGCGTGGTCCCAGGTCGGAGGCGGGGAGGGGCGTGGTCCCAGGCGGGAGGCGGGAGGGGGCGTGGTCCCGGGACAGGAGGCGGGAGGGGGCGTGGTCCCAGGGCGGGAGGCGGGAGGGGGCGTGGTCCCAGGACAGGAGGCGGGAGGGGGCGTGGTCCCAGGCCCTGTGAGTGAGCGGTGGGGGCACAGCTGAGGAGGTCTTGTCCCCGCCTCCCACCAGGGCCGGAACCTGGCGGACCTGCGCCGCAGCCAGCCGCGGGGCACCTTCACGCTGAGCACCACGCTGCGGCTGGGCAAGCAGATCCTGGAGTCCATCGAGGCCATCCACTCGGTGGGCTTCCTGCACCGGGACATTAAGCCGGTGAGCGGCGCCGCCCCAGGCCGTCTCCGCCTCCCAACAGTGGCGGCCCGGGAGCCCCTTGTCCTCTCCACCTAAGCCCCCCTGGCTTCCCCTTTGGTGTTCTCCGCTCCTGCTTCTTCGTCCTGGGTATTCCCGGAAGCTAGAAAGCGAGGAGGTCGAGGAAGGACCAGGCGGGGAGGGCTGGAATTCCCTGTAGTTGATTCTTGTGGTGTCATTTTTGACCTTGGTGTTACCAAAAACCAACCAAACAAAAACCCTCTCATTTGAAGGGAGGAAAGAGTTAAAAACTGAGCTGGGGCATGGCTCAGGTGATAGAGCCCTTGCTCACCCGCACAAGGCCCTGGTGCAAATCACATATGGTAAAAAAGAGATGATAATAACAATTAAATTGAAAAACAAAAAATTACAGCAATAATTTTTCTGTACTACTTCTGGAGCCCCAACTCAGGGCCTGGACCCTGTCCTTGAGCTCAAGGCTAGCACTCTAACACTTGGCCACAGTGCCTCTTCTGACTTTTTGATAATTAATTGCAGTAAGAGTCTCATGGACTTTCCTACCTGGGCTGGCTTTGAACCACAATCTTCAGATCTCAGCTTCCTGAATAGCTAGGATTACCGGCATGAGCCACTGGCACCCAGCTACAATAGTAATTAAAAAAAAAAAAAAGCCAGACTCACGCCGGTAATCCTAGCTACTCAAGAGGCTGAGATCTGAGGATCTCAGTTCAAAGGCAGCCCAGGCAGGAAAGTCTGTGAGACACTTATCTCCAATAAGCCACTAGAAAACCAGAAGTGGCACTGTGGCTCAAGTGGTAGAGCGCTCCCCTTGAGCTGAAGAGCGCAGGGACAGCATCCAAGCCCAGAGTTCAAGCCACGACCCACAAAAAAAAAAAAAAAAGCCTGGCACCAGTGTCTCACCATCTCTAATCCTAACTGCTCAGGAGGCTGAGATCTGAGAATTGCTGTTCAGAGCCTGCCTGGGCAGGAAAGACCTTGAGCTCTTACCTCCAAATAACCAGCAAAAACTCCAGAAGCAGAACTGTGGCTAAAGTGGTAGACCAGTCTTTAAGGAAAAACCTCAGGGACAGCTCCCAGGCCCTGAGTTCAAACTCCCCAGTTTCAGCACAAAAATCAATAAGTAAATGAAAACAGAGAGCTAGAAATGTTAATTGAATGGCCCATGACACACAAGATTAAAGCTGGCCTACCTGAGAGCAGGGCAGTTGCACTTGGACCGAGAAGGGTTCGAAGCTGGGGTTCTACTTGCTCTGTAGTCTCAGAGAAGTCCCTCATGTCTTTGACCTTCAGTTTTCTATCTCAAAAATAAGTGTTGCTGGATACCAGTGGCTCATGACTATAATCCTAGCTACTTAGGAGGCTGAGATCTGAGGATCATGGTTCAAAGCCAGCCTGGGGAAGAAAGTCTATGAGACTCTTATCGCTAATTAATCACAGAAAACAACAAAAGTGAATCTGTGGCTCAAGTGGTAGAGTGCTAGCACTCAAGACCAGAGTTCAAGCCCCAAGACCAGAAAAAAAAAAAAAATAACTGGGCACTGGTGGCTCACGCCTATAATCCTAGCTACTCAGGAGGCTGAGAAGTGAGGATTGTAGTTTGAAGCCAGTCCAGGCAGGAAAGTCCATGAGACTCTTATCTCTAATTAACCACCAGAAAAACTGGAAGTGGGGGCTGGGAAGGTGGCTCAGTGGTAGAGGGCTTGCCTTGCATGCATGAGGCCCTGGGTTTGATTCCTCAGTACAACATAAGCAGAAAAAGCCAGAAGTGGTGCTGTGGCTCAAGTGGTAGAGTGCTAGCCTTGAGCTGAAGAGCTGAGGGACAGTGCCCAGGCCCAGAGTTCAGGCCCCATGACCAACAAAATAAAAACAAACAACACAAAAACTGGAAGTGGTGCTGTGGCTCAACGTGGTAGAGCACTAGCTTTAACAAAAAAAGCTCAGGGACAGTGCCCAGGCCCTGAGTTAAAGCTCACAACTGACAAAAAAAAAAAAAAAAAAAAAAAAAGATAATCATACCTGTCCTGCAAATGAGACACTGAACCCTATGGTCCCCATGTTCATGAGTATGTTTTCCTTGTATGGGGTGTTTGGGGGATCGAGGGCCTTCCCCACCTGCAGAGCAAGCTTGCTTGCATGCATGCTCCTCCCCCCCTCCCCCCCCCAGTCAGTTGTATGGCTCTTTTGCTTAAAACTAGCACTCTACCACTTTGAGCCACACCTCTACTTTGGGTTTTCTGGTGGTTAATTAGAGATAAGAATCTCAGGGCCTTTCCTGCTTGGGCTGGCTTTGAACTGAGATCCTCAGATCTCAGCCTACTGAGTAGCTAGGATTACAGGCTTGAGCTATCAGCACCTGGCCTCTCTCTCTTTCTTTTTTTTTTCTTTGCCAGTACCTTATACTCACTCATGGCTGCTCATGGATGGTGCTCTTCCACTTGAGCCAGACCTCCAGTCTTGCTTTTTTGGTACTTATTTTTGGAGATTGAGTCCTATCAACTTTCCTGCCTGGGCTGGCTTTGAGCCACAATCCCCTGGCTCTCAGCTCCTGAGTAGCTAGGATTACAGGCATGACCCCTTGGCACCTGGCTCAGAGCTCTTCCTTGGGAGCTTCTGAGTGGAACCTGAACTCACAGCTGCCATCTTCTTCCAGTCAAACTTTGCCATGGGCCGGCTGCCCTCCACCTACCGGAAGTGCTATATGCTGGACTTTGGACTGGCCCGGCAGTACACCAACACCACAGGGGACGTGAGACCTGTGAGTACCTCCTCTCCAGCTGTTCGGACAGCACAGGGCTCCCCAGCATCCCTCGGGAGACCTTTCACCTCCTTCCCTGCCATGCCGGAGCTGGCTTGGCCTTGTCTTCAGCGTCAGCCTACGCTTGTGGATGTTGACCTTCCTGTCCATTCCGGGTGGACAGCAGGGTCAGGACATGGATGTGAGCCTGGAGTCAGAGGTGACTCCTGGCTGGGTGCGCGGGAGCAGGCAGGCTTTGTGGCAGGGGTGGAACGTGGCAGAGGTCAGGGGACAGCAGGCGAGGCTCCTGCTGTGGTCTCTTCTCCCACAGCCTCGGAATGTGGCCGGGTTTCGAGGGACAGTTCGCTATGCCTCGGTCAATGCCCACAAGAACCGGGTGAGTGGCCAAGGCTGGAGGGATGGGGCACAAAGGTCACGGGTGGCGTGGGCTGCTGGGGAAGAGTGAGGTCGACCCATGTCAAGGTCAAGGTGGCGTGGGCTGCTGGGGAAGAGTGAGGTCGACCCATGTCAAGGTGGTTGGGGAAGAGTGGGGTAGGGGCTGTGTGGAGGCTGCCACTGACGGGGCCCTGGATTGAAGGAGCTCCATTCGCTGCATCTGGTCTGCACTCACCACACAGCCTGTGGCCACAAAGCACAGACAAGTGATGTGTGTGTGTGTGTGTGTGTGTGTGTGTGTGTATTCTAGTATGGGGCTTGAATTCAGGGTTTCAAGCCGTCCCTTTTTGTTTGTTTTTTGTTTTTTTTTGTTTACGATTGTTATTCTACCACTTGAATCTGTTGTTTTCTTGTTTTTTGTTTTGTTTTGTTTTTTGCTTGGCTAATTTAGGAGTTAAGAGCCTCACAAAGTTGTCTTCCTGGGCTGGCTTTGAACCATGATCTTCACATCTCAGCTTCCTGAGTAGCTAGGATTACAGGCGTGAGCCATCAGCACCCAGCTCAGACCAAAGTTTTGACTGAGGTTCTGTGTGGTCTCTGAGGGTTGGCTGATGGTGCTGTGGCCTCAGAATGACCCCAGATCTGTCCATCAAGGGCTGGCGTCGGGCCCTTCTGATAGATAGATGTCCCTGGGGGAACGGTGAGATGTGTGTTCTCAGGGAAGGACTGAGGTGACCCCTTCCCTCTCCCAGGAGATGGGCCGCCATGATGACCTGTGGTCCCTCTTCTACATGCTTGTGGAGTTTGCAGTGGGTCAGCTACCCTGGAGGAAGATCAAGGACAAGGTGAGGCCCCCACAGCCGGTGGAGGAGGTTGGGGGGTTGGACAGGGCAGCAGGCTTCCATCCCCCCTTCTCCCCTCCCCCCCATGCCCTCTTGCTTCCAGGAGCAGGTTGGGATGATCAAGGAGAAGTATGAGCACCGGATGCTGCTGAAGCACATGCCCTCAGAGTTCCAGCTCTTCCTGGACCACATCGCCAGTCTGGATTACTTCACCAAGCCCGATTACCAGGTGGGCGCCGGCCGCCTGCTCACAGAATCCTTACGTAGTCATTGTTTCCCTTGCAGTGGCTGGGGTTTGAATTCAGGCCTCACAGTTGTTAGGCAGATACCCTGCCACTTAAGCCCTGCCCCGAACTCTTACCTTGCTTTAGTTTCCTCCCCTGCCCCAGGTGGAGCCTCACTTCCCCTCCCTCCCCCAGAGGGTCAGCCTTGGACCTACAGTCTTCCAACCTATGGCCAGGGCCTCCTGCAGACACTGCACCATGCTCAGCTTATTGGTTGGATCTCGTTGACTTTCTGCCCACCCTTGAACCACAACACTCCAAATCAGTCTTTACCTCTGAGTAGCTGAGATTACAAGTAGAAGCCACCATAGCCACCCTATGGTAACTGTGTCATATTTCTGCATGGCCGAGTGGCAGGCTTGCACGCACTAGCATCAACACAAGCCACCATCAGAATGGCTCTGACATTACCAGTTGATAGAAGTTTTTCAACTCTACTATGATTATATGGATCCAGATTCATATCCAAAGCTTGGATGACTGAGGCCTCTGTGTGGTGCGTGACTCCACACTCCTCACTCCACATCCAGTCTCTTCAAGGCACCATCTCCACCCATCATGGGACCCACTGAACTGATCTGAGGGTGGCGGGCAGGGGTGGGGGGGATGTGTGAGCTGGACACAATGCTGCACATAACGGGGGGAGGGGAGGGGGAGGGCACAGACTGTGTCAGGCCCACAGGTGAGTCCTGCCAGCAGAGAGCACCTGTGTTCCACAGACAACCAAGCTGAAAGAATGATCTGGGCACCTTAGAGGTTCTGTACCTTCCCGCTACCTCCTGGACTCAGAGCCCCAGTGGCCTGCACAGAGGCCTGGGGATCCTGGCTTCCCCAAATCACACAGCTGTGAGCACTCACCCATAGCTGCCAGGGATGTAGAGTTGGAAGATGACTGTGTGAGCCATGCGAGTGGGTGCCTTGTGGGGCACTGTGGTGCTGGAGTCTGGCATCAGAGAGGACAGGCAGCCAGCAGTCACGAGCAGGAGGAAAGCCCAGTGGTCCAAGGCCAAGGGGGTACAAGTGGCAGAGACTCTGAGGGACAGCCCTCAGGTCTCAGAGGACTTGTGTCAGTTGATGGGGCTTCATCCAAGATGATCATGTGCATGCTGATTTGCATACATTGTGCATGTTTTTATTTCCAATCAATGTGCCCTTCTCCTCCCAATGCCTCCTCTAGACCCCGCTCAGTCCCTGAATGTTCCTCTCTTCCCCACCTCCCTGCAATCCCAGCGACTGCCCCTTCCACCTGGCTAGCCCCGGGATCACCTTTCTGTCCTCCCACCACCCCACCCCTGCAGTTGATCATGTCAGTGTTTGAGAACAGCATGAAGGAGCGGGGCATTGCCGAGAATGAGGCCTTTGACTGGGAGAAGGCGGGCACTGATGCCCTGCTGTCCACCAGCACCTCCACCCCACCCCAGCAGAACACCCGGCAGACGGCAGCCATGTTTGGGTGAGTCTGAGCAGGACCCATGGAACAGGGGCACCCAGTGACCCCCGCCTGGAGCTGTCACCCACCGAGTGCATCTCCTCCTGCCGGGGCACTCTGGGCTGCCTCTCCTGGCAGAGGAATTCTGGAACTTGGGGGAATCCTGCCACAGCACACACTGGGTGTCCTCTGCGGGATCCACCATCATGGATCTCCCAGAGAGCCACAAACCTTAAGAGAAATGTCAGAGCCCTCCAGTTTCTCGTTGATCATAGCTTCCCTTACTAAAAAAAAAAAAAAAAAAAAGAGAGAGAGAGAAGCTGAGCACCAGTGGTTCATGCATGTAACCCTAGCTACTCAGGAGGCTGAGAGCTGAGGATCAAGGTTCAAAGCCACCCTGTATGTGTGTGTGTGTGTGTGTGTGTGTGTGTGTGTGTGTGTGTGTGTGTGAGGGGAGGGGGGAACCTTTGAGACTTGTCTGCAACTAATGAGCAGCCACACTGGAAATGGAGCTGAGGCTCAAGTGGTAGAGTGCTAAGACAAAAAACTCAGAGAAAGCACTCAGGCCCTGAATTCAATCCCAGGACTTGCAAAAAAAGAAAAAAAAAGACATTGCTTGAGGATTTCCCAAATGGCTCTTTTCAGATCTGTCTGTGGGTTAAAGGAAGCCAGGCACTGACAGCCAGTGGCCATTGAGCAGGACCTTGAAAACCCAATCCCCAGGATCTCCTGAGCAAATGGAGCGAGGGGGTGTGTCAGTGCCTGCTGACGTGTCTCCTCGCAGTTCCTGCCAGCTCCTGGTGGTCTGGTCTCAGAGGCCTCGTGGGTAGGGATGGCAATGGGCTTAAGACTCGTTATCCCACTGGGGCCTCCCGTGTGCTATCCCAGGGGAGGCCTCCGGGGCTTGGGCTGGCAGGGGAGCGTTGGGAGGAGAGCAGCCGCAGGCTTCATCCGTGGCCCCTCCTGACCTCTCCAGAGTGGTCAATGTGACGCCCGTGCCCGGGGACCTGCTCCGGGAGAACACGGAAGACGTGCTCCAGGGCGAGCACCTGAGTGACCAGGAGAACGCACCCCCTATCCTGTCTGGGAGGCCCACCGAGGGGCTGGGCTCTGGGCCCCACCTTGTCCCCCACCCCGGGGGTCCCGAGGCTGAGGTCTGGGAGGAGACTGATGTCAACCGCAACAAACTCCGGATCAACATCGGCAAAGTAACTGCAGCCAGGGAGGGGGTGTGGGTGCCTTTCCCCATCTGGATCCCCATCCTGGTCCCCCACTTCTCCCCCCAGCCCTGGCTCAGTTCCTGGTCACCTCCATCATCCTGCCTTTACCCCAACTCCCGCAGCAGCAGCACCCCTCCGTGCCTGTTACCCCGGAGACCCTCCGCCCGGCAGCCCTGCTCACGAGCCTCCCCTTTTCCTGCAGACCCCCTGTGTGGAGGAGGAACAGAACCGAGGTGTGGGGATCCCCAGCTCCCCAGTGCGAGCTCCCCCAGATTCCCCAACAACTCCAGTGCGTTCTCTGCGCTACCGCAGGGTCAACAGCCCAGAGTCAGACCGGCTTTCCACTGCAGCGGACGGCCGGGTGGAGCTGCCCGAGAGGAGGTGGGTCTGCCGCGTGGGTGGGGTGCGAGGCACCCCTCTGCCTTCACAAGGCTGGTCTGCAGAAAGGTCAAGCGGGAGACAGAGTTGGGGGCCGCTCCCCCTGGGTCGGGGTGGGTTGCAATGGATGAGGGCTGAGTGGGGCATCCCAGGGGACCCCAGCTGTGTGAGGAAGGGTGGGGCTACAGCTCAGGCCACGCCCCGGCCTGGGAGGGAGTGGATGGGTGGACGCACTTCCAGAATTCTTTTCCTGGAGACTGGAGACAGACACCTGAAGAACAGGAGATGTGACTTGGGGGGACAGGAGGTCTAGCTGAAGGGCGCAGGAGGCTGCCGGAGAAAAGGACAGGCCACGCGAGGGACCTGAAGTGGGAGAGGGAGGGGCTCGGTGGGAACTCGGCTGGTGACGGGAGGTGGAGAGCGTGGGGCCACACAGGCTTTTGGGAAGGTGGGCTGGTTTTTTGGGGGTGAGGGGAGGGCAAGCTAGTGGTATGTGTAAATAAGGCCATAAAATTAGAATGTACGCAGTTTGAGAAAAGTGAGTGAGTGGGGGGCGGAACTGAGGCCTAGTCAGATTTGGGGAGGTCTGAGTACCAGATGAAGGAATGAATGCACGCTCGGTTCTTGGGTGTGGCGCATGTGTGCAGCTGGGGATGATGAGGCCAGGCCTGGGGTGGTGAAGCCAGCCAGGCCGCTCTGGAGCATGGCTGTAGGCAGCCAGAATGCCATCTGTAAACTTGGGAGGCAGCTGGTGGGTTGGCTCTGGAGGGCAGCCCCGACAGGTGTGCGTGCACAGGGGCAGGAGCGCCGCGGGCTTTAGGAAGATCACGTCCTCTGGGGTGTCCCAGAGGACAGAGGAGGATTTATTTTCTGCAGGTTTACATTCCTGGAACAAGGTAAGCATTGGGAGCATTCACTGAGTGGACGGATGAGTGGATGGGTGGATGAAGGATGGATGGGTGGATGATGGATGGGTGGATGATGGATAATGGGTGGATGGAAGGATGGTTGGACTAAGGAAGGCATTCTTTCTAAGCCATGAGGTTGACAGGTAACAGTGCAGGATGCCACGAGCCTGGCCCGGGGTGGAAGAGGTGCTGGGATCAGGAGGTTCAGAGCCACACTCCACTCGGTTGCCCCGGCTCCAGAGAGGCCAGGCACTGAGTCCCCGTGGGTGGCCTTGCAGGTCACGGATGGACGCCCTCGGCTCCCCCTCGCGCCAGGCCTGCTCCTCCCAGCCCGCCCAGATGCTGTCAGTGGACACCGGCCACGGGGACCGGCAGGCCAGCGGCCGCATGGACGTGTCGGCCTCCGTGGAGCAGGAGGCCCTGAGCAACGCCTTTCGCTCCGTGCCGCTGGCCGAGGAGGAGGACTTTGACAGCAAGGAGTGGGTCATCATCGACAAGGAGACGGAGCTCAAGGACTTTCCTCCAGGGGCGGAGCCCAGCACGTCTGGCACCACGGACGAGGAGCCCGAGGAGCTGCGGCCGCTGCCCGAGGAGGGCGAGGAGCGGCGGCGGCCGGGCCTGGAGGTCACGGTGCGGCCGCGAAGCCGGGGCATGCACACGCTGGCCGAGGAGGACCTGCGGCAGATGCCGCCCCAGCCCCTGCCACCGCAGCTGAGCCAGGCTGACGGCCGCTCCGAGGCATCCCAGCCCCCCACGCCCGGCAGCCCCTCCCACTCACCCCTGCATTCCGGACCTCGCCCTCGACGGAGAGAGTCGGACCCCACAGGGCCTCAGAGACAGGTAAGACTGGGCTTCATGACTACGTCCGTCCCCAGGTGCCCCAGTCCATGCGCAGGCCTGGCGCAGCCAGCGCCACCCGGGCACCCGTACCCGCGGGCTGTGCTGGAGGCAGACAGAGTTAAAGGCTGGAGACCATACTTGGGGGTCAGGGGAGGCTTTCCAAATGCGGAGTTGAATCTGGTGTTGTGAGCAGGGCAGCCAGGTGACAAAGCAAGAGAAAGACCCTGCCGGGCTTGGATGGTACTGCATCTGACTGCAGGTCACAGCAGATGAGGCTTTGGGACGGGGCCTCAGGTCTGTCTGTCCCAGGGACCATCCCAGGGAGGGGACAGGCTTGCTTCTCAAAGGCTGGGTGAGCCAGCTTGGAAACAGGAGGCCACCATCACGTTGGTACTTCGGAATGACTTTGTGTAGGAATAGGACTGAGGGGGAACAGGACTAGAAGCAGGAAGGCCTCTTGGAGGGCGGTCAGTCACAGGGGAGTGTCCTGGGCTGGGGCGGAGGCTGTGGACACTGGCCAGGTGAATATAGCCTAGAGATGTTGAGGAGAGGCCAGGAGGGCTGGCATGGATGGCAGCTGGGGGAGGGGCTTCTCAGCGGTTGCCCAGGATCCTGAGTGTGAGTGACATCATCCCTGAGTGGCTTTGGAGGTGGACATGAGAGGCCCCAGTGCCTGCGTTCTTCCATGTGGAAATATCTGGGGCGCAGGAGAGACTTCTTGGATTTGGGGGTCATTGAGTGTATCACCCAAGAGGACTGTGAGTGGGAGAGCCGAGGGGCGAGGGGGGGGGAAATGGTGGGAAATGCTCACGTCTGGAGCCATGAGAGCAAAGGGAGGCTGAACGGTGATGGACAGGAGAGCCAAGGCCAGGGAGCAGCCCCAGGGGAGGCCTTGGAAATCAGGAATGAGAGGACTTTTGGGTAGCTCGGAGGCAGACTCCATGGGCAGAGGGGGCAATGGGAAGGTACGCGCCAGTGCGGGCAGGACTCTAGGGCACAGAGAAGGGCTCATGGAGACCTGAGTCCGGCTCCAGTGGCCCCTCCTTCTTTTGAGACAGGGTCTTAATACAGCCCAGGCTGGCCTCAGACTCATGATCCTCCAGCCTCCCCTGTAGCCAGAATGACAGGTGGGCTCCACTGGACTGAGCTCAGTGGCACTCATTTTTCCTTTCTTTCTTTTTTTCTTTGTGTGCTGGTCCTGAGCTTGAACTCAGGGCCTGGGCGCTGTCCCTTAGCTTTATCACTCAAGGCTAGCACTCCACCACTTGGGCCTCAGCGCCACTTCCAGTTTTCCGGTGGTTCACTGGAGATAAGATTTTCCTTTCCAGGCTGGCTTTGAACTGCTATCCTCAGATCTCAGCCTCCTGCGTAGCTAGGATTACAGGCATGAGCCACTGGCATCCAGCCTAGTGGCACTTTTCTTATATGAGAGACAAGACCGCAAGGCCAGGGATGGATCAGATGGTACCTGAATTGCAGATGCTGAGGCAAGGGTCTGAAGTAGGTCTCATGGTATTTGTGATGGTCTACTGCTGACAAAGACAGGCTGTGAGAATAGGCAGAGGATTGCCACTGGCCTAGCTAGTCTTGTGGGAGGGGGGAGGGGCAGAGGCTGACCTCTGACCTGGGAAGTGGACACTAACGTTTGTACTGTTTGCCAAATGAAGCCTGAGGTCCCTCAGAGTGGCTGGGGCTGGAAGGGGTCAGGCCATGTTGCAAGCACGACAGGGCGTGCACGAGGTGATCCTGGAGGTGCCCAGCACAGAGCTGGGGGTCAGTTCTGCCACTTGCTTAGATTGGAGGTGGCCTGGGATCATGTGTCTATCCTGGGAAGGACAGCTCTGAGAGGTCCCTTCTAGAAGAGAACTTCTAAGCCATGATCTTGGGGTGCACACTCTTACCTTACCCTGGATATTGGAAATTGGGGATTCAAAAAGTGGGTCCCACGAGTCTCCACGCCGGGATGATGTCAGCTGAGGGGCCGGGGTTCAGGGCCTGGTTCGGTTACTCCCTCCTGGGCCACGTGGGCCAGTCACTGTCCCAAAGTCTCTGACTTTGTCCTCTGCCTCACGTTTCTAATGTCGTGGGAAGCCTCACCCGGGGAATTCTGGCCGAGAGGGAGAGGAGAGATTTGGGGGAGCAGACACAGGCCTGCTGTGCAGTCAGTCTTGGGTTCTCACCCCGTGCATGCCATGGAAGGGGAAATGAGCTTGTCTTGTGGGGTGATGCGTTTGTGGGACTCAGTTTCCCCCATAGTGTGTTAGTGCTCTATGAAGGTGTGCATGCATTTCTGTGTCAGCCAAGCATTGGCGTGTGTGTGTGTGTGTGTGTGTATGTGTGTGTGTGTACGTGAGTGCACACGGTGCATGGGTGTAGTGTATGTGGGTCTGCGAGTATGCAGAGCGCCTGCGCCCAGAATGTCAGAGCTGGAAGGACAGCCCTAACGGCAGCACCAACGCCACTGGCCAGTGCCTGGCTGTTGCATGCTCCCTCTGAACGGGCAGCCCTGCTTCACAAGGAGAACAAATGGAGATTCAGAACGGCTGCGTTTCTAGCTCAGGGTCATCAGCTGATACAGGGCAGCTGGGTCCAGGGTCTGAGGCCTGTGTGTTGAGCAAGCAGAGGGGCAAAAATGGGTCACAGAAACAGATGGGGGGTACACAGGATCAGAGAGAGCCTGGAGACAGACAGACAGGGACAGAGACACAGAGAGAGACACGCAGAGCTCAGAGACACAGAGAGAGAACAAAATGACAAGAGAGATATATAGAGAGATACAGAGTCACAGAGAGACAGCGTGTGCACGCACCTGTGCGCGTCGGCTGGCAGGCCCGTGTCGGCAGGCGTGTGTGTGTATGTGGGCGCATCAGGTGTGTGGTATGTGCTGTGCATGCCTGCGGGCATGGGGCAGCACACAGAGTTAGGCAAGACCTTTGTTCTTCAAGGGCAGAGGAGGCCCGAGACTTGAGCTGGCGTATCTTTTCTGTCTCCGCTTGGGCTGGTGGGAGGTGAGGCTGGGGGGCCCGCCCCTTGCTCATGCTGCGATGTGTCCCATGACTCTCCACCCCAGTGACTAGAAGTCTCTAGGGATACCAACCACCATCCTGCCACCTGTCCTTGAGGCACCCTGCGAGGCCTGGCGTGGTCCCTGGGTGGTGTGAACAGGGTCGCTGATGGCAGTCATGTGGTATGTGGTAGATGATACCAACCAAGCAGGGGTGCACATCTGGTGTGTGGGTGTAGACACGTCAGGCTCTGTTCCCGGGGTGGGGGGGGGAGGGAGGGTTTCAGGTGCAGACAAAAAGAGGGCAGGGCCCGCCCGTGGGTGACTTTGGGGGACGCTGCTGCTGACTGCCAGGCACCTCTGGCCTGAGTACACAGACATTTTCTGGGAAGCCACCAACATTTTCTGGAAAGTCACGAGCTGGGCAGTCTGCAAGGGGCTGGGGACAAAGCTCAAGAGGCTTCATTCACAGCCTCTGCTTTCGGAGCCCACAGGCCAGCGGAGGGGAGGCAAAGACCTGGGGATGGACAATTCCAATCAGGGCCTCCAGGAGAACGGGAACGCCTCTCTGATAGGATGGCAAGGTTGTGGGAAGCTGGGGTGCTTTGTAGAGGTGGCTTTCCAGCTGCACCTTGAGGACAAGGGGGTGGCCACAAGTGGCCTGGCGCGGAAGGCAGGAGCCTGCTGACCTTCAGTGTCAGCCTGGAAAGCCTGGCGGCTGACCATCTTGGGCTTGGAGGTTACACTCCTGCACCCACACGTGCTGAGAGGGGGCATGGGGCCCCCCGGGCTCCCTTCATCCTCACTGCAGACAGGATTAGCCTGGAAGGATTCTAGACTTGGCCCCAGAAACAGGCAGAGGATTCTGTTGGAATCTTCTTGTTCTCCCTACTCTGCAGGCATCACTTGACATCAGTAGCAAGGGATACAGGAGCTGAGTGAGGTCACTGTCACATCGCAGCTAAAGTGACCTCAGTCCCAGGAAGAGCTCGGGGGTGGGCTGGGGGACCGCTTGCCTAGGGTGGTGGCTGGTGGGCCAGCCAGCTGCCTTCAGAGGGCGGGGCAGACGCTTAAAAGATGTGGATTCCCCCCCCCCCACACACACACACATCTGTAGGTCTGAGGAATGACAGACATATGGCACAGCACCAACGCCAGGCAGGCTCGGGGACCTCTGTCCTCATACCTTGTGAAGTAGAAACCATTTGACCCCATGTTAAGGAGAAACTGAGCTGGGTGCTGGTGGCTCACGCCTGTCATCTAGCTACTCAGAAGGCTGAGATCTGAGTACTGAGGTTCCATGCCAGCCGGGTAAGGAAAGTCCATGAGACTTTTCTCCACTAAACTACCAAAACAGAGTTGGAGCTGTGGCTCAAGCAGTAGAGCACTATCCTTGAGCAAAAGAAGCTCAGGACAGTGCCCAGACGCTGAGTTCAAGCCCCCGGACCAGCCCTCTGTCTCTCTGTCTCTCGGTCTCTCTGTCTCCCCCCCCCCCCCCCCCCCCCCCCCCCCCGTTATCCAGGCAGATCAGTGGTGGAGCTGGGGTTAAAACATGAGTTTTAGTTCTGTGGCTTAGAGGCAGCGCCTTGCCTATCCTATGCCAGGCCCTGGGGTCCCCCCCCCCCCCCGCACCTCAATGCGCAAATAAACAAAAGTCGTGGGACTGCAGTCCCCAGCCCCTCCCGCGACGGGCTGTCCTCGAGCTCCTCCGACCTCACCGAGCGCGGCCGGGCAGGGGCGGGGCCGCGTTCGTCACCGCACCGGCCGGGGTCGGTGGCGGGGCCCTGGGAGGGAGGCTCGGGTGGGTCAAGCCCGGACGGCGTCCCGTCCCGGAGGAGGTGAGCGGCGGGCCGGTCTCCGCAGGGAGCCGGGCCGGGCTCGGAGGCGGAGCCGGCGCGGCGCGGGGGGCTGTGAGCGGCGGGGGCCCCGAGACGAGCTGTCCAGTCTGTGCCTGACGCCTCTCTTCCCTCCACTCTCTTGGTCTCTTTCAGTTGGA